ATTGAGAATTTTAGGAATATGTTTAATTGGATTTCTAGTATAAACAACCTTGACCAGCTATCAAGTGCTTGGTTTCATTCAAGAGAGACAACTCTGTTAATCCTTTTTCATTAGTTTGTGAAGAGTTATCCCCCTTTGTTTACTTGCTAGCAGACGACATTTTCAGTGATCCTCAGTATGGATGATTTAGAGAAGAGGAAGTTGATTTTAGAGTTTTATAACAAGGACATCAGATCAGCTAAATGATTGCAAGTAGATCAGGAATCCCTTTGTCCACTGTTTATCGTGTTTTGAAAAATATTGCAAATGGATATGGCATTGAGCACCAGGGAGGCGCAGGTAGGCCTAGAAAATTGACTGTCGGTGACAGGAGGCGGCTTGGTATTCTTGTTTCTAAAAACAAACGAAGGCTGAATATGATTGATAGAGGAACTGTGGCTGTCTGTAAGGAGACAATTAGGACTGAGCTGCATGCAATGGGTTGACAGTAAAGTTGAGGAATTCCATCACCGATCATGAAACCTGAACAAAAGGAGCGAAGGTTGAACTGGTGCTTACAGCGTAGAAATATTAACTGGGACAATGTGATTTTCTCAGATGAAAGTTCTGTGTGGCTGTTTCCTAATACACTGAAATTCTGGACTAAACAAACTGAAAAACCTTTGTATCAGCGCCCAAAGTACAGTCCGTATTTAACATGTGGGGTGGCATATCTGTGTTAGGGGCAACGGCCCTCTGTGTATTTGAAGGGAATATGAACAATGAGCGGTACACAGATATTCTCGAGGGACATTTACTTCCATCTGCTCATGTGTTCTATGGAATGTTTGTTTGATTTTCCAGCAGGACAACGACCCAAAACATCGTTCAAAGCATGCACAGGCCTGGTTTCGGACCCAAAATATGACATTATTGGATTGGCCAAGCTATAGCCCTGACCTAAATCCAATAGAAAATATTTGGGGACTTATGAAGGAAAGTGTCAATAAGAAAAATCTGACAAATATTACTGAAATGAAAGAACAGGTGGTCCGATATTGGGACAGCATGGACCACGACTTTCTAACTTCTTTGATCAGTAGTATGCCCCGCCGCATTGAAGCCTGCATTGCTGCCCATGGTGACTTGACAAAATACTAACTGTTCACCTGTCTTTGAATCTGGAGTTACGTTCTGCTAGTATTCACATTTAATTCGTGAGTAATGAGTGAATTTTATTTTTTTAAATTACAATCTTTAAATTCTCAATAATTTCTGGTTGTACTGTATATTGTTTCCAAGGGGTGACAGTAACTTACCATCTTTAATTACCAAACATCACACCAATTCTGACCGATGTGCATTTTGATATTGATATTGATATTTTGCAGGGCCAGTGAAGCATGATGTGAGCTAGTAACATTTTTACTTAACTAGCCGTTCTGGCCAGTGACTTTACAAAATTGATTCATAGACTGCACAGGTCATATTATTCCCATGGCATTTTGAACTTTGCCTTGTTTCATGTATACTGAACTGCAAGATGGTATTTTCTGCTCCAAATATGATGGGAGTGCTGACAGCAGGGGTATCCATGTGTGACCGACACTTTTTCAAGCTTTGTTTCTGTTTGCACAAATAATTATATTGTGATACCATCAGTTGAACCTGATCAGTTTATATACACATATCTTGGATTCTGTGTTTTATTAGTTTTAAATTATTACAGAATGCATTTCAGAAGGGGAAAGATATTGATTTGTTCAAAATAGGTTTGGTTTATAAAGGCACTGGAATGGGTCTGCAAATTATGACTTGAAAATGCATAAATGATGATCGCGAAGAACGGGTTCCATAATATACTACAGAATATACAACAAATGAAATGATTGTGAAGGTCAGAAGGTGTAATGATGATGATTCATGTAAAATAAATTTTAAGCATGCAGATCAATATCTGGTGTCCACCATTTTGGATGATTCATGCACAAAACCTTGACTGCATAGACTATTTTACTGTCACCAGTTTAGTGTTGCATTGTTTAAGAATTATTGTTGCACACACTTGTTTATATTTATTTACTTGTTTAGGTTAGGGGTCATGTATGCTCTGATGAGTGCTTCATTCAGAGGTCATGTATGCTCTGATGATGTGCTTCATTCAGAGGTCATGTATGCTCTGATGAGTGCTTCATTCAGAGGTCATGTATGCTCTGATGAGTGCTTCATTCAGAGGTTATGTATGCTCTGATGATGTTCTTCATTCAGGGGTCATGTATGCTCTGATGATGTGCTTCATTCAGGGGTCATGTATGCTCTGATATGTGCTTCATTCAGGGGTTATGTATGCTCTGATGATGTTTCTTCATGCAGGGGTCATGTATGCTTTAATGATGTGCTTCATTCAGGGCTCATGTATGCTCTGATGATGTGCTTCATTCAGGGCTCATGTATGCTCTGATGATGTGCTTCATGCAGGGCTCACATATGCTCTGATGATGTGTTCTTCATTCAGAGGTCATGTATGCTTTAATGATGTGCTTCATTCAGGTGTCATGTATGCTCAGATGTTCTTCATTCAGGGGTCATGTATGCTCTGATGATGTGCTTCATTCAGGGGTCATGTATGCTCTGATGATGTGCTTCATTCAGGGGTCATGTATGCTTTAATGATGTGCTTCATGCAGGGGTCATGTATGCTTTAATGATAATCTTCATTCAGGGGTCATGTATGCTTTAATGATGTTTTTCATTCAGGGGTCATGTATGCTCTGATGATATTCTTCATTCAGGGGTCATGTATGCTTTAATGATGTGCTTCATTCAGGGGTCAGGTATGCTCTGATGATGTGCTTCATTCAGGGCTCATGTATGCTTTAATGATGTGCTTCATTCAGGGGTCATGTATGCTCTGATGATGTTCTTCATTCAGGGGTCATGTATGCTCTGATGATGTGCTTCATTCAGGGTCATGTATGCTTTAATGATGTGCTTCATTCAGGGCTCATGTATGCTCTGATGATGTGCTTCATTCAGGGGTCATGTATGCTCTGATGATGTTCTTCATTCAGGGGTCATGTATGCTCTGATGATGTGCTTCATTCAGGGGTCATGTATGCTCTGATGATGTGCTTCATTCAGGGGTCATGTATGCTTTAATGGTGTGCTTCATTCAGGGGTTATGTATGCTCTGATGATGTGCTTCATTCAGGGCTCATGTATGATCTGATATGTGCTTCATCCAGGGGTCGTGTATGCTTTAATGATGTGCTTCATTCAGGGGTCATGTATGCTCTGATGATATTCTTCATTCAGGGGTCATGTATGATCTGATATGTGCTTCATTCAGGGCTCATGTATGATCTGATGATGTGCTTCATTCAGGGGTCATGTATGCTTTAATTATGTGCTTCCTTCAGGGCTCATGTATGCTCTGATGATTTGCTTCATGCAGGGGTCATGTATGCTTTAATGATGTGCTTCATTCAGGGGTCATGTATGCTCTGATGATGTGCTTCATTCAGGGGTCATGTATGCTCTGATGATGTGCTTCATTCAGGGGTCATGTATGCTCTGATGATGTGCTTCATTCAGGGGTCATGTATGCTCTGATGATGTGCTTCATTCAATGTCACTTCATAGACGGGATGTATGAATTAGTGCTGATTTTGAAGCTTTGCACAAGGGGTCGCCTTATATGGCAATATACATTATGTGTTTTTATATCATGTCTCATGAAACGAAGATGGCCATATTGATGCTTGTGTCCAACATTCCTTGCCAAACTGTCCATTCTATTTTCTGCTGTTTGTTTTGTTGTTGTTGTTGTAGTTGTTTATCGCCCCACTCAGACAATCCAGTGATCAACAGCATGAGCATCAACATAAGCAATTGGGATAAGATGACATGTTCAACCAAGTCAGAGAGCCTGATCACCCATTTGTCGCCTCTTACAACATGCATACACTGCTGAATATCAGTTCTTCATGGGTCCACCAATGGTTAAGGTGTCAGAAAGACGAGAAGAAATTTGCTATTTTATGGTTTTGCTGCGTGTTATTATCATATAGACAGTGCTAATGGACAACCGCTGTGGTTGGCACCATGAGTGTTCCGACCACTTTGTTAAATCCTGAAGATCAATCAGAAGAAATCACTGTTTCTCAGTAGATGTGTGCAGTCAACCGACCAGACACAGATTTAATCCATTAATGGGAGTGCCAGTAATGCCTCCTGGTTGCTATTAACTGAGATAATGTTACCAGCTACTGTGCATTTATTCACCATATGTGGAATCTTGGCCGTTCCAACATGTGCCTGCTTGTTAAAAATAGAAGAGCAATATGGTGTGATTGATAGTTTAGTGGGAAAAGGGTGTACTTATTATGTCTTACAGTGTTGTTTGTTTCCTGTCTTTGTTGTTTTAATGTAAGGCATCCCCTGAACAGTTCTGTTAACATATAATCAGTCCTGAATAGACTCCAACACCTTGATTATACAGAATATGTATATATATATATTATACCCCCTTGTTTGAAAATGGATTGCTTCTTCTTTTTTTCTTCCTTTTTTTCTCACCCGGATTGTGTCATATTCTCTACAGACTGTGACATGTAAATGGCCCAAAACTCCAGTCCAAAGAACTGCATGTATTTTGTTTCAGTGCCTAATAATGAAGAGATTCTCTGATCTACTTTTTGTCATGTTTTTGAAGACAAATAATATAAAGAAAGTAATGAAATATTTCAGAGACTACATGTTAGTCAAAATGTTCCAAATTCTCACTATCTGGGCTTACTTTTCACGTTAGGTAAACTGGCACAGGCTACTTGGTTGGTACTAGTTTCTATCCCAGCATAAAACAGCATTCACCAACTTATGTATTTGTTCTAACTGCAGTGTAACATGCATATTCTCACTCAGTGCTGATACAGAAAGCGTGTTTAGAGCAGGTAGTAGAGGTTTAGTGAGATCTCCTTGCACTTCCCTATACCTCAACCTCATGACATGACATGTTGCAGGTGGAGCAGCGTGATGTCCCTGGCATCGACAATGCCTTCTTGGCCATGGACACAGAGGAGGGGGTGGAAGTTGTCTGGAATGAGGTCCAGTTCTCGGAGAAGAAAAACTTCAAAGCCCAACAGGTATACACTGGATACTCAGGATTTATCTAGGGCCTCTGTAATATACTGGACATTTGCTTTGCTTGTTGTTGTCACAGATAATGAATCTCTTCTGCTTCATGTCAATAGGACTGAGCTGTGAGAAACAATGATAATTTATAAAATTCACTTCAGTGGCATGAGAAGGCTTGACACATGAGTTTGAAAACAATAAATACAAGAATACTGCTCTTCCCACATCTACCCAAAGAAATATTTTAAAAATTATTCCCCTTGATTATCCGATATCAAACCTATGTTTATATATCTGCTGTTATTGTGAACCTATTATCCTCAGGACAAGATCCGACAGGTTTTTGACAACCTGATTCAGTTGGAGCACCCCAACATTGTCAACTTTCACAAGTATTGGACTGACACCAAGGGAGATAAGCCAAGGGTAAGTGGCCACCACATGTACGGATATTGGCCTCCAAGCACTTCAGTTTCAGGCTTGTCATCTTTTAGTAAACTGACTGCCATAAATTTAACGTTGTTTTGAAAAGAATAGAATGGACAGTATTTTTAGTGTAAAACATGCACTGTTTGATATAGTTGCTTATAACATTGTTAAGAAAGACAGCTTGACAATGGTACAAGGATATATACCTACATGATGCAACAAACTTGAATAATGATGTTGTCTTCCATAGAAATATCCTGCCTTTGTTGTTATGCACCAGCATCTGAAATCCCATTCATACCGTTCCGAACTGATTGATGTATTGAACTGTTCAGGTGATCTTCATCACGGAGTACATGTCATCTGGATCTCTCAAACAGTTCATGAAAAAGACCAAAAAAGAACAACAGGCAGTTCCCTCTGAAGGTGAGTTGCAGACATTGGGTGGCTGTTCCTCGTAGTAACTATAATCTCATTTCTGAAAAAATGTAAAAAGAAAGTTTTGGCTTTCTGATCGCGTCAGATGCTTACTTCAGCAATTGTTGGATCAGCTCATTAAACCATCATGGACAGTGGATGACTTCAAGTCCCTTATTTGCAACAGTGCCTTTATGTGATGTCAAGTTGGTTTCTTCACAAATATACCAATGGAACAATTGTTATAATGGCCAGTTACAGTTTCTAAAAAACAAAATTCACCTTTATTCATGTCCTTATGACACATATTGAGCACATCTCAGCTGTATTGTAGTACTGGCTTCTGTTGTGTAATCACCTGTAGATTGTAAGAAAACATACAGCTGATTGATATTTTCTTCCTATAAATCCCTGAAAATATACTGTATTCTTAATATCTGCATATAAAACAATGCCTGACAGAAAAGGAACAACATTTTAAATGCTAATGAATTTTTGTCTCAAGTTTCACATTCTGTTTTTGTTGACTATGTTTGTTATCACCTGTTCTATTCCTGCATAATGCATATTACCCGTTATACAGTGGTATTAAATAAAGAAAATATTTGCAGTGTTAACTATGAGAAAGTTTGAAATGAAAAGTGAGCTTTGATTTTTCAAGTGTTTCGTTGACTCTTTGAAACCCAGTGAGAGTGATAGACTTGATACTCTGTCTCAGGTTCAAGTAGTACTCACTTTGAGTGTTTCAAAACATGATTCTTTTCAAAGCCCAAATACGATAGAAAGTGCAGATTTTTTGGTTTATTGGTATGAACTTTTGTGGGAGCTCTCCTAGTGTTCCAGGAATATGGACATGCTTATGCATTGACGAAGGGGGCTCAAAAGTGGAAGCAATATAACACAGAGACTTGGTGTTTGAATTTAGGTTAAGGGCATATAATATAATTAATTATCTCAGCATGATTTGGGATGAAAGTCTGACGTGATTCAGGTGTGATATGCCTTCTACTTTGGTGAATGGCAGGGTATGGAGCTGACATACCTGGATACATAATCATCAAATCTAGGATACAAAGATCTAAAGCAATCTAGAATTGCCCAGCGCATTCTAGGTTTGAGTTGGACTCCCATTGTAATGTATTCTCTGGGAAGCAGGAGACTGTCTTAGCGTGGCTAAGGGACATAACTCTTGTCAGCAAATCAGCACCTTAGGTGACCAATGAGTTACAAGTGTACAAGAAATGCCACACTCTATCAACTATCATTACACTATATTCTTGTCTTTTGTCATATTTCAGAGTTGGAAAAGATGGTGTACTCAAATTCTCTCAGCTTTGAGGTGAGTTTTATCTATGTGCAATATTCAAGCGCAAGCTTATTTCAGGAGTAACAACGATTTGTCATTATCCATTTAGTCCACAGCTCCTTTCATCCTAGTGATTTGTGAAACTTAAGTAGAGGTCAGTAGAAAACATTTAGGTTCTTCTAATCTTTAACTCTTCAATCAACAGACTAGTAATAATACTGGGTAGGGAAGAAATAAACATAAGACCATGGAATGGTACGCACCTTGGTACACAAGTCACACTTTGCTCGTGATTCTGAGAGGCGTCTCTCGTACGCGTAACGGATCTGTGAGGAAGGTATGTTTGTCTGTGACGAGCAGTGGGAGGAAAATAGCGTGTTTAAACGCGATGGCACACCTATGTGCGTTCGTGTTCATGAAAAAGTACTTACATGAGGTAAATCTCCATTGAATAAGCTTTCAGAAAATATTAAAATCATGTTTCTGTGAAATTGGCACATAGGTCAAAATTGTCGTCAAAAACTGACTAATATGACAGCTGAAAACTTATGCAGGAGCATTGTTTTTACACCGGTAGAAGTGACCACCTCTCTTAGTCTTAGTCCTTTTTTCCAATGATTATACTTCCACCAAATAATATAGTCCGTATAAAAAAAATGTTATTCGTAATTTTGTTTTAATTTACTAGTATTATATCCTCTTCGCTGTAACGCAAGAAAAATATCCCAATATATAGTATGTACGCTTCTGACAGTCCAAGTCACAAGACGGATGTTTTGACTGAACAATTAGTCAGGCATCAGTTACCTCCCCTTAATGACTCGCTTCCCCAGTCACTTCTACGTGAGACGGTTTCACACAGTTTTTAAGAAAGTAAACAACACAATAACAAACGGGTGTGCGTTGGTGTGCTTCAAAAGCTTCATATATAGTTGGAATCTGCGATGAATGACCTTTCAGAAAATACTAAATGTAAGTTTCTGAAAAATATGCACATAGGTTAAATTTGCTGTTCAATATCGTCAAATTTTGCTTAAATTTTGCACATTTTGGTCAAAATTTGACTATCTAATGTTTCCTTTATACGTTTTCATTCATGTCAATCAATAACTTGAACACCTATCAATGACTGTAGCAAATTTTGTTTCATTATTTTCATAAATAATACTTTTAGACACGTTTTTGTGTGATATGCAGAATTTCCCTGTCTGTGATCAGGCAGTCACGCAAATGAGTGACCCCCTCTCAGGTAGTCACTTGTACGCGTAACGGGGGACCGTCTCGCGTACACGTTACATCCTCTACTGATAAGATTTGTGTCTTGTTACTCCAGCATAACAATACAAAACTTAGAATTTAATACTTGAGCACTTGAAATGACTAATAAAATGTTGAATGTTCTCATAAAAGTAACAAGAAAACCAATATTATTCAACACAGTTGATTTCAATATTTATCCCTATGTGCCATGCTTACGATCGTCTGTCTCTTCCCAGTTATCTACATTCCTGTGATCCTCCAATCATTCACGGCAACTTGACGTGTGACACCATCTTTATCCAGCACAATGGCCTCATCAAGATAGGCTCAGGTATGTTTTCATAGCAAGGAGAATATTTTTGTCAAACTAATTAAAGTTAAGACATTTGTGATGGATTTCACAAGCATATACTTCCTAAATCTTTGAAGGGCATTTAGAAGTGGAATACATAAGAAAAGCACATGATGTAGGAGCAAGCATACACTCCGAACAATATTGACAGAAAAATGTTGGGTTATTCACAATAAAGAAGTTGACATCCATAAATCTTGCTTTTCCTCATATAATTCCCAATATTGACAGCAATATAGTTTGGTGTCCATGATACAAATAAATGATTCTCATAATGTGTTGTGTGTTTGATTAGAACATATCTGATTATCCCTGTCAGGTATATCGTATAGTCAGGTGTATAAAAAGATAGTGAATATAATTTATTATGACTTGTTCCCCTTGTAGCGCCACATATTGTTCTAAGTGCATCAAACTGTACTTTTTCAAGCATTGATGCCTGGCTAACTGTACAATTATCCCATATACAACTACTATAATCAAATAATGGCAGTATAAAGCATTTATACATAAGGAATAGTGTTTTTCTCGATAATTGGTATTTGTAACTCCTTAAACAATTTATCATTGATGAAACTTTATCAAGTACAAAATTTATCCGTGCAGTCCAATTTGCGTCTTTTTGAAACCAGAGGCCTGAATGTTTGTGCTCGGAATAATAATTATTTTTGCATAAATAAATCTTGGACTAGTTAAAAGTATTTCACTAATATCACCAATTGAGCATTTTGTTGAAACAAACTATGGCTCATCTGGACTAAGTGTTATCAAAACACTAACCCAAGTCAGCCAAATCCCACTCTGGCTATGTGAGAGACCTGCTTTGGCAGAATCTGGCAAAGTGAGAGGACACCGAGTTGAGTGGTATATTTAGTGATCAACTGATTAGCTGAAGTTGTGCTTGTCTTAAAACACAACTATAGAGATGCCTGCTTAAAGAGCCAACAAAATCAAGTAGTCATGCTCAGTGACTTGGTTGATTGCATGCCATTGTATTACACTTGTGTTGATTGATACAACCGTGAAGATCCGGGTTAAAATTAGTCTTCAGTAACACATGCTTGTCATAAGTGGCGACTAACAGGATCGGGTGGTCAGGCTCAGTGACTTGGTTGACATATGTCATCGTATCCCAATTGCGTAGATAGATGCTCATGCTGTTGATAACTGGATTGTCTGGTCCAGACACAGTTATTTACACACTGCAGCCATGTAGCTGGAATATTGCTGAGTGGCGTAGAACTAAACTCACTCACTTATGTTGATTTATACTCATGATGTTAATCACTGGATTATCAGGTCCATTTTTTGATTATTCACAGACTGCAATTATGGCTGAAATGTTGATGAGTACAGTTGTATGAATAGACAAAAACAAAATGATACACTGAAGCAGAAATTATTAAGTTATAATTAAATACCACATATAGAAGCATGGCCACATGGTGCTGTATTGCCAGTGTGTTGTGTGTTCCAGTTGCACCTGATGCCATCCATTTGCATGTGAAGACATATCGGGACGACCTGAAGAACATGCACTGCATTGCTCCTGACCCAGGTAATGTAGACAAATATAGGGAGATTCTTTTATGTTACCATTGTTAATTTGTCATGTACTGGCTAGCGACCAGTTATCGCCAACACCTGGCTGTAGCGCTTATGCAGACAGCTTGATTTTAGCTCTTCTAGCCTATCGCTTTTGTGATGTGTCAAAGTGTGAAATGCTACGGAAGTACAAGTCAAGCTGTCTGTACAAGCGGTACAGACAGGTGTTGGCGATAACTGGTCGCTAGCCAGTAGTGTTTCATGCCATCATAAAGTAAATATAGTGATATTAAGGAATCAGATCATCCATACCATTTTGTGTCCTTGATACAACTCTTTAGGAGTTTCCTTGACTAATTACAGATGAGATGAATAGAAACTGTATGCTCAATCAAGTTTATCATAAGGTTAACAATTTGTTTTGGAGGATCCCACGAAACAGATTTTTACACAGACATCATTATATGAGGACAACCTTACTGTTTCTATAACTTTAGTCACTCACTTTACTTTACTCAGATGGTTTATTGTCACTGTTTTTCTGTATGTGATGAAATAGCAATCTTTCCCCCTTTTTCAACAGAACCCATTACAACGAAAGTAGACATGTATTCCTTTGGAATGTGTGCGCTGGAGGTAAGATTTAGTTTGTCAGTGACTACTTCATATGAGTGTTACATACTATTGCCTGTACAATGGATATAAATGGAACAATCCATTTCTTTATAATAACTTATTAAATGTTTGATAATATGAAATATATTAAACAGTTGACTTTTCTGCACACAGATGGCAGCGCTAGGTTTCCATGGAAACGGTGAAGGCGGGAATCTTGTGACCCTTGAGACAATACAGCATACACTTGACTCTCTGGATAACAAGCTTCTCAAGGTATGGTGATGTGATTTTGTCCTTTAATGCATATAGGTTTCATTTCATAACATAAATATAGGATATTTTATGAGTGCCCATGTCACTATGTTTACAACACAAGTGCCTAAATGTTGGTATTTCCTGAGTGAGAGCGAGGGATATACCGATATTTAGGGACGAGCATCGTAAACATAGTATGATATGGACACAAATATAATCTGTTTATTACCAAAGTTGTCAAATTGAGGAAAATAAATCCAAATCTACTTTCAAACATAGGCTGGCTACTTGCCGTCGCCGTATTTAGAACACAACGTCATAGCATTGTTCATGACTTCACGTCACCATTTGCAAAGTGATATATTGTCCAAGGGCACCATATCAAAAATATGAACCCCGATATTTTTGCCCTCGTAGATAAGAATACACCTTTTGCAAACAACAAAGAAGTATTATTCATAAAGGTGTTTACATATGTGTTTTCTAATCCTATGTTCAGGATTTCCTGGTCAAGTGCATCGAAAGGGATCCCAACAAGCGTCCCAATGCCAGAGAGCTGTTGTTTGAAGCAGTATTATTTGAGGTCCACTCTCTGAAACTGCTGTCTGCACACACCTATGCCAAGACTACATGTAAGTTCCTTGTAGATATGGGAAACTGTGGACAGTAGACAACCCTGTGAGTACGGGTGAAATGGTATACCGCGGTATTAGTAGAACCGCGGTATTTTGCCTTCGGTTCGGTATACCATAATGCAATCCCAAAAATTTGTTATTTTCGGTTTTAGTACCTCATTTTATTAATCTTTTTAAACCTTTTCAAAACAGTCTACAAAACGAATCATTTTGTCAAAAATCTATCTAGGTTTGGCTCTTATGAATTTTCTGCATTATGATCATATCTCATAAACCGAAACCGAAACCGAAGGCCTTGTACAGCAATAGGTACCTTACCGTGGTAAGAGCATACCATTTCACTCCTACCTGTGAGAGCATTCATGGTCAGAACATGTCACCAGTACCTCTCACTTGTCACAGGAGCCCACCACTGACGATATAATAGGCACAATTTCTGAGCTCAGCCACATTCCACAAAGTGGTCGCAGCTCTATGACTGTCATAAGTCTGCAATAGTATGGAAGTTCTGACTGTCTTATCAGAATGATCTGGCCTCCTTTGACATAGCACTAAGGTGATCATAAGTCACTAAGGTAACCTTAGTGCAATGTTAAAGAATGGGAGTTAAGGTTAGCCTTAGTGAAGGTTGCTTCGTGAAAGGAGCCCTTAGCCCAGACTGAATGTGTAACATCTGAACTCAATATTGCACATCCCATCACTACCTTCCTGGCCCAGACATGATAACTACCCACCTTCATTCCATGTTCATACAGAAGGAGCTCACTGAATTTCATAAGTTAACAAAGTATACCTCTGTCATTGATTCAATAAGGTTTGGTCAAACTGCCATGCTCTATTCGTCTAAAAACACTGTCATGCAAAACCGTGCAAATGCTTAGACTAAATAAACAATTTTTTTTTTTTTGAAATGATTTTGTACAGGCCACTGTGATACAGCTGCTTTATTGTTGACTGCAAGGGAAAGCAAGATGTGGGCAGTCACAAATTCATTAGCATAACAGTCAGTTGTTGATTACAGAAACTTAGTGCTTTCATTGTAAATTGAACCAATAAGGAATGATGATACAATTCTCCAAATATGAGCTGGTATGTCACGGCATGTTTTGTGGAAATTTGACGCCCTTCATGCAATTCTTGAGGTATACTTATGGTTCGAAATTAACTCACATTGTCACTTGACTGCAAAACTGATATGATATTTTCTACTAAGGCATGGAAATGCCAGGGATGAAATCCTGTACATTTGAATGGCATAGTCTGATATATTGAAGAATCGACTTAAGTATGTTTTTTGCATTTATGCAGGATAATTGTAAATATTGATGTGCATAATGTGAATATCTGTGTTTTAATGATCTGAAGTCAACTCTAAATAAACAAATATGAAAGTTATAGAAGAAAAGCAACTTCTAAGAGCATTATTCATTCACACACAAAAAAACCTTCAGAAACCAGTACAAAATCAGTAACATCAGTCAGTGTTATAAAGCATCACAAGCTGTGTCCATTCTATCATCAGACAGCCATGAAACAATATGGGTGTGGCCTTCCCTTTTTCGTTTATGGAAACTAAAACACACAGTGTTGTGCTTGGTTAAACAAATGCCAGAAAATCACTTGCAATTTATTTACTTTGCAGCCAATCTTCCAGAGAAGCTGACAGAAGAGGCCTGCTTTACCAAAGCTGATCCAAACAAAGTGATAGCAGAGATAAACCATCCGAACAAGGAGCCATTTCAGATGAGGCAAGTTACTACTATTTAGGGGTGAAACAGTATGCTTTTACCAGGGTACGGTACATATTGCGGTACAAGGCCTTCGGTTCGGTCAGTTTCGATTCGGTATATGAGAACTTACTTCCGGGAAAATAGTGGTCGTCTAGCAAAGAAATGCATAGATTTTGACAAAATGATTTGATTTCTAGATATTTTAGAAAAGGTTTTAAAAGGTAAAAAACTGACAGTACGAAAACCGAAAATTCCGTATTTTTGGATTGCATTACGGTATACCGAACCGAAGGCAAAATACCACAGTTCTACTAATACCGTGATATACCGTTTCACCCCTGCTACTATTGTCATAGTAATATACCAAGTCCAGTTATGGTGTGACTGGAATATTAGTATTACTGATGTAAACCTATAATCACTGTGGATACCTTGTGTGAAACCCATAACTGTAGTCCCTAGCATGGATATTGCTGGAATATTGGTGAAAACTCATTCGCTTAACATTCTCACTCATACCTTATGTGGTTGTGGTGGGGTAGCCAAGTGGTTAAAGTGTTGGCTCATCACAACGAAGACCCAGGTTCGATTTTCCACATGGTTACAATGTGTAAAGCCAGTTTCAGGTGTCCACCGCAATGATATTGCTAGGATAGTGCTAAAAGCAGCATGAAACTAAACTCACTCACTCATACCTTATGTGGCCATATTCAAAATGGATAATTGGTAACCACCTAAAAGTAGTGAAAACATATGAAAATATTCCATATGCATATGCAGAAACATTGTTCGGAAGTGTCAGTGTTGTCAAAATTTTCCAACATAATTATGCTTGTATGGTCTGTGACTCAAGTTCTTTCTGTCTCAGGTTTTCACAAGTGCCAGCATTGGAATTGGAAAAGTTTCTAGAAGATGTTCGGTAAGTTTATGGAAACATCTTATCACATTCAAGCTGTGTGCCATGAATCAATTAACATGACATATTTAATGATATCTGTAGCTCTGGGGCACACATGCTCCTTAACAGAAGAGATAATTTGCTGTAAGGAATAGCATCCCGTATCCTTGCACGATTAACTAGCAGGGCAGTCATATTGATATAGGTTTACCTTTTGATTTACAGAGAGCAATCTATAAGAATAATTTTGTGCCATCATCAAATACAGTGACTATCAATTCCCCAAGTCCAGATAATAAGCTTTTGTAATTATATCTGCCCACCCCACCCTTCATTTTTACTGAGACTGTTAATCCGCTCTGTCATTTCAAATCCATAACTTTTTTCTTGAACCATAATATGCCTTTAATTGTATTCATCATTTTTTATGTTAATCCAATTTTTTTGTGTTTTCATGTGTTAAAAATTATCACATGCTCCTGTTGAAATATATGATTATAAGAGCGCCTTTCAGGCAAAAGGACATACTTTTTTTCAACATATGACTTGAACATGCCATGGAACCTTGTTCTGTAAGGAGTGGTGCAATGCAGCTCACTCATATCTGTGTGTTTACCAGGAATGGAGTGTACCCGCTCACAGCATTCGCAATGCCCCGTCCCCCTCCCTCGAGGCCTCAGGCCAAAACACCAGAGCTTGCAGAGTCTGTGAAGTCCGAGACGCCAGAACACATGGATGTTGAGACCAGGATGGTGATCAATATGTCATGTCAGACTCGCAAGAATGAGGACAACCCCACCAAGTTGATTACAATATTGCTAAGGATGGACGATAAAATGAACAGACAACTTCAATGTGAGCTATCAGGAGAAGATAACTCCACAACTCTCGCTGAAGAGTTGGTTCACTATGGATTTATCAATGAGGTAGGAGTGACAAAATATTGCTTTACGCTTCATCATCAATCTCGCTATCCACAGCAAGGAATTAGATAGGAATTATATACTGACACACGATGAAAACATGGTTGTTTGTTCAAGCATCAGAAGTGATGTGTTTTTGTCTATCTTGAAACACATTGAATGAGATCTCAAATATGAACGACACCATAATTTGATTGTTGTGGCCATATTGCTAAATACTGCAAAAACATGAATATGAAGTTTTAGCTGTTTCAGTATAGTATTCGCCTGCATTTTACAAAGTTCCTTTGTAATGATTTTAAGTTATCAAGTACTTGTTGCTTCTCTTAGACTAAAATGTGTTGTGCATTTGTGTAGATTCTGCTGGTTTCTAGCGATGTTTGAAACTGTATGTAATCCCATAGAGGTGTGAAATTCATGTTCTTGTTCATGTTGAGGGGCAGAAAAAATTGAAGTTGAATGAATGAGGGATGAGAGTGTGCGAATGTTAAATCAGAATGAAAAACACAGATTGCAGGGACCCCCATCAATACTTTTTACAGGTCCTGGCTGGTAACATGAGGGTCCTGTAAAGTGTTGAAATGGTGTAGTGTACTGTACATTCAGATAATGACTTCAGAGCCTGGAATGACTTAGTGATCATGTGGACAGTGGCCATGACATGGGTGAAATAACACACACTGATAACTACTCGTGATGTAGGTATTTTTGTGCATCTCCTCGGATGTGGTATTTGGGGTTTTCTGTGTCCATTCTCTCATTTTGTGCACACTGGACGCACATTTGTGCTTCATGTAAAACCCTGGATTGTCTTTCATGCCCATTAAGCACCTTCACTGCATTGTACACAAGAAATGGGCTTCACACATTGTTCACATGTGGAGAATCAAAGAAAGGTGTTCTGTGTGTCAGATGAATGCTTTACATATTTTCTTATGTAGGATGCCTCTTCAGCCTCTGGTTTTGCCTTATCCAGATCCTGTTGCTTTCGTTTTGTTTTTCCAGGATGTACATGAGAAATGGCTAGGACAGTATTAAACTACTATCATACAAGTTAATTAAATCAATAATTGTAACCTGTCCGGGGAATTTTGGCTAGAATGCTTTCTATTAATAATGTGTTCTCTTTGCAGCTTGACAGAGACAAAGTTGCCGTAATGATCGATGAGAATTTGAAAAATGGTATGTGCAACGAATCCTCGCCCACTCCACCAATAGCCATTCCATCCTCGTAACTTCGGGGTTCTTCGAAATTCCCCCGGTTTTCGGCCACATACTTTACAGGCTCTTCACCCATGATAATTATGGGAACTGCCTAGACCTGAGCGAACACTTGGTTGCAGTATAAAACTCACAGAAATCGCTGTAATAACTGTCCTAGTCAACGCAGTAAATCAACAATCAAGGAAACGAGCACATGCTTCTGTAGATAATCGTGGAGATGTGTCCAGTTGCCAACTATGAAGAAGAAAGTGCCTTTACAGAAACTGTCCTGAGTTCCAGCTGGTTGGACACCAGAATCCTCTGATGGTTACCCAGCACAGTAGCTGGTACATTGATATATCCCTGGTATAGTACCTGGTACATTGACATATACCCGGTACAGAAGGGGTACAATGATACATGCCCAGTACACACATGGTGCATTGATACATACACAGTACAGATGCCGGTACAATAGCAATTAAACAGCAGGTGGCCTACAGGCTCTACATATTGTTTGCTTTGATGTAACTTATGTTGAAATTTGTTTCTTTCAATCAGATACGAGGTTTTCACTTACTCGACGTAGTGGTTCCAAGTATCATATTTTACTGTTTCATATTTTCAAGTCATTGCATCATACAATTAAAAAGTAATCGTAATGAGAGTTATCAAGTCAAGACTTGTATTTAATTTAGGGAAGATCAATTGTTTTTCCCTTTCTGTCTCATTTGACATTGTGAGCAATTAGTAACATAGTGTGACTCATTTTGATCATCAGTTTGTTACAATTTGAAGGAAAAGTACTAACATTTCAATATTTTCTACTCGTCCTATCCCAGTTAAATATTTGATGGGATGAGAGTGAACCTTTTAACATATTTCAGTTTTGTGTCATGTATTTCTGGAACAGCAGAACTTTATTTGAATGCTAGGGAAAATACATCACATATTTATTTAATTGTTAACTTGTAGTACAAAAGTTTTCTTTCAAATACAGGTGTAATATGGAATTTGCCAGCAATGCTGAAAGAGTTGTATGATGATGACAATCTTTGTATTGTGTGTTTTTGTTGGATGTTATTTCATGTTTGGTTTGGGTATGTATCAATTTAAAATGAAATGTATTGAATTGTTTTCATCACCTTTATGGTCTACTTTGATTTTGGTCTTTGTGAAGTAAATTCAGATTTGTTTTTAAATTTTATTTATGCATGTACCAATTTAATATTTAAAAAATTTGGAAAACTTTTGAGATTATGTAACATTTCTCCCCATTTCAAATTTCATCAGCTACAGAAAGGGCAATGGTCATTGGCAACACAACTTAAAATGTTTTGCACGTACTCAGTCCTCATTGCTCCTTCGAACTCAACATGGTTGTTTAGATTTTGAGCCTATTTTGACATACTCCGATGCCAATTGTATGCATGTGATATATCTTGATGGTGTAAAAGCAGGTACTTGCATCATTTGTATCATTTAGCTGTTTATTATTTTGGTCTGTTATCAACAGTATTATTCAGTGTATAGAGCTGTACGCCCAGGTTTTTGTCCGTCATGGTCGCAATGTGGAAGTTTTGAGTTATGTTTTGCAGTGTTGCCGAATATGTTGATGCAGTTTGTAAAAATTATATATATGTATATAAACTTACCCGTTATACATACAATAGAAACTTGAATATTGACATGTCTTATGTACACATGGACGAGTGGACGATTTGTTTTTCTTAACATATTTGTCATTGGTCAAACATCAAGAACTTTTTCCTGAGGATGACTGTTGTGGTCAGTTTGGAGTTGAATTGTTTGAGCTGTGAAACAATTAACTGAAGCTCATATAAATGGAATTTCATAGATATGTGTAGGATAAAGCACACACAGTGATTCAGTCAAAAATCAAGCGAGCTTAAGGCATTGTCTGTCTGACCTCTTACATTTTGTACATCTCCACTGAAACTTCATGGCCTGTGGAGGTGCAGAAGCCTGCATGAATGGTTCCAGTGATGGTAACTCTTTAAATAGCTCACAGAATTCCAGTCTGATTTTTTTATGTGGCCCACATAATTTTTCAAAATTTCAGCTGACCTCCAGATTGTGTATTATTAGATTTCTTTTGTTCAGTTAAGATTTGGGTTAATGAAAACAACTATATAACAGACACTGCTCTCAAGCCTTGTATACTTATTCCCCAGAGACCTCCACTATTACTTTGATAAATCTTGCAGACAGGACTCCGTTCTATGAATGTCTGGTTGAGGCAGAGCAAATATACTTGCTTTCTGGGCGTTACTGTGACAATGTGAGTGTGCACAAACTCAGCCATTGAAATCATATCCCAGATAGTGAGATGGTTTGTGAAGAAGAAAAAAAAAACTGATGGAAGTGCAGTGATGTTTTTTGTACAGAATGGATGTAAAGTTTATTTTGGTATGTTCAGTGTAATGTTAACTTCTATGAAGTCCGTATTAAGCCATCTTAACAGATGATTTGTGTTTGTCTTGTTTCAAAATTGAATGTGGATTTGTTGCCAAAAGACTTCTGTAAAATGGGAATTGGAATGTTCATCTACTCTTTGTTAAATGTCTATTCTGAAAACATATCAGAAAATATTATAGAGGCTTTCAGCCCTTTTTAAGAAATATTTTTATGATCCGAGTAAAGGTACAGTGATAAGTGTTATGATACACATTTTATGTGAATCAATTTTAAATACAGAATACTTAAACATTTCTGTCTCATTGGCAAAGTAGACATCCTTTTGTTATGACCAAAACGAATAGTTAACTGCTTTCTATGGGGTATACGTAATTGTATCCTTACATCTTTTCATTTAACAATATGTTCTGATGTTGAATAAATAATTAGGTAATTATTTAAAATCACATTTCATGGGTTCAAGTTATTTTGGGACTTATACATTACTGAATGGATGAAGTATTGGTTTGCTACAACCATTTTGCTGTTACAACTTGTCCCAGTAAATATATAATTACAACCTCGATATGTGTGGTTGGTGATGTTGTATATATGTGTTGGGTCTTGTGCTATAAATGGTGCTTCTGTCTGCTGCTTTTGGTGTGGACACTCTGTGGAATCAGATTTAAGTCATGTATGCTTCTCGATTGTGTTTTAAGAGTGAAAAAATGTCTTGTGATTATATTTTCTTACAAAGTCATTCAATGTATATCCATTATTGAAAACTTTGAGTTTTTGGAAAAGTTGCCTCTATTGGAAAGTACTTACAAGCACTGCAGCTCGCAGCGAAGAAAAGTAGAATGTTGAAGGGATTTTGAAATTTTCAGTTTCATTTGAATTTCATGATGCCATATACTAATGATAATCACAACAGAATCAAAATAAATCTCATATTGGCTAAGATAATGGTAGATTTCACCATTCCAGCTGTCTGTGTAATTAGCCAAAGAAGGGTTATAGTGCATGTTATCTTGTCCTTGTTTACATTGCCTGGAACAATCATTTTGATAGCACATGAAGACATTTGTAAATATGTTTGTAATCACCATGGTTACAGTGTATGGTGCTTGTTTCAAATACATGTTATCTCCAATCTTGGTGGGTTATCTCCCTTTACTCTGGTGCCGAAATAAGCTGGAAATAGGGTCTTTTGCTTCTTATATGTAATGTATCATACTCCACACCATGTGTGTAGACCTGCCCGTGAATTATCTACACAGCTTATGTAGGAAACTCATAACATAAAAGTGTGTGGATGTGTAGCATCTAAACATGTGAGCTTCAGCTCACACTGGACCGTGCAAAGAAAGGGAAAACAAATTTGCATCATACCCCTAGGCTTAGTTTTGTGGCCCTAGTAATTTCACGAAAGCTGATGATAGTGCTAGGTGGTGAGATGTGTAAATGTGAGGAAGATACAATACTGGTTCACCCTTATTATTAGGGATGTCACGATATATAAGTTTAATGATTCGATATGCATCACGATACCTATTTTCGCGGCATTACTGCGTACATTTAGTTACATTTTGAACATTAATATTTCATATTTTATAATTGTCCCTGAAAGGATCAACATTTTTATTTTCAGAGATTAAAAAGTTCTAATTTCCCATGAAAAATAATCATTTATAGCTCTCATAACATAAAAATATTTGATACAATTGCAAAATGTAAACGGTGTATAAGCATTTAAACTAATACTTTCAAAAATAAATATCGATACAGTTTTGAATGTATCGATTATTGTATCGTCTTAGAAAAAAGTATCATGCATCGATGTATCAATGTATCGTGGCATCCCTACTTATTGTGTTTCTTGGTTTGTCAGTACTCATGCCGCTGTTATTGTCATTCTCATCGGTTTTACCAAAGTCATAGATGACTAAGACTTGGATCACTTGGTTGTTCATCCCACAATGACATGGCAAACCATGCATGATATCTGGAATAACGTTCAAAACAACATTCAACCATATTCACTCACTCACTGACTGACTAGTTTTCTCTCCATTTTGGATCCCTAGAAACCCCTGCCAAGTTGCAGATAAGGAATGAGTGAGGCATTGTAAAATGTAGGTCCAGTCTGTTTAGTAGAAGAACTCGTTATATGGTCCATGTACTCCAGTTGACCCTGCATTGATAAACTGGCTGACACTGTATCTTGTATTGACAAGTTTATTTAATCAGGGTAACACTTCTCCCACAGACAGTCTGGTTAGTCAAGGGAGGTAACCCACACCATCCTATCCACTTCTCTTTATTTCAGGATCTTGACCTTATTGTATAACATGTAGATGTATATTTATTTCTTAATGTTCCTCATGCAGATGTGTATCACCAGTATGCTGTGGCATGAATTCAGTATTTGTTCAAAGGCATTATTTTTGGTTCCTGCAGTATACATTATTCTTTGATTTGGTTGTACATTTCTTTTTGTATGCATACATCCACTCGAATTCCAATTTAATTCCAGTTCAGTGTTCTTTGTGATTTTCTGTGTAGTCTTAAGACATCTGTTTTCATATTGAATGCAGTGATCCAATCGTTGAATTACCCGGTACCCAGTGTATATGGACAATATTTTGAATTGGCTTTAACCTCTTATATCTCTCAGATACCTGTATCATTGATAACCAGTTGCTTAAGGTTCATTCTTTGTCCATGTGGTGATTGAAGTTAACTTACAAACAAATGGGGGGCTGTGGGGTAGCCTCGTGGTTAAAGCATTCGTTCGTCATGCCAAAGACCCGGGTTCGATTCCCCACATGGGTACATGTGTGAAGCCCATTTATGGTGTCCCCCGCCGTGATATTGCTGGAATATTGCTAAAAGTGGCGTAAAACCAAATTCACTCACTCACTCACTCCAAACAAATGAGATCGTTTAATGACAGGTATTTTCACCACGGTAAAAGGGTTTGACAAATATGCTGGTTCACTAGAGAAAGACCTATGAGTCAGGACATGGACATCAAACCATGGAGGTTGTCTGACCGGATTGTAGAAAATATGAAAGGGTCAGTTTGTTTTGTGTTTACCTTTTACAAAAACGGAGAATATTTGCAAGGAGTTAGAATATTGTTGACAGGTGTTTTTTATTTTTCGTTTACTGTGGGACCAGTGATTTTCTGTGGCATTGGTCACCAGAAAAACAATATTAGCCAAGCCCTGCATTAACTTCATCAGAGGTAATCAGTTGGATTCATGTTACTTAATGCATGTTTAAAGTGTGGTTTTTGAGTGTTTGACTTGACCAAGTTTAGATTTGAATTGAGCCAGGTAATTACTTGTCATGTATTACTGATAATTTGCGTTCACACAATCACAACATGTGCATTTGTAGTAAAAAACATCATTCACTGTACTGATGACAACCGTTTCCAATTTATCACCCACACTGCTCAACTTCATGCCCATCAAGGAAGTCATATGTAGCCATTATTACCAGTAATGTAATAACGATATATCAAGTTCTTTGATAGGTTTGCCTTACTGAAAAGGTGACAGTCCAGTAACATCACTTTATTTTGCTGATATTGAAAATGAATTTTGTAATATGTATTCCCTAAGTGTTAACTGATTTCATAACTTCTTTCACCATCTCTGCAATGTTTGCTAGAAAGGATATATTGTGAATGTTTTGTATTGGGAGTGTATTATTTCCTTGGAATAGGTTTTGTAAGAGTGCCTAGTTTACGTGGCCATTAATGTGAATTGTGTAAGAATGGCATGGCAAATTGTGGGTTTCATGTCTGGCCCAACATGATTATGTTCTTGGGTTCGTCAGCACCATTTGATTATTGATTGAGTATAGTTTTACGCCGCACTCAGCAATATTACAGCGGTATATAAATAATCGAGTCTGGACCAGACAATCCAGTGATCAAGAGTGGTAAATTTCTAAGACTTGTATCACTTTAGGGTTTCTTCCCACATCAAGCTGATGCCCTTTGACACATCTGTTCAAAGCAGAGTCTGATTCAGTGTGTTCCCAATTACTTTTTCTTCATATTTCAAACTTTTCATTCTGATAAGACGTGTCTTAAACTCTTCTAATCTTGTAGTGCCAGGGTGTTATTAAATTGGAAACGGTTCAAGTATTTTGAATTTTGCCCATTACTAGATTTGAAAATGAAATGATATAGGGTGTAGGTTTTGAAACTGTGTGATCTTCGTCACGTTCATTGGTACAGAACATACTCATTTGTTGAATAGTCCCAACCCTGTGGAGTTACCATGACCAGTGTGAATACAAGTACGAAGTTCTTTACGGATGACTTTTGTTTTAGCAGTTCCAAAATCATAACTTGTTATCATTCCAAGCTAGGAAATTTCTCTGAAATAGAAGAAACAAGACATTTGACATTTTCTTAAATGTTTGTTGAAAATATCATAAAACATCACTAACATTATTATGTATAAAAGTTGATTGTTTGAACAAGGAAACCTGTCAAGTAAGATCCATTCATTCTGGAATCTCTGTTATCACAAGTGCAGTTCTTTGGAATTGTTGGGATTCCTCCACGAGGTTTAAAGAAAGTGTAATTATGTACATAACAAACTCTCCAAGGTTTAAAATGCGTACAAAGTGTGTCAAGATGCAATAAATGTGAAGTTTTGAGTTTATACTGAGCTGGTCAGATGAGACAGGGTGAGACACATTTGTTTTCTAGTCTTGAAATAGAACACTCTAAAGAATGTTAATGGTCGCCCAATTGCGCCATGTTACTTTAGTTATTGTCATGGCACCACAAACAGAAGTACTATGAAAGAATTGGGTGACCTTTAACTTTTGTAGTAGTATATTTACAGCCTACAGTTTCACCAGATCTTACAAAACAGTAGCCCCAAATGAGCTGTCAATATGTTTGATTTTACACATGGATTCTGTACCTGTTATGGTTAGAAAGTTTCTGTCAGATATTTCTTGGAGCTGAAGTAAGGAATACTTGTGTTTTTATGTCGAAACTAAGTATAGGAACTGCTTGAATCTTCTACTCTATGTTCAGTAAGGATTATGCCTTTTAATAGAGATGGCTGTCTTGGTCCTTAGCCAATGATGAGTAGTATATTTTATGCTGAAACATTCATTATTAAGAAATACCTATTAGTGAATATCAACCAACTATTCCTATGCATGAAAGACAAGCATTTGGCTATGCAGAACTGTAAGCTGGTTGTGTGGTTTCTGTGAATCTCTTTTCAGTTATTCCACCCCACCAGGTGTGTATTTGATGGAGAAGTGACTTCATCAGCTGTCCATGAGATTGTTTATCAAAGGTACAGGTAGCTGTTGACTCTAGCCTGGTGGCTTTAGAGTACCTTCATTGATGATAGGCCATAATCTCATTAGTGAATACCAGACAAAACTGTCATTTAATAGACCTTCAGCAGTCCAACTAGGCATCAAAGCCAAATGATGGAAATGGTTGGGGTCCTTAAACTTATAAGCAAATAAAATTCATGCATCAAGTGACCCCATGTTTAGACACTGTTGACAGTTCACTTCGGACTGATAAGATGACAAGAATGATGCTGGGTGGTTTTAGGATATGTGAAACTTACGGTGTTTCTCTGGTTAAGGAAGAACAGGATTTGCTGTTTCTGGCACCACTGTAGATCTGTGCACCACTTGCCAGTAGTACAACACTGAAGATTTGACTTGTGGCTGTCACATTCTCACTTATAGATGACAGAGAACTTTGCTCTCACAGAAATCTCTCACTTGAAACTGAAACAATTGCCAAGCAATGCTTCTACGAAAGAAGTATGTACTATTGTAAGCATGTAAATTCATTTTGCTCAATCATTAAACTAAATGAACCATTACCAGTGTCGTTGTGTTTATCTGAGCACCAGTGGAGCCAGATTTCATGAGTAAGTATAAATAATAGATGCATGTGTAAGGGTCTACAGCCGGGAGAAACTGAATAAGTGCATGCCTCAGTTTAGGCTATCTGTTCTGTTTCCAAAACCTCACTAAAACGTTGTAGAAAAAAACCATTCTATATTCCTTAGCGTTTGGTTGAGTAATGAATAATGCATATGGATGTGTCGCGTTGGGATGTCAATAACCTATGCTTGCCGAAAGAGGCGACGTAATTCGACCTGGATGTTATACTCTCACTGACTTGGTTGCCACATGTCATCGGTTCCCAATTGCGCAGATCAATGCTCATGCTGTTGATCACTGGATTGTCTGGTCCAGACTCGATTATTTACAGACCGCCGCCATATAGCTGGAATATTGCTGAGTGCGGGGTAAAACTCAACTCACTCACTCAGGGACTGGCAAAGTGTATGTCTCCAAACACCAACAATCTGCATGTCTTATTCTTATGGAAAATCAAACCCATATCTTCAGTTGTAAAATGCCAGATTTTGACCAGGAAGCACATCGGCAATATGTCAGCCATGTGTCATTGGTTGATTTGTTGTTTAACGCTGCACTCGGCAATATTGCAGCTATATGGTGGCTGTCTGTAAATAATCGAGTCTGGACAACCCAGTGATCAACAGCATGAGTGTCAATCTACACAATTGGGATACCATGAGGTGTCAATTAAGTCATCGAGCCTGACCACCCGAAGCCGTTAGTCGCCTCTTACAAGCATAGGTTACTGAAGACCAATTCTAACCCGGATCTTCACGGGTCATATGTGCACGGATGGCCCAGTCCTTCAAGTAGGCGCAATTCGTGGTGCAGAAAGTGGTAAACGTCTATGGCATTCCAACATTTATGTGACAGCCGTGATATACGGTTCACCCCTTTTTCAATTTACCAAGTGAAAAAATATCGGCATTGAGTGACTGATAGTGAATAAATCATTTGTCGCCTTTGGGACCAGGGAGAGGTCGGATTCTGAACCGCAATCATGGATCTGCACGTTACCAGTCTACTTGGCCGTGCGAGACATTGTACCGCCAAGCGTTCGTCTGGTTAGGGTAAATACCATTATTTGCACTTTTGTGCTGAACCACAATGGAAGTAGGGCTGGGACGGGTCCAGATTTTCTGCCCGGGTACTCCACCCCTATTACCCTACCCTACCCGGATACCCGTTATGTTAATTCCTGACATCAAATGTGTAAGAAATGGCAATATATTCTTCAGCTCGAGGCTAAAACGTCCGAGCTTTTCAATATAAACCATTTATTATATTCATATGAAGTGACTGTAATTATGTCTAAAAAGACAATACAACCTTTTCATCATGAAAGAATAACATATTACATTGTTTAATCTATTGGTCACATGATCATAAGGGTCTGGGTATTGAGACGACTACCCGGGTCCAACTCATTATCCACCCGTCCCGGGTATCCGGGTTACCCGTCCCAGCCCTAATTGGAAGCTAAAAAATGAAGGAGTGAGTAAGTGAGTTTAGTTCTACGCCGCACTGAGCAATATTCCAGCTATATGGCGGCGGTCTGTAAATAATCGGGTCTGGACCAGACAATCCAGTGATCAACAGCATGAGCATCGATCTGCGCAATTGGGAACCGATGACATTTGTCAACCAAGTCCGCGAGCCTAACCACCCGATCCCGTTATTCGCCTCTAACGACAAGCATGGGTTACTGAAGATCAATATTCTAACCCGGACCTTCACGGGTCTAAAAGGTGAATGTTTCAGCATGAAAAAAAAATATTACAAAGAAGGCAAAGAAATAGGGACTAATTTTATTCTGTGTATAATCGTACTAACTGGTACAAACATACGAAAGGATATATGTATACATTTGAAAATACATGTACATATTGTAAAACCATTTTCTCCGCCATATTCCAGCCACATGACGACCACCTATAAATGTTCAATGTTTGGACCACACAAACCAGTGACTGATATTGAGAACAACGATTCACGCCGTCTTGGAAGGATGACACGACTCCTGACCATCCCATCCATTTAGTCGCCTCCAAGACCCGGCAGTGACTGATGCTGGCTAATTCTAACCCAGGGTGACATCGGCCTAATGTTTTTTGTTTCTTTTCTACAAATTTGAAATAACGCGTTTCGTTACAGGAAAGAAACACCTGCCTCTAATACTATAATTTGTCATAAATATACTTCAGTGGGCCTCGAACCCGAACGCCGCATCCCGGGTTTGAGTTCACCGGGAATTTCACTACAGATGCCTCACACACAGTAGGATTTGTTTTGGAAGACACTGTTAGTAATTTTTATACGGTTTATTTTATACTAGTCACACTTTGCTGAGGATCAAATCATGGATTCAACAGAAAACTATTATGTGGGGTCAAATTTGGTTTAAATATCTAAGCTTGTTGTTAGCATGGATCCTAAGTTTCAGTATGTCATTGCATCTTGTGGATCCCATACCTGCTATTGACAGGTATTGTTTATTTTGTCAATGACTCGTTCCATGATTTGCAAAATGGTTAATTGATGCCATGAAAACCATTTTTATGGTTACTCATGTATCAAGTGCATAAGGTTAGAATAAAGTGGCTGTTTGCCCGAAGAGGGGTTACCATATCATTATTTATCCAGTTTTAAATGGATACAATTTAAAATTATAAATCAGCGCTTAAGTAAAGTTGTGAATTTTGTGAAACTTATCAAAGTGTGAGTAGTATATAAAATGTTTTCTTGTTGTTGTGAAGTATGACTATGCTTGATTGTCCAATTATGAATGATTTCGTTGAAAGTACCTAAGTTCGACTATTATAAAAATAAATAGTCGCGCACGCGTTGTTGTCAAAAGAAACAGGCAAGAGACATTCGTGACCAACTCGTGTTATTCCGGGACAGAGGTTATACGGAAAGGGGCGAGTGGTGACGACTGACAAGCGGGAAGCGGTTGGACCGAGAGCAAGACATGTTCGAAGCTTTTCACTACCTATACCCATAGTCACGCTCCCTAACAGCTTGTCCACTTGGTTTGTATTTCCCGTTCTGTGGATTCCTCTACAGAAGGCAACCCCGAAAACCGTCTTTGTTTCGTAAAGTGAGGGACCAAAATGTTCCGTATTTGGCCACGAACCTGATAAATAGTTCTTCACCTTTTCAGTAGCTTCCAAGCAATCACGTTTCTGGCGACACTGCCTCTGACTGAGTTTTGGTTTTACGCCGCTTTTAGCAATATTCCAGCAACATCACGGCGGGGGACACCAGAAATGGGCTTCACACATTGTACCCATGTGGGGATTCGAACCCGGGTCTTCGGCGTGACGAGCCAACGCTTTAACCACTAGGCTACCCCACCGCCCCTTAGCCTCCAGAATTTCGTTGAGTGCGTGGCGTTAAAGAACTAAACACATACATGTAAATGCAAGCGTCATAGTCACTTTTACGGAAGCGATATGGTAACGCAAAAACACATCCGTAGTGTAGTGAATAAGTGAGTGAGTATGGATTTACGCCGCTTTTAGAAATATCAAGTTGGGGACACCGGAAATAGGCTTCACACACTGTGCCTTTGTGGGGAGTCGAACCAAAATGCTACCCTACCATGCATCCCCGTCCGAAACGTAGACGCCGAGTCTGTGGGTTAACAGTTATCCGTTATTGTCAGTTATCTGAGTGAGTGGGTGAGTATGGTTTTACGCCGCTTTGAGAAATATTCCAGCAATATCACGGCGGGGGACACCAGAAATGGGTTTCACATATTGTACCCATGTGGGGAATCGAACCCGGGTCTTTAGCGTGACGAACCAACGCTTTAACCACTAGGCTACCCCACCGCCCCCAGTTATCTGAAGTTAGTGGTATTAGGTATATAGACATCGCAAAAACATTATTGTGAAATATGATTTTAATTCATCCATGTCTCTGTGGGTGAAACATGATGACGAGTGAGTATGTTTACGCCACTAACAGTATTACAATTGCGGGGGGTCGGCTTGATTTCGGAGGAAATCACGAAGTGATACTCGACCTGTTAAACTATTGGTACTTTTGTGAAACCTGCGACAATGGACATGGTGCTGATAACTACATGAACATAATTGGTGAACCGATATTTGAACACACGAGGTTACTGGCCCACTTAAGGGAAGCAACTAAGTGGACCAGGTCGTATGTATAAGGAGGTATGTTTGAAAGTGATGAACTATGACGTCAAACATGGATAAATATTCAAAGTAAATGTACTAAGAATGGAAGTAAGATACATGTGTGGTAAGGAGGGTTAGAAACGTACTAAGGCTGATTATGTTTAACTGCAATGAAGCAATACATTTCCTTTAAGTGAGTGAACGAATGAGTTTCAGTTTTGCACTGCTTTTAGCAATATTACAGCAATATCGCTGCTGCGGACACCAGAAATTTACTACTTTAAGTATACTGCCATCAGACACGCCAGGAGAGTGGCAAGTGACAGAGACAGTAGAGATGCCTCACACGTGGTCGGTACGGGTTTTGGTGCTGCAGGAGTTGGGTTGAACTGAGGACATTTCTTGTCCATCATACATTCCTTCACCTCCATTGCGGTGTATCTACCAGACTGTTCAGCTCCTTCAACAAAACCATCCATCACGTCATGGTATGCCTCTCCAGCAAAATAGACTCTTCCCACTCGCGACTTCAGAGCCTCCAGGAACCTCGGGTTACCCTCGTCTCCGACCTGACGGGAAGTGAAGCTGCCCATGGTGAGAGGATCACTCGTCCATCTCTCCAGCCGGATGCTTTCTGGTTCCGGTGTCGACGATCCGAACATGCCCTTGAGCACCCCCTTTATCTCGTCTTTCACTTGATTGTCTTGCATGCTCTCCACCCTCCGTGCCTCCTCTCCCATAACGACAAACAGGAGTATGTTCGTCCCGTTGGGAAAGAAACCCTCGGCCTCCAGGTTGATGATAATGGGATAGTATCCTCTTCGTGGATGGACGTGAAGGATGTATTGGTAAGTTCCCCAAAAGTTGGTCACCGTGCTGGCAAATTTGACATAGATCTGAGCGTACGAGTCGATGCTTGTTCTATAGATAGTGTCTAACTTCCAAGCGGGTAGAGAAGGGTTAAACATATCGTTCTTGCTCTTTAGAACACCCATGCTGAATGTGACTATGGCGTACTTGCCATTGAAGGTCTTGCCGCTACTGGTAGTCACCGACACGGAGGTGTCAGTGTGGTTGATGCCTACCACCGTCTCACCCAGCTTCATTTGTGGACCGGAAGTGTTCATGAATGAGCTGGCGAATCGTTCCATGTAGTTCTGTAGTCCACGCTGGTCAGTTGACAGGAAGGGTTTGTCCTGGATGTCAGAGACGGACTGAAATCCTCGAGTTGATATGAGGGCAGGAAATTTGCTAAATTCGAAATCGTAGTCGTATATCTCTATGACATCTTCCAAGATGGTTTTAGGAAACCAGCCTCCATTCTCTAAAGCCACTTTAATAGACATGTCCCGTATCTTGCCCTCCTTGATTTCACCAAAGAGTTTCTTCACAGTTTTCTGCGCGTTTGCTAGTTTATTCCACACTGCGTCCGCCTGCTCGTCCAGCGACTCATTCAAATACGACTTCACGATGACACTATCGTAGTCAACGTACTTGCCTGTGATGTTGTACATGTTGACGGTGCTGTTAATGGAAGATTCGGTGCCATATATACCAATGGATCCAAGTTCCACGATTTTCCCGCCAAACATCGTGCTTTTAATTCTCCCGCCAATCGTATCAGCGGCCTCTATGATGATAAAGGAGACGTTTTGGCTGGCCAGAACACTCGCCGCGGATAGCCCAGCACTTCCGGCGCCGAGAATGAGAACATCTGAAACATAATGTTCCTCCATACATTTTCAATGAAATTAATTTTTTCATTGATCTACATTGTAAGGTCACCCTAACCAGCGTAGCGTAGTCCTAACGTGTTTCCGTATCTTCATATCATCTTAAAGTCTCAACAACATTCAGTTAACTTCATCGACATTGATCAAAGTATCATGCCAATTCCAGACTAGTCATGTTATCTACGGAATGATTGGCTGGCGAACAATACGTCTTGAGACGCGCAACCTACTTTCAGCATCAATTAGCATGTAAAAGACCAAAAAACATCTCCCCGTTTCAACTAAATTGTGCATACCCATTGTGTCTTCAAAATTATAAGGTGTTATGCATGATAGACCCAAGAACAAGACTCTCGCTTTCAAATTTCATTTCCATGTACTAGGAGATGTCCCGCCGTGATGTTGCTGGAATATTGCTTAAAGCTGCGTAATACCATACTCGCTCGCTCGCTCTCACGATCACTCACGCACGCACACACTCACTAACTCACTGACAGAGACGTTTTAAGATGGCACTTGTTGGTACCCGTATTGTGCTCGGCATTATTTTTTTAATTTTTATTTTTTTTTATTTTTTGTATTCACTTCACTTGGATACACTTTGTATGAAACAATCTGTGGACATAGTTTTGTAATAAAATAATATAATGGGAGGCATGTCACTCTGTTTCAAGTTCCACAGGGGGAAATAGAGCACGTAAAACTGGAGCAATGGCAGATACACTTGGGTACATGTATAAGCTATTTCATTGTCACATTCACAGAACATTTTGGAGTATTATCAATTTATATAATGCTCGGCATTATTGGTATTTGAGGGCTTTCAGTGTACCGTGTAACAGTGGAGTACTAATGGTATAGTACAAACAGCATTTAGAACACGCAGTACACACTCGCAAGCACTTCTGAACACGCATATGGACACATACACGTATATACAGCCTTGCCATTTTCGCCTTACTTTTAATCATATGAATAGAATAGAGAAACATCAAAACTTTGTTAATATTTTAAATTCACAGCAATACAAATAATAAACATATTTAAATCTTCACCTGATTGTTGCGGAATACACAGGGGCGTGTCACGCTAAGAAACAGCGTTAGAAAGACATATAGGTACATACACCCTAACCTAGTACTATATAAAAGGATCCTTTTATATAGTACTAGTGTAGGGTCTATATACCTATTTGTCTTTCTAACGCTGTTTCTAAGCGTGACACGCCCCTGTGGCGGAATACACACATAAACACGCACGCACGCGCACCCAAACACACCCTGCACATGCACAATCGTGGGTGTGGTCCTCCTGCATGGACACACAACCACCACTCCAGTGTAATATTTGAGCGCGGATCTGTTGTTGATGAACAAATTCAGGACGAGGCTGCAATTCAAAATCACGCCAACTGCGCGTGAACAATGACAACTCTGTGCGCCCCCGCCCACCCCCCATACACACACACTCATAGATACGAATAAAGCAATAGTTGGCATACAGTGTGAACTTTGATTGTTTAAATTACATTCCCCGCGTTACAACACAACATTGCCAGAGAAAACAATCCATGGTCATCCTCAAGAACCACGATTCGTTTTCTACTGTGGAACATTTTGGCGGGGGTGTTCGTCTGACTGTTCGCACCTCTCTTTTGAGAAACCTGCCCAGAAAGTTGATTGCAGCGTTTTGTATACAATACAAACGTACATGCATAGTGCTATTCCATGTGCTCTTACTTTAACAGCACATAATTGTTCTTACCTGCATCATATTGCGCTGATGCTCCAGACAACAGGAACGTCACTGCAAACACAAGCAACATCATCTTGTAAGATGCTCTGCAATGATTCAAATGTTTGTTGCAACAGCCTTGGGAGAATAACTCAAACCGGTTTTAATCAGATTGGGCAGTAAACACAGTAGATGTGAACTTGACGCTTTATAGTCACAATGTCCTACATGCGTCAGTGAAAGTATTTGTACAATAGACATGCATTAGGCTCAGTCTTCTGTGACGGTTCGCCGGTACAAGCCAATGTTGTTTACTTCAGGCGAACAAATATGTGACCTTCGCCGTTGATCGATATTTAGTGAGTGAGTATGGTTTTACGCCGCTTTTAGCAATATTCCAGCAATATCACGGCGGGGGACACCAGAAATGGGCTTCACACATTGTACCCATGTGGGGAATCGAACCCGGGTTTTCGGCGTGACGAGCGAACGCTTTAACCACTAGGCTACCACCGCCCCTGATTGATATTTAACAAAGACCATTTGAGAAGCCTTGTTTGAGTGGCATTTTTTAGAAGTTGTAATTAGAACAAACTTTATGGATAACAAATTCGAGAGTGCGACGTTTCGATACAGTTTGTCAAGCATGACGTTGCTTGACGAAGACGTCGCACTCACGAATAAAAAGAAGTTGTTATCCATAAAGTTTGTTCTATATGAGAAGCCTTGTAATTAAAGAATAAGTTCTTGCCGAAGATCTAGGATTATATGGTTGAAGCCCATTTCTGATGTCCCCTGAATACTGCTAAAAGAAACGTTAAACCATGTATACTTACTCATGAGTGAGTGAGTTTAGTTTCACGCCGCTTTTAGCAATATTATAGCAGCATCACCGGGGGGCAACAGAAATGGGTTTTACACAATGTACCCAGGTGGGAAATCGAACCCGGGTCTTCGGGGTGACGACTGAACCACTAGGCTACCCCAACTTACTCTTGAAGAGATATATCAGCTTATACCATTATTGCCTTACAAATGTCATACGTCAGTGAACGGTCGTGATTGGGACTTTTTTCGGTACCAACATGTATTTCAGATACAGATATTATTTGTGTACCGACGTGCAGGCGTTCAAGGATTGACGCAACAGTTTCACTCACAAATGCTGCTATGTCTCAGTCCATCTCTCAACACAAAGCCACGACAGGGCCAGACAAAACATTCTCTTCGCAGAGGGAACTGGAACTACTGCGATTCGACTCTATCTACTGACTTTGAAACCCGTACTACCCTACAGTACTTACGCAATACACGCTATACTTGTTATTCTTTTCTTACTGACATTGTGTATTCATACCCTAGAAGGCTGCCATGTCGTTTGCACATGTCCTAAAACATTTAGGTATAGGTTAATGTCTGTTAGACTGAAAACTGATGACCATGTTATCTTAAGGGGCACGGATGGAAGAGTTGCGTCCCTTGGGCAGGTCAGAAACCTGTGATCGTGGGTTCAAATCCTGGTTCGCCCAGATGATTGTAGCCTTGTCAGCACCAGTTGTAAACGTGTATGACTTGCACCATTTCGGACTTTCCTCCCAAACGAAGCTGACGGGCCATGATATAACTGAAATACTGTGCAAAGCGGCGTTAAACCACTCACTCACCTTTTGCCACACAAATCCAGATTTCCTGCTCAACATGGATTTAATGTTTTTTGATGTTCATTGATACGATCTATAGATATCTGGATGTGTTTGGTTATGAGTGTGTCATTTTGGAGAAAAAAAACTGTTGTCATAACACTAACTTACCATGACTCTTTCAGCAGCTACAAATTGTTGTAGCCATGGCCAGATGGCCCGTGTCTAGCCAGAACTAAAATAGGCCTATAACTTCAGTTGGTTTAAATGTAGATAATCTGTGAGGAAATGGCACATTCATGACACTTTGCGATGGAAATTATAGGCCTATGCATTAATTTTATGCACGGGCATTAGAGAGTGAATTTAGTTTTACGCCGCTTTTAGCAATATTCCAGTAATATCGCGGCTGGGTGACACCAGAAATGGGCTTCACACATGGGTTACCCATATTTACGTTATTTTATTAGCATTGTTTCGATTTACGGCAGCTTTCAGACTGCATTTTACTTCAAATCGATTTGTAACGAATGACTTATCCTAACATGAGAAAGATGATGGGTGAGGTGTATTACACAATAGACTATTACCAAATGTGGATATCAGCAACTCGATGCAATGTGTCCTGACTATTGGAGATTGGGTAGTCAAGAGGATGTAGCGCTCGCTCGTCAATCACGTTGTACCCCCGGGAGGCGTATAATAAATTTTTGTTCAAATATAACAGACATAGATTCACAGACCAAAACTATGGGTTGATCTGAAAAGATTGTTCGAAAAACAACCAAAGTAGGGCATAATACGACTCGTTAAAAATATGATCCGCGTTAAATGCAAGGCGATAATAAATCTTTCATTACGTGTAGTGCGGATATAAAGAGGACATTCTCAAATATGAAGCATCAGTTAAAAAGGTGGTAACAGATCAATAACTTCTTCATGGCTAAAAATGTGTCCCAAATAGAAGCTCAAACCTTTCCATGACCCCACCCAATGTGGTCCCCGACTTTGTGTATGGAGTATACGCCTGAATGAACGTTCTGTGTGGCCTGATCTGCAGTCCCTGAATATACTCACACATGTATTCTGGTTGTTGACAACACTGCGACTCCGCCTACCTAGGAATGTCGACAGACCTCGATGTAAAACGCTTTTTGTTCAAGGCCTCATTCAGCAACAGCAAAGACCATTTGTTTTGGGTACGAATCTAGTATCCCACTTATGCATCGTGTAACAGGGACGGTGGGGTAGCACAGTGGTTAAAGTGTCGGCATGTCACGCTGAAGACCAGGGTTCGATTTCCCACATGGGTGTAATGTGCGAAGCCCATTTCTGGTGTCCCCTGGAATATTGCCAGCCAGCCCGAAGACCCGGGTTTGATTTCCCACATGGGTACAATGTCTGAAGCCCATTTCTGGTGTCCCCCGCCGTGATATTGCTGGAATATTGCTAAAAGTGGCGTGAAACTAAACTCCCTCACTCACTCACTCCCACTTGTGATCAGTCTTCCCCAGCATATAAAGGACAACTGTAAGAACTATTGTACATGTTTAATGGCATGACTGATACGGTAATGTTAGTCAATGAATTAGCTATACATCAACAAGCCAGGGCTATGTGACTAGGACGTACAATCACATTCGCTATCTACATGCTATATTTATCATCAGCACTGCCAACATTGTATCAACATGATAGAAATGTACAGGCATAGATACACATTTACATTATCATACAAGTTGAGAATGTTTCCCCTCTAATACGAGGCCAATCTTCATCCTAAAGTTGTTCAATAGTACCTTGGAGACACAAGACAAATTATCTTAAATAACATGAAATCAGCGATTTATCTTAAGTCCAATAAGATTACAGATCAAACAGATCAACCTGGTCATATTCAATAAATAATCACAATAAAACATATTACGTCAGAGAACGTATACCGATGGTCGGTGTATGGTCCCCGATTACAGTTGTCTGATAAGTTTCAATCCATACACAAGACACACATAACATAAGGAAACCATCAACACATTTTCAGCCCAGTTCCACAAAGAGACCTTAGCTATACAATCTATTTTCAAGTATTCAGAGCGCTTAAGCCTGCGACTTCTCAGATCGCTAAGATCTCTTTGAGGAACAGGCCCTGCTTTCTTGAAGGAATAAGAACTGATTCAAGTCATAAAGCAAGAAACGCTGTTTAAAAATGAAATAATACTTTGTGTATAATGATTTTAGTGTCAACTGATACCTTCAATCCTTTCAGTGTCTGGCTATAAATGTATCCAGGGTACATTATGGAACAACAAGATATCAACATGACCTGGAATCATGAGGATGGGCTTCTGGTTACATCAGAAGACTCCAAGAAGACTCATCGCTGTGCTGTAGGAGCTACTCGTGCTAGGAGGAGTCTGGGCCGAGAGTCTCCTGATCAATAATATCCCCCCTTGGGATTCCATCACGAATCCACGAAGGGGGAAAAACTGAAGAATATCTGCACAATATCAGTCCAGTAGTTGTAACACAACTACAGTAAGTGTCATAGCACTTTCACGACAAACAAGACTGTGAAGATTCTCACGAGTTCATCCCTGTAGCCTGTGATATATGCAGCTGGTCCCTGTTTCAGAAAGCTATCGTAGCGAGACCACTGTCAGGGGTCTATGTTACAGTATAGGAGGCACGACAGTCATAGCACTACAATAGCTTTGTGAAATTTGGCCCTGGTCCAGACTCGATCACTGGTTGGACTTCAGCAATCCTGCATGTCTTAAGATCAAGGGCCCCGTTTCACAAAGCTGTCGTAGCAACGACTGTCATAAGTCTGTTACTGTATAGGGGGCACGACAATTGTAGCGCTACAACAGCTTTGTAAAATGCAACCCAGGGCACGTTCCTCAAAGTGATCGTACCGCTACGACTGTCGTAACTCCATGTTAAAGTATGGGAGTTAAGATCATCTTAGCGCTACGATCGCTTTGAGGAACGGGGCCCTGGTCCAGACTCGATCACTGGTTGGACTTCAGCAACCCTGCATGTCATAAGATCAAGGGCCCCGTTTCACAAAGCTGTCGTAGCACTACGACTGTTGTAAATCTGTTACTGTAGAGGAGGCACGACAGTCGTAGCGCTACAATAGCTTTGTGAAATGGTAGCCTCCTTTATAAAGTAACCACCTGCAGCACAGCTGTGTCATTACTTCTTGCATAATACATCATGAGCAGAGGCAAATCCAGATTGTCACAGCCGAGAGGTGCTGAGAAAAAGTATCACAAGGTTAGAAATGAAATCTGACTTTCCTTGAAAGAAATATTGAACCATTCAACACCAAGCAACTGACATAACATGTAACAACAAGCTATGCGAAGAACATCTTATAAAAATCTGCCGTCCCTTCTACCATGAAGTAAACTTGGAGCAATAAGCGTGATATACCAGCCTTGTTGGACAATGTGTGAATGTACTACAATATATATAAGTCATAGCACCTGAATAACCATGGCGACCAGGAGCTCCAGCAGATTCAGTCAAGGTCATCACCATCAGATATAATGGAGTACAACATTTGATATTAATGTCAATGAGGATTCAGCCAGATTTAATTTCCAATCCTGTATGGAATATATTGAAGAATGAGATGGGAAAAGGATTCAAAACATATACAGAATAAATAATGCATGGGGCTATGTTGGAAGATCACAGGAAACATTAATATGATGAATGGTATAAGAAATCTGAACCAAACCTTCATGCAGGGTATTGAAGTAACAAACAAACAATATATCTCCAATAACCAAAGCGATATTGTTGCTTTAACATACAAAGTCCACAGATAAGACAGGAAGTACAAAACAAACTCCTAATCCCAAGAAAAATAGCGTACCATTCAGTTGCCGTAAAATGTCAAATTGTCTTAGCAGGGAAGAAACATTCACAGTTGCTTGCTTCAGGGTATTGAATTACATGATTATAAAGAACGTGTAAAGTTGACGTAAAGATTGGCCCATCTGATGACTTAGAGACGTCGTCTACTGATTCGTTAATCTGCTGTACTCTACAGAGTTCTATTCTCATATTAAGTTTCATAATTCAATATGAAGTATTTACAAATCTACCTCTTCATGCATACATAAACTCAGTCATTCTTGTCAACTAATAACAACTCCAAATGTACATCTACAGTGGCCCATCATCATCATCATCATCACGGAGTCCTATTTACATACCATGTGCTGCGTCACTCCCAATAGTCCGGGCCACTGCATCTGTCATGTCAGTGGGACTTGTGTTCATCTGTGATCGATCTCTGTGTGTGTGTGTCACACTCTCTCTCTCTCTGTATGTGTGTGTGTGTATGTGTGTGTGTGTCACTCTCTCTCTCTCTGTGTTGCAAGTTATGCATGTAACTGTATAATGCATAAGTGTGCATATTGCATGTTATGTTTGTTTTGTATGCTACAAGTGTGTACATGTATTTTGCATGTTGTGTGTGTGTGTGTGTGTCCATGCATGTGTTGCATGGTATATATGTGTGTTTTGCATGTGTGTGTTGCATGTTATGTGTGTGATGCATGTTATGTGTATTTTGCATGTGTGTGTTGCATGTTGTGTGCATGTCCATGCATGTGTTGCATGGTATATGTGTGTATTTTGCATGTGTGTGATGCATGTTATGTGTGATGCATGCTGTTCATGTTAATTCTGACTACAGTCAACAAAAACAATCACATCTTCTAACCACAGATGACTCATAACACTATACAAATTGCATATAGCACATTGTGGCACTTTAGACAAACACAGATAATCCAACTGAGAATCCTAACACAAGCACAGACGTGGTACCAACATTGCCTGATGCCCGATTAACCTGGGTTTGGCAGGTCATGAAGAGTCTGTGAATAACCAAATCTCTCTGTCTCAGCAGACAGAATGTATTTGACAAGTTTGTCAAGCACACATGACGTACCTCCAACTGAAACAGAAGGCTCTCCAAACACTATGATTTCAGTTTTGATTACTTTGTGAATTAATTAGACCATTATCTTATCAACCCCATGTCCTACCATCTTCCTATACTGCCAAGTACCCCCTGTTTGGATAATGACAGAAGAGTACACAATTCAATTCAATTCTCAATCAAGAGATCACTTTCTTCCACACATATGTTCATTTCAAGAAAAGAGAAAAAATGCCCTTGGTTTTTTTTGGCAAAATGCTTCATTCTGCAAAATAGCTAGGACAGGAAAAAGTCTAAATTCATTCATGTTCTCTCTACAGAACACCAGGTCTGTCTTTCAGTCAATCATGTCAAAGCCTGTGTAAAGAGAAGCCTTTCAAAAAATGACTCGTTACCTGAAACAGGTATTTGAAATAACATCTATTGAACTTTTGATACCATGACCTGCACCATGCTCTTAAACAAAAGTGATTGCATCTCCCAATCTTTAACACAGACACGACAATCCCAGGTCTAAAATCACACTGTGGACCATGACCAGAAGCACAATTCCGGATGCGATCTAAGTCCATGCTGCAGTATGGAGCAACAAATGTCTTAGCTATGGCTCTGTAAAATGGCCCAGGAAACGTGTGTGATTTCTTAATACTACAGAATCAAGCTCAACAGAACAACCTGTGAGGTAGGAGGATAGTGAAGCTAACATGGGGAACCTTGTTGACATCAACTGACTGACTGAGTTTGGTTTTACGCCGCTTTTAGCAATATTCCAGCAACATCACGGCTGGGGACACCAGAAATGGGCTTCACACATTGTACCCATGTGGGGATCCGAACCCGGGTCTTCGGCGTGACGAGCCAACGCTTTAACCACTAGGCTACCCCACATCGACTGACAATAATATCTGGATTTATGTTCAACACATATTAGCCAACTGTGATCAAAAGTCTTTTTTTAATAAGAAGACTTAAGAGTATTTGAGCCCTGAGAAGCCTGTGGAACTAAGGACGATTCTACGGCTGCGACAGTCAGAAGTCTATGTCAAAGTATGGGAGTTGCCATCAGTTTCATGCTAGTGAAAAATTATCTCATGTTTTAAGACAATGTCATCTTTATGGCAAAGTTCAAAACAGTCATGTCATTATTGTCTGCTCTGTGATATCTGCTCCCTGAATACCTGTTGATTAATACACTCTTCATAGAAAATGAAACAAATTTACTGGAATCATTCGTATTATAATTCATAACATTACCGATACCTCTGAACAGTGCTGACTCTGAACACCAGGCCGAACTGATGAATTCCAGTGTTCCACTACAACAACTTACGTCTGTGTCACAGCCAGTGATGTGAGGCCACACACAACTACCATCTCGTTTGTGCAGTGCATCACAACATCGATTCCACAAGTGGTACTTTCTGATTGTACAGATACTTTCAAAACACAGTTACATGCTAATACATCTTCACTACCACCATGTTGTACAAACACTGTCATTTCTACATCCTTGGCCAGACGCTGCCATCTGCTTGTTCTGTTTGTTTGTTGTTTAAGACAGCACTCTGCCTTATTCCAGCTATGTGAAAGCAGTCTGTAAATAATCAAGTCTGGATCCCCAAATCCAGTGATTGACATCATGAGCACTGATCTTTGCAATTAGGATACGATGACACGTTTCCATCAATCCAACTAGAGTGACCACCGAATCCTGTTAGTTGCCTCCAATGACGAGCATGGGATGTTGAAGACAAAGTCTAACCTGGATCTTCAAAGGTTATCTTCATGCCATTAACAAAAAATCCTACATCAATTTCATTTAGGTAATATCAAACATCCCTTTAGAAAATATGAAAGAAAAAACAAAGCTTTATTTGATTGAAACATTTGTAGGAAATTTACTAAGAATGAACCATGAAAATCCATTAGTTAATATGTCTTTACATCTTGGTGAACGTAAACCTGGCAGAAAATTAGGTCTGGCCTCATAAATCAATGCTGTGTATCCTGACTTACTTAATGCACAATGAGTTCGATCACCGTGGCAATACTATATATATAAGCTTCCCTGTAAAGAAGTACAAATGCTGGAGCAGTTTTAGCAATGAAGGTTTGTATTGACATTAAACTTGCAAGCACCGCAAAAGCCAAGGTATATTACATAACAAATTCATCAAAAGTGTGAAAATAGGAAGACGTTGTTCCAAGAAACAACAAGTTCAGAGCTAGACATAGACATTATTCTGGAAGTTTGAGACTGACAAAACCGAGACACCTTAATAAATCAGCGCCAAAATATTCCAGTCAATAAACCATGCTAACTGGGGTCCAGTTCCACATAACGATCGCAGCACTACAACTGTCATAAGTCTATGCTAAAGAATGGGAGTTACGATCACTCAAGTGCTACGATCGCTTTGTGTAACAGGGGCCAGGGCTTATCTATCAACATCACTGTCATGTTAAAAGTTACTCTCTGGTTCCAGACAAGCATTAAAGATGCACCTTCGCTCCTGCCCTTGGAACAAAATCTCCCTATTTCCACTGCTCTGAATGCCTGCCATATTGCACTAGATGCTGGATTCACACATCCGTCTCAGAATCCACCTGAGAGGACAGTTTGAACTTTGACTCCAGTTTTGTCCTGGACTTGGGGACAGGGTGCTGCTGCTGCTGACCATTGCCTCCTACTACCTGTATCGTCCTCTCCTCCGCTGTCTTGTTCTCCCATGCATCATCGTCTACCGTGAACTGTCGGGGAAACACAGCGTTACCATGGTTACATGCAAACATCAGCCAACATGATGCCAGGATGGTTTGAGCTCACTTGAAAATGCTCCGTGTGAAATCCTGGACCATCTTTCAAAGGTACATTCATTATGAGAAAGGTATATACAAGATAATGCTAAGTCCTTGTGTCAGTTATACATACATTTTGCATATTCATGACAAATGCACATATAAAGGTTTGTGGATACAACAGTTGAAAATAACCACATTAAAACAATAGCACTTACAAAAGGTCTAACAGCAAATTCAACTTAAACACAGATTCAGCTATTGTCTTATTACAATTATCATCAATTACCACTCTCTTGATTTCTAGAGATACAAATACCACATCATGGTTTAAACCTCATATATTTACCAAACATCAATGCCACATATTATAGCTTAAGTTTCATGTTTACCATGCATTAAATGCCACATAATATGGCTTAAGTTTCATATATTCACCATGCATAAATGCCACATAATATGGCTTAAGTTTCATGTTTACCATGCATTAAATGCCACATAATATGGCTTAAGTTTCATATATGCACCATGCATTAATGCCACATAATATGGCTTAAGTTTAATATATTTACCATGCATACTCTTCATGTTCATAAATACCATGAAAGTCTACAATATAACATTACATGTCTTTCTCTTGTTATTTCATATATAAAGGAAGAATTACTGTTACTGACATCCTAATATTTGTGACCAATGACAAATTAATGAACATACAACTATGCAATGATCTTTCACAATTACTTAATACTGCACTGAATACAACACATTATTGTATACATCTTAAAACATAAATTTGATGGTTTCTTTGATTCTTTTCAATTTACAATATAACAAATATAACAGCATGAAATAAATATAAAATAAATTACACATTTGCAGTGACATCGAAACCTCTGTATATTCAGTATTAAAGACAGACACATTTACCTGACAAGGCAAAAACACCTGTACAAGAGATAGAAGAATGGTTAATGATAAGTATGATAGATTTCATAATGAAAGCTGTCAGGGAGATAGACATCTTGAATGTTAAACTACAAGCAAAATTAAGCTTGCATCTTACACCAGTGAAAACCGGGAGTGCCCACAACCAGAGTCCATGGTTACCTGTGGACTGAACAGTTCACTTTCATACACAACAATGGTCATAAAGGCCAAAGGCGACTTTCCTTACTTAGGCTCACATGTCTGGTCATTACCTCCCTTCACCCAATGACCCTTCAAAAAAATTAAAAACTGACAAATTTATTTTTGATCATGAAAATACATGCATTGCCCTTTTTTAAAACCAGCCCTTATAATTTACATAATGGTATTTGTCAGTGAGGTGTCCAGGTGTCAAAATCAAAATCAACGCTGTAACCATGGTAACCATAGACCCCGCTGTAGACAGAATGTGCATACCTTAAGTCTCCAGAGGTCAACCCAAAAGCAAACATGGCAAATCGGGCACCACAAATATAACAATTAAGATGGTTCAGATATGAGTACATGAGGTACTACCATTCATTTATAATATACAGAACTGTTTTGAGGCTGGAGCGATTACACTGCTTGACTTCAAAGCCCCATGAGCAACACGTCTGCAAATGTTCCACCAAATCTCTAAACACCTGGAACTTTTCCTTAACACCAGACGTCCATACCTGCACACACTATTTCAGATGTTCATATACCGGGAGGAAGAACAGATGTTACATAAACACATTTGGTGTTTCGATTTACGAAAAGGGCTGTCCAAACTGTCAAGTGTCGGAAGTTGAAGGACTGAGTGATACGTAAGTCATATTTTGTCGCAGAGGGCAGGTGCCCCTTGATGGGCGTGTCACTGGGATGCCCACGCCGACTTGTCATCTTCAAACTGTATAGTCAGGGGAGAGAAGCAGAGAGACAGGTCAGTATGCTGTACATATGTACCTAACCTACACTCACTGTACATGCTTGCTGGAGCTTACCGACCCGTTCACAACGCCATAATCACCCTACGACTCTCTCGGAGGTCGATGTTACAGGAGGGCTGATACAACAGCAGTAGAGCTATATTGTTTTGTGTTGGCAGACACTTTTGAAGTGGTTGACATGGCCGACAGACCCTGCTGTGTTTCATTAAGTGGCATTTCTCAACAAACCAGGGAATTAGACAAAACTATTTGTTCCAAGACAAGAAAAAATCAGGAATTTCCCTTTGTATTTTCCCAGATATCATATGAATGACGCTTTTGATTGGGTAAACATACGTTGTCAACCTCTGCGTCTAAATAGTCCCAAATTGATTTGTCTTCGAACTTGGAAACAACTGAACCAGGTCTATAACATGAAACTTCAGTGATCTGTGGTTTAAATGTGTTAATCAGACAGAAGATGTGCCCTGTGCATGTGTGAGTGTGAAACATTCCACAGCCAGTTATGTCCCAACAGGTCCAAATATTCCCACAACAAACATGTACCAGTGAGTCTGTAAGAAGAGCATATACATGTAGGACTCGGATCTATGGACCTCTCATCTGAGACAGAATGCCCAGCTCATGACACAAATATTCCGACATAATTCACATGAGTGTGTTTGTTGTTTAACACTGCACTCAACAGTCCAGTACATGACAGCATCCAGTAAACAATCTACCCTGGGCCAAACAATCTGGTGATTGATACTGTGAGCAAGGATCCATCGGGAAAAGATGCAGTCTACCAAGCCCCTAGTCTCCTCACCCAATCTATTACATTACTCCTTACTAACTTACATACTTCATGACCAGTGAACGTTGCTGAGGATCAATTCTAACCCAGATTCCATGACGGGTCACGGTGACATGACTTCATCCAAGCAATGACATCATGTTGATGTAATGTCATCGAGGAATTCCAAATGTTCTACTCTACCAGTTTATACTTGTCATCCTGCTACTCTCCCATAGATATCCTTAACTACTCGGATCATCAGCCATCTGTTTAAGGCTTGGACTGACCTTTCATAGGATATTACCTTATTCTAGGATCTACCTAAAGGATCACTAATGAACATGATATGTATAGCAGACAGTATGACACAGCTGATATCCCTATTAATGAAAGCTTGGACTGACCTACACTGCTCAACTTTTGATAGGATATTACATTCTTTTAGGATCTGCCAAAAGGATTACAAATTAAAAGGATTACATATGATCCCTGATAGTATATGATTCACATATGTAGATTGTATTACATATGTATGATACCCTGTAGATTGTATTACATAGCTGGGTATCCCTGTTGAAGGTTGAGTAGTATGATACACAACATCCTACCAAGCTAACCCTTTCTTATTGATTGTTGACCAAGACTGCTGGATACACCATGGACAGGCAGCATGTCTGAGTCCCTGGCACACACGAGAGGTGTCATGGATCTGAGTCTCACATACATTGCTCCTTGCACTGTTATTATATATGCAGTATAGTGAATACTTTCATGATGATCAACTTCCTTGGTGACACTTGAACAAATTATCACAAACTGTTTCGGTTGATCAATATGAAAGAAATTCTCTAGCAAAGCCCCCAATCTGTGGTCTAACTTGAATCTCCATTATTCAACAGAAGCGATGGTTACACTGTAAGCATCATATAGATGGTTTTCTTACATAGAAGCTTTTTTCCCACATAAAACTCTATTGAATAGAAAAGCAAAGACAATGTCAAATGAAAACAGCAGAATGTTAATTTGTGGTTCAAAATTATTTGATTGAAATAAAAAGTGCAAAATTACTCATCTGAAATGTTAAAACCTTACTCCATGAAATTGAAAATTACATCCTGATCTAAGAAAGCAAGGAAAAACAAACTGGCAAAGCAAGGTCAGCTTGGTTCATGAGAAGATTTGATGAGGGCTTAAGTCTAATTTGATGTTTCTTTTTCCTTTTTTGCCTGGACCATTTTCCTTTCCTTCCATCAACTTTTACCTCATTCAAATCTTCCCACAACCCTGCACACACCAAACAACACCAATGAAAACCTACCCATACCTGAAACCCCTTTAAAAAGGAAAATATGATGTGCACCTCAATCAACTTACCTTGCCCGGACTGAAGTCGGCAAAATTAGCAAAGGGATCTCCAGTTGCAGAACTCCCGCCTGTTGCAGAACTTGCAAATGGATCTGAGGCGTTGGCAAACGGATCACTTCCGAATCCAGGAAATGGGTCCACCTTGGGTTTGTTGGCTCCCATGGGTAAGGGACTCTTTGACTTAGGAGGGGCTGGCCTTGGAGGTGGTTGCTTTTTGGATTTTGGTGGAAGGGCAGGCGCATGTCCTGGAGAATCTGTTCTCTTTGAGGATTTTGGAGCAAATGGATCCGACCCAAATATCTCATCGCTTCCTCCCTTCTGGAAGGTAAAATATTTTATTTTGATATGGTTATCCCATAATTGCTGAATAATGCATAATTCCATTGGTTTTGGAAAACATACATGGATGAAATATTGCTAACATGACAGAAGATTAATTAACTCACTCAACTGTGATTTTCCAACCAGAAAAGGGTTCTGAAAACCAATTCTTCCACAGTTAGTGAGTTTTGTTTTATGACGCTTTTAGCAATATTCCAGCAATATTATGTCAGGGACAACAGAAATGGGCTTAACACATTGTACCCATGTGGGGAATCGAACCCAGGTCTTCAGTGAGTGAGTGAGTTTAGTTTTACGCCGCTTTTAGCAATATTCCAGCAATATCACGGCGGGGGACACCAGAAATGGGCTTAACACATTGTACCCACGTGGGGAATCGAACCCGGGTCTTCGGCGTGATGAGCGAACGCTTTAACCACTAGGCTACCCCACCGCGCCCCCAGGTCTTCAGAGTGACAAGTGAATGCTTGAATCACTTGGCTACCCCACCGCCCAATTCTTCCACAAGCCTCCCTAGAACTAGATAATTAGCACTTGGATGACTCTGGTGTACAAAGTCAGGGGTGGAAATTTACTTTAAAACTGCTAGTGTACTCCGGTACAGTGGCACATGTAAAATAACTTGCCCTGATAATTCTTCCACTATACCGGCCGATTTTCTTGTGGATTTTTTAAATTACCAACATAATTAACATTGGATATTCAACTGGACACTGGTACAGCGTGACATACAAATTTGCTAGCCCGACAGAAAAAAACACTGGACTGGGGCGTCGGGCAATGGGTTATTTCCACCCCTGAAAGTAAATATTGTTGGGAACACATACCTGTTTACTTGAGCTAGTGGCACCAAAACCACCAAAAGGATCGAAGTTACTTTGTTTTTGACTAGATTGAGATGGAGGGAAGGATCCGGCGAATGGATCTTCATTGCCAAATGGATCACTCTGAAAGGCAATATTACTGCAGGATCAGTATTCTGAGGATTCGCTTACCAGTATCCTGAACATCTGATAAGCTAAGTTAAATATCTTTGTTTGCTGTTTAAATCCACACTCCACAATATTCAAGCTAAATGGTCTTCATCACTCGATTATTTACAGACTACTGCCATATAGCTGGAATATTGCTGAGTGTGCGTTAAACAAAAAAACAAAACAAAAAGAAACTAAATAATGGTTATCTAGATAATCAAGCCTGGGTCAGAAAGGGTCTCACTGAAATGTGGATCCAGTACTCACAAACAAATAAAATGGACACAGAGGAAGGAAATATTGAATTCCAATGAATAGACAATTATATTCACTTTAAAAACAATTTGACAAGAGTCATACGAGGGTCCTCCAACTCAAGTAACTATCAGATTTTACTTTCGGTTACACTACACATTTCATTACTTTACAGGACACATAGGTTTCCCTGAATTATAAGTCAAGACAAAAACCTGGGAAACATATGGGAAACTGCCATCTGAGAATACCTATAAACCATGGAAGAGGGTTTACCAAGAGCGGTCATTGCACATTTGAACCATTTTGAATGTGGAACAGGGTCCCGATCCACAAAGGGTTCGTAACAATACGACCTGTCGTAACTCTATAGTTTATCATAAGCTTACGAATGACGTAGCACTACGAACACTTTGTGGATCAGTACCCAGAACAAGCAAACACTTGGACAACTGGGCTAGCCCAGCACAAGTACATGAAACTCTTCCCTACAGCCTAAAGACTGTCCGCACGTACACAAGTACATGAAACTCTTCCCTACAGCCTAAAGACTGTCCGCACGTACACAAGTACATGAAACTCTTCCCTACAGCCTAAAGACTGTCCGCACGTACACAAGTACATGAAACTCTTCCCTACAGCCTAAAGACTGTCCGCACGTACACAAGTACATGAAACTCTTCCCTACAGCCTAAAGACTGTCCGCACGTACACAAGTACATGAAACTCTTCCCTACAGCCTTAAGACTGTCCGCACGTACACAAGTACATGAAACTCTTCCCTACAGCCTAAAGACTGTCCGCACGTACACAAGTACATGAAACTCTTCCCTACAGCCTAAAGACTGTCCGCACGTACACAAGTACATGAAACTCTTCCCTACAGCCTAAAGACTGTCCGCATGAACACAAGTACATGAAACTTTTCCCTACAGCCTAAAGACTGTCCGCATGTACACAAGTACATGAAACTCTTCCCTACAGCCTAAAGACTGTCCGCACGTACACAAGTATATGAAACTCTTCCCTACAGCCTAAAGACTGTCCGCACGTACACAAGTACATGAAACTCTTCCCTACAGCCTAAAGACTGTCCGCATGTACACATGATCTGCAGTCCATCAGAAGGCAAGGCAACATAGCGGCATATTACCTTTGTAGAAGGTTTGTCCGAACCAAAGGTATCTTTAAATGGGTCTTCAGCAGCAAAGGGATCAGCCTGGAAGCCATCAGAGGATTTGAAAGGATCACCTGGAAAATATTCATGCAGATTATGTGACCATTTTTTCTAACACCACTGAACAAGTACAGGCAATGGATGCATACATGCTTTTCTATGTTTCACTACATAGCATTACAGATCTGAGACAGAAAATGTAAACAAACCATTGACCGATATTGTGCGCAACACCCCAAGCTGTTGGGGTGCAATGACATGCGATCAGCTGTCTCTTACGACTAGCATACGCTACTTTCGGACCTATTCTCACCTAGACACTATACCATATAGATGTCTCTGTACCAAGTGTACACCCTATAAGTTTTTCAGTGAATCGTATTTCAGTGATTTGGTTTCAAAGTAAATGTTTGTTTCAGTTTTTCTTAAATTTTGTAGGCCACTTTTACCAATAATCCATCAAAGGGAAGGACACAAGAAATGGGTTTCACACATTGTGCCCATGTGAATCAAACCAAGGTCTTTGGCATGACAAGCTAATGCTTTAGCCACAAGGCTTCCACACTGCCTCAGATGCATTAAAGAAGAGTGATGTCATCTGTAGTCTTACTGTCTTTGAATGGGTCCTCATTCTGGGAAGGGGTCCGCCTGCGCTGGGGGGATCACCTGAGTTACTGAAGGGATCCTTCCCCTTGAAGGGATCATCCTTGAAGTCATCAGTCGTTGAGCCCACACTGAAGCCACTCAAGGTGCTCACCGGACTGCTTCCGATCTGTGAACAGGTCGGCACTTGGTAACCATGGTAACATGAACAGGCATGTAAACTCTAAACTCTGAACCATTACCACCACCTTGCATGGTCTTGACCATTCATCTTGTCGAAATATGTCTTTGGTAGGGTATAAGTGTTGATATTAGTAATAGAATAATTACAGTCTTATTAATGAAGAAAATATACTTTCAACACGTAAATCAAAATAAAATGAAACCAAACTGTATGAGAAATTACAACTATATCATACTCGATAGATTACAGCATGCATACAAGAAGAAATACTAATACTACCATTGTACAACTACTACTGCACACATCCTACATCCCACACAGTGTCAAACATGAGATTGTTGTTAGACCATGATAAAGTGTTGACATTTCTACGTGGTTACAGTCCAAGTTAAACTGTTAAGATTACTTTGCCATTATTGGAAGTGTGTTAAAGTCTTGGAATTACACCAGTTATTTCATATGTGTCAAAGTGTTGACATTATACCATGTACCGGTACAACAAACTGAATAGGTCATTGTATACTAATGAATTTGTCAGTGTCTATAATTCATGGCTCAAAAATGTTGAAACTTGAAACATGCAGTCCTAAGAAGTCCACTGATGTCCTAAGCCCAGGAAACCAACATTAGACCAAAGTTCTGATAAGGATACTGTCATAACCTTTAACTAGCATCCCGAAACATGAAACATTGGGTCTGAAATAACAGCTTACATCATACTTCAATGGTTTTTATGTGTGAGTGAGCATGGTTTTATGCCGCTTTTAGCAAAATTCCAGCAATATCACGGCGGGGACACCAGAAATTGGCTTCACACATTGTACCCATGAGGGGAATCGAACCTGGGTCTTCGACGTGACGAGCAAACGCTTTAACAACTAGGCTACCCCACCGCCCCAGTGATTTTTATGAATTTGGATGTATTTCATAATTTTTTAATTAACATTCTCAAGCCACACTGCTGTCATTCCTTGCGTTATGATTTAACTAACAGCTCCTGCATTTCTACAAAGAAATGTATAGCATGATCAAAATTTCAGTACTAGATTCAAGTAACTTTCTTCTACCTATGCCATTCCATAACTGTGTACTGAAAGAGGTGAATCTTACAGTTGTCCTGGTGCTGAACTGGTCGCTGTCCCCATATGCCGAAACATCCCCATTGAGTTGGGAGCTATAGCCAGCTATACTCTGGGACACGGCCCGGTGCTGGTCTCGGAGGTGGGTCACGCGGGCCTTCGTCTAGTCAACAACACAACAACAACAACACTGTACAAACAGAAGGGTGCTCCACACAAAACCAGTTGTTCCGTGCGTGTATAGGTAAAGGAACAGCTAAAGGACAACAACTAAACTCGTACTCAAATACACTTGGCTATAGCAGTGGCAGATCAAGTATTTGAAAGCAGAGACCATATATCTATTATATGGTCTCTGTTGAAAGCAAAGAAAATCACAAAGTGAATAAAGCAGATTAAAAGGTGATGAATATCAGTTGAAAAGGAGATGAATGAAAACAGGGGGCTGTGCACCCCTGCACATCTCTTTACCCCCTGCACATCTCTTTACCCCTGCACATACCCACCCCTACCCCTAAAACCTTCTTGATCCACCAGTGCTATAACAACAATCTCAGAGGTGATGCTCTGATTGATCTGACAAGAGGTCGCTCTGACTTAATAAGTAACGGTATGTTGTTAAGTCTTTGTGCTGTGGTAGCAAGCACTAAGACCTTATCATAATGAGAATCCAACTGTATTATACACTAATATCCCAAATCTAAGCATATGCAAAGGTTGTTCTTGGCTCTCCTGTAGTAACATCTGCACAATGAATAAAATCAAGTGTTTTATGAAAACATTGTTATTAACGATCCAAAAACTGACCAGTAGAGTGTCAATCATATCTGGTCACCATGGAAAAGAAAGAAAAGCGTCAGTTGGCAACAGCATTATTTTGTAGCATTTCCACATTGTACAATAGAATCTCTTGCTTTTCGGGATTGTTTGCTATTACTGCTAAACTCAGCAACATTCCAGCCAAATGATGGCAGTCTGTCTGGAGTGAGTGAATTAGTTTAATTTTATGCCACTCTTCCATCAATATCACGGCAGAGGACACCAGAAATGGGCTTCACACATTGTACCAATGTGGGGAATCGAACCCGGGTCTTCAGCATGACAAGCAAACGCTTTAACCACTAGGCTACCCCACCACCCCAGTCTGTCTGGACCAGACAATCTGATGATTGAGATTCTGAGCAACCAATCCACAACATATCTACACAATGACATGCAGTCAAACAAGCAATGGTGTGTATTCAAACTCAGTATCCTAACACATGTGATTCATGTGTTCAAAGGGATTGTGAAATCATATAAAAGCAACATTAATTGTTTTATATTCTTAGAAATACAATCTCACACTGTAATCAGTAGTGAGTGTGCCCCATAATGCTTCTCCGCTGTGCCAGGGCATGCTCCGACCAAATTGTACACATAGTGATGTGGCAGCCAACTCTATTCCCCAGAGTGAGTGAGTGAGTGAGTGAGTGAGTGAGTGAGTGAGTGAGTGAGTGAGTGAGTGAGTGAGTGAGTGAGTGAGTGAGTGAGTGAGTGAGTGAGTGAGTGAGTGAGTGAGTGAGTGAGTGAGTGAGTGAGTGAGTTTAGTTTTATGCAGCACTCAGCTATTTGCTGGTGGTCTGTAAATAATCCAGTGATCAACAGCATGAGCTTCGATCTGCGCGAATTGGGAACCGATGACGTGTTAACCCAGCCAGCGAGCCTGACCACCCGATCCCGTTAGTTGCCTCTTACGACAAGCATGGGTTACTGAAGATCAATATTCGAACCCGGACCTTCACGGGTCTCTATTCCCCACAGTAATGTCAGAAAATGGTACGAATTTCGACCTGCCAACTTTTGCCAAGAATATCCGATAGGAAAGCTTGCCTATGCTTAGATTAGGTTATCAGTATATTATTCTGCAACAACAATTCCTCAGACTCATTTGAGGTTTTTGGAAAAAATATGAAAGAAAACAGAAATAGAATGTTGATCTGTACATATAACTACAACTGATAGACAACATGTTTGGTAACAAAAAATAATTCTGTACCTAAGGAGCTGGTAATAGAGACCTGATCTCACTACAAACAATTGTGTAAGACATGCACATAAATACATATATAGTGTAACTGTAGGGGCCATACACAGCCTCACCACACAGAGATTGACATAAACAACTGTTTATATACTCATATTACAAACTCATGCCACCAAATCACAAATAGGAGTCACCAAAACATTCTTTCATACAAATGCCGGGGAAATTATATATAGTATAGTTTATACATATTTCTGTAGAAAATGTCATGGCATGACAGATAAACTACAGCAATATCAAAGATTGTAAACCAAAAGTCACTGTGTTCTTTAATCTGATTGGTTGAAAAACGTGATCAAATGGTATTCGATTCCCAGAAATTCGCTGCGTATTAATACATACAAACATCGCTCACACCATTGTATTGTTACATCGTCAGCTGTGATGACGTCATTCAAATCATACTGTGACGTAAAGTCCGAATGACGTCACAAATGAGCAGTTCCAGATGCTACCATGAGAGACAGCCGAAACGACCGGTTTGATGACATTTCACTGCTGTACCCGTACACGATGTCAATGAGTGCCGACACAAAAACGTGTGTGGACCTTTTCGGTTTACTTTTGTGTTTACAATGTCGATAAACATCATGTGTTGGCCAATTTCCGGGTGTTATTGAGTATTTGAAGCACGGGAATATTCCATTTGAAAACTCGGTTCCAAATGAATTCCCGTGCTTCAAATGCTCAATAACACCCGGAAATTGGCCAACACATGATGTTTATCTCCCAAATAAAGAGGTCCTTGGCCTATTTGGAGTGGAATGAACACATAATGATTCTGAAACCATATGTCTACATAAGGCATCACAAAATATACAGATTACTGATACATGACTAGGCTACTGGTCTGGGTTTTCTTCAAAGCCATGTAAATAATCAATCAGACAATCCAGTGATTGGTATTATTAGCAATGATCTATGTCATTGTGGGACGATGACACGCAATCAGAAGTCAACAAGTCTGACAATCCGAACCTTACTGCTGCCTCTTACAACTGGTATGGTTGGGATCTATTCCAAACAAGAATCCCCCCTCCACATGTAAATATCTATTACAGTGAACGAGTCATGATAAATTTGTCAGTAAATCGTATCAGTAAATCAATGATATCGTCTTAAAACTAATGTTTGCTGCTTCTATAGGTGTATTTTTTAACACTTGGCAAACTTTCTCAAATGTAAGCCATCTGTTTGACGTGTTCAAATAAACAATAACATGTGCCATAACAAATGGTAAATCTCCTCAATCCAGTCTGATACAACAAAATAAAATTGCATTGAGTAGTTATTAAATTGGAAAAACAAATCATGATTGTATGATCTGTCATGAGCTCAGAAGTAGGTATATATTTCTCAGATAGTAGATTCATTCAGCAAAAGTTTTGGATTAACTCATCAACATGGTCATCTTGATGCAGTGTGAAAACAATGATGGTTGTACAACAGCTGACAGGCATGGGATACAGCACTTGTTCTATCCACAGGTCCACACAAAGTGCTACCCTTAAATCACCCTTCAGATCAAGCTTGAGGTCCATGTGACGCACTGAAGCCCATTATCCAATGAGCCAAATGGACGAAATCATCCAAATGTCAGGTGCCAGTATAAACTTATCACATACATACAGCCTATACTATGCAGGAAGTGAGAGGAAGTGAGGACAGTTGAGGTCCCGGGTCCCTCGCTTACAGTAATCTTAGTGTCATAACATAGAACCTGAAAGAGCTAAAATTAAATCATGGTGGATCTTTTGGAATTTTTCTAGGATGCAAATGGCTGGGTTGCATGTACCTGGTGACTACAAGTAGGCCACAGCCAGTAGAATTGCCTGGGTCATTACACCTGGAGGTGTTGGGTATGGATGGCATGGGTTGTCCTACTAGTAACTTTCATGCGAAGCTCAATCTAACAGGAGCAAGAGGATCACATATCAATGGAGACCAAGGCACCTTTGTTCAAGACAACTTAACAACGACATCTACAGAAGAAGGTGAAAAGAACACTCACCTGGTTGACTTGCAGCTGGAGGTCCTTCTGGGATTTGACGAGGGACTCAAGCTGCTGCTTGCCTGCTTCCACCTGCTGCTCCAGGGACGATTCATCCTCCCTCAGCTTGTTCAACTCCCCCCGCAACCGCACCAGGTCAGACTCCTGGTCCTGGACAAACAACAGCACCATCAACATCAACAACATTATCAACAACATCACCGTTACCACATTATATAAGGACACTCATTGGTTCAACAACTCATCAACATCATCTGTGACTATCATCTTCATCATCAAAATGATTAGTGGGATGGCCTCAAGCATTTTCTCATAACACTTAAGATCAGGGTTTAAATTTCAAAGTGTGAAGCCCATTTTAAAAGTAGCCAGAAGCAATAGGGCTGGAATGTTGCAAAAAGCAGCGTAAAACCAAACTCACTCACCATCCCAACATTATCCTCATCACATGATAATCAAAACTATCATCACATATCATTGCAACAGTGCTGATGAAATTGCTTTAAGAAATCTCCCATTTTATGTATCTTTGAATACATCATAAGATGTTTTTATCTATTTGGGTCATCAAATATAAAACCAAATGCTCTCATGCAAGGCATCAAGCTAAACTAATTGTTATTCTCTATATGAAGACATTTTAAGACATGTAATCTGTATCTGTCCATTCTAACTTCTCCACATCAAAAGTGTGCTAAGTGTTTGGAACTTTTGAAATGGACAAACTTTATTCCTGCTTGACAACAGTACAAAAATCTGTATCGAAACGTCGCACTCTTGTAATAAAGAATTTGTTATCAATAAAGTTTGTCTATTTTTTACTTCCCAGCTTCTAAAATGCCACTCAAAGAAGTTTGGAACCTATATTTCAGGAAAGCTCCTAATCCCAGTTAAAAAGTGATCAACAGTTTGACCTTGTTAACACCGATTAACAGAATGAAAGAAACAGAAAGAAATATAGTTTTCAAACTTACTTTCACAGATTTTTCTTGATTTGATATTTGTCCCCTGAGTTTATCAACCTGTAAATCAAAAGCAAAACAGTTGGAACAGTTTTCAAAAACCACTGAAAAAAAATATCATTTGCAAATAACATTAACAAATATTAATTAAACACTATGGTATTTATGGTAAAAATGCAAACTGCTTAAATAGAAACAAACAACAGAAACATATACTGTCCTATACAGGCAGTCTCACCTCTGTTTGCTCCGTCTGACACTTCTCTCGCAAATCTTTGACATTGTTTTCCAAGTCTGATCTCTGAAATCAACAGAAGCTTTGGATCAGCTGAAACACAATACTATTTGACAATGCACTATTATAATACTATGAGGTTACTGAACGACATTAAAAGAGTGGTAAATTTAAAACATAAGATGCTCAGTAATGCTCAAGGTTATGCACGTTGTACCTACTTGTCACCAAGCTGATGCAGGGTGCAGAGTTACCTACCTTGTCACCAAGCTCGTCTAGGCGTTTCTGGGCCTCAAGCTGATGCAGGTTGCAGAGTTACCTACCTTGTCACCAAGCTCGTCTAGGCGTTTCTGGGCCTCAAGCTGATGCAGGGTGCAGAGTGACCTACCTTGTCACCAAGCTCATCTTGGCGTTTCTGGGCCTCCTGCAGTCCCTCAAGCTGATACAGGGTGCAGAGTTACCTACCTTGTCACCAAGCTCATCTAGGCGTTTCTGGGCCTCCTTCTTCTGACCCTCCAGCTGATGCAGGGTGCTGGTCATAGCGTCCAGTTCCTTCTGCAGCATTTGAACTTCGCCCTGTCGGATCTTGATGTCGGCGTCTCTCTGCACCTTGTCCCTCTCAATCTGCATCTTCTCCCTGTGCAACAAACACGGTTATTTAAGAAACATACAGTGTCTAGGCATCATCTGTTGTTCAAGGATCATGGCCATGGGCCAAATTGTTATACTAGTAGTTTGATCATGAGATCAAAAGTTGACAGGAAAAACAAATGATAGATTCATGCAAGTAGAAGCAGCATTAGTTTTGTTGTCTTTGAGTGTCTTTGAGTGTCTGTCCCTTTGAGCTCACCAGTGACAAAATGGGATCATTTTCAAAAGGGGAGTCACTAATCTATGGGAATGAATAAAAGCTTTCAGGAATGTTTTTGCATATTTTGTACATCCAAATCTATTTCTAAGGTTCACCTACAGAACACTGGATACTGCCAAACATGTTTGTTTGATGTTACATATATATAGCAGTACGTGACAATGGGACTATCTCTAAGAGAGGACAATGAAGCATAAATTATACCTTAAAATAGATGCTTCATAATGTCACGCAGCAGCCTTATTAGGCATCCGTAAGGCCCACATTTCAACAACCACAGTATTTTGCATTAACTTTGGCACTAAACCGGAGTCATCAGGAGATGGCACATCCCCACAATCTGGTCCAAACCTCAAAACAAAGTTTGGTTCATTGCTTTTGTATACCTTCAGTTCAGTGAAGAGAGAAATATTGCTGGTCAGTATTTTTCAATACCCTTAATTATTAAATGGCACCAGAACATCATCACACAGATCTGTACAGCAATTTTTTATCAAGAAATATTGAACGGTATAGGATTTCATCTCTAGAAACGGAAAACAAATGGACAAACATGCTGATCGCTATATCATCCCAACACATTCATTTCATATCATTTACATTAATAAAGAATAAGTAAAATAAAAGCACTACATGCTGGAATTGCATTCAAACCTTTTGATTTCATCAATCTCTTTGCTGATGAAATCTAGTTCTTTGATAGCAGAGAAATCAGCTACATGACTGTATGGGCCAGCATTTGTCCCATCCTGGAAAAAAAATCAGTATGTATTTAAACAATGCACCTAATAGGATACAAAAACTGCTGTAGTTACCACACAAGTATATTTAAGTTGCATAATCCAGTGTTCTTCCTTCTGCAGAACACAGGTACCAGGAAGCTGGGCAGAGACAGGTGTGGTGTTCCACAACTTCCTCCAACTGCAGAGGTCATTTAGTAAGCTGATGGTCAGCATGGCAGGTTGAGGTGGGAAGATAATATGCACATTATGTAACAAGATCACAAAATCATCCAAGATCCTAACCATCCTTGTATGCTTACAGTTGTCGCTAAATAATCTTAAATTTCCTTAAAAACAATATGCATATTTCAATACCAGCTTAATACTTTTGAGAAAGTACATTAGAATTAGGGAAATGATTGGTTAAAGAAACACCCCATACCATCTTCTTTTGAAAACCAATAGGTAAAGCCTGAACATATTCCAGAACATCCAAGGCATGACAATGTTGATTTTTTAAATATTCTATATTGGTACACATGTAACTCAGCATATGGGTTAGTACAAGGCCAATGTCTACAGGAATACTGTGTCTGTTTGCCTATCTCCTGTCAAGTCAAGAAAGGTGAGGTCCTCAATCTGGATAAACCTCATGCACCTCTGATGAGAATATAACTGATTTCTTTTTTCAGTGAAATTCTCCCACTAATTTAAAGTTTCCTCACTGAAACTGAAATCAATATATGCTAATATTTGAAAGAATTTAAAAGCTACGGAAATTTGTATACTAAATGAATGGTATTCAATGGAAGACACAGATGAAGTGTGATGTCATAGCCTTCTATTCAGAGAACAATGGTATCTAAGCAGTGATGTCATGTTGCAACTTGACAAAGGAACAATGGTTTCCTAGCAACAATGATGTCATTCATGAACACTGGTCTTACATGATGTCATTTTCTTCTATTCAGAGAACAATGGTATCCAAGCAGTGAAGTCATGTTGCAAACAGACAAAGAAACAATGGTATCCTAGCAACAGTCACATGATTGCTTTTGAGGCCAACTGAAAGCTCATGAGTTCAAATTTGAATGCTGTCCAAAAACAAGAAAAGAAGATGAACATGCTCTTCACATATACCATTGTCACAATTCTAACAGTTGCAGAATCCAAATCTGTACCAGATGATGGGTCAAAGATGAAGGAATGGAGAACAAACATTTCAAAAACTAAAGAGAGGAAGAGAAGGGCTGTGGGATCTGAGTGGAAAATGTCTCGCTCTGAAGCAAAGGAAATGTTTCTGGAGTACTACAAATGCCTGAAAGAGAAGCTGAACATGCTCAAGTATCAAAAACAGAGCATCACTCCAATCATCTCACATATTGGGCAGACAGTCAAGTTGAAATGTCTCATTTGGTTGGTCAACATTTGCTAATGCACCTCATACTCTACCAAACCATGTCAATAGTCATTCTCTCTTTCTTTTAATATAAGTTTTGTACAAGTATGAAGAAATGAATTTTGAAACTGAAAATATTCACCAATGTGTCTGATGCTGATATATCTTTGATCTCCAAATAGAAATATGGGTAAAGTGATGAGTGCATGAAAGGAATAATGTTAATGAAGAAAACTGAAACAATACATAGAAGACTACTCCTGAAACAGTCTCCTGATTGGAAGTGTTCTTTCTGAACATTGTTGTTTCACAAAACCACTTCAACTAAAAACTCCATATCCTTCTATTTATTCTTGCAGTGTGAGACCTGATCAAATGGACTCCCAGATGATCTCCTGGCAGTTCCTAAAGAGAGCGGACGCCACCATGAGTGTGCTAGACGCTGGCAAGCACCTGCGCATCACAAAGCACTGGACACTGGTCATTAAGGAGTTGGACATGGCTGATGTGGGTCAGTACTTCTGTGTTGAGGGTGGGGAATACATGGCCGTCTACCAGCTGGATGTTCTCACAGCCGAGACCAGGAAAGTGGTGAGTGTCTTCTACACAGTCCGCACTATCATCCCAATCTCAATGGAAATCCCACAACTAAAACTGCCGACTGAAGCAAATTGTTTCAGACCAAATATTGAATGTTTCATTTGTGAAACTGTCAAGAAAATGTTTACTGATATAGAAATTAGAATCCAAATAGAAATATATGATGCATTGGGTTAAAAAAGATATGAATTCAATTCACATTTGCTCTCCATTAAACCAATTTACTTAACTACTGCACAGTACACAGAGTCCCGAGTCTCAGTCATTGTCCACTGAGAACTACATATAAACGTAACATGCCAAACAATTGTTGAATGCGAATGCTGCTGTAACTCAGTAGTTCAAATCCATATATGCTGATTCGTCTCAAAGGTGCTGGAGAAAGACAAAGGAAATCTACTGCCACCAGTTAAGTTCCTGTACAAGTTGAACCTGAAACTGCTGACCAGCTGGACAGAGTGGAGCCAGTGCAACCACTGTGGAAAGCCTGGACATAGAAGGAAGATTGGGCTTTGCATGGTCAAGGTGAGCAAAGCAGGTGACTTCTGAAGGTGAAGGACAGTCAAAACCAGCACAGATAGCATTGGACATAAATTGTCCCGGCATTTGCAAGCTGCTATCTTCAGCAGTAAAATATACAAAATAGACTTTAAACTAATCTTTCATACAGACATGTATAAGAATACATAATGCCTTTTAGAAAGTGGTCAAATATAACATGTAATATTTGGGATTACACTTTCTAAGGTAAGAACAGATTCCCGTACTTTTATGGGTTGAGTCCCATCCGGGATTTAAACCCACACTGTGAGAGAGTGAGGCAGCTAATCCCAGCACACAAAGTCAGCAATCCACCCCACTCAGCTGCTACACCCTCTGGAGGTCTGACAACTGGTAGTCTAGATCACACACTTTGTGTACCCCTCTGACAAGTATCAATAGCCATGGCCAAAAGCTATGAATACACAATCCCTTTAAGAAAGTAGTCAAATGTAATGTTATACAAGGGATTCCAATTTCTTTGAACTAGAATCTGTACTTCACTGTGAAAGTGTAATCCCAAACATAACATATGTTAGTACTGTACATGACACATCAATTTCTACTTAATTTTCTAATCAGAAAATATCGACGAATCAAGCAACAAAGCCTGTTGACTTCCCACTGTTGGCACTATACAAAGATGGCGTCCCATGTCGCTCGACAGCTCTTCCCAAAGCAATGTCACGTCTACCCAGCATTGCTAAGAGACACAGTGAAGTCCTGATGGGTACGTGTGAAGTGCCCTGCCCTACCGAGCCACCTCCCCTCAACATCACAGATTCCTCAGGGAAAGTTGTGGAGGTCATTGAACCAGGGTTCTACTCAATCAAAACTCGCCCCAAACTGCCTCCTATGGTTAAAAGAAAAGTCCAGTACCACGAAGCTGGGATCCACCTGGTGCTCAAATGTCCCAGGTAAGTTTAATTATCTTGATATATCTTTCACTATGTTGGAACTGTAGTGCCACACTGTTCCAATGTCAACATTTGATGAGAGCTACAAGCTAACTGATACACATCCAATGTACGCGCATCATAGCTTACAGTGTGCGAAATTCATGCTGGTCCTGTGGTCCCTGGCTAGTAAAAATTCATCAAGACCACTAAATGATAACTTTACAGTGGTCCTTGTGGCCAGTGAATTTTGTATTGATAGTTAAGTAGATCTACAAATGTTATTTTGGACCAGTGAAGTTCAGACAGGACCACTGATTATTGTCCACTCATCCTACCTGTCTACATTGTGAGGATGAGGCTTGCGTGATGACTCGCTACCTTTTGAAAGGTATCTTTCCCTGCAGTTTACGTTTCCTACACTGTGAAACATTTCAGTGATGAAGGGGATGACGGTTCAATTGTGAGGTGGCAGCGAAGTAAGCGGCAGATTGATCCCCTGAGCATCAAGAAGCAGACACGAGGCAGGGTGTACGTGGACCAGCAGAACCAGCTGCACATCAAGAGGCTCTTCATCTCAGACACAGCGCCGTACAAGTAGGTCACTCACAGCGCCATACAAGTAGGTAACTCACAGCGTCGTACAAGTAGGTCACTCACAGCGCCTTACAAGTAGGTCACTCACAGCACTGTACAAGTAGGTCACTCACAGCCAATACAAGTAGGTAACTCACCACAGCATAAGTAGGTAGGTCACTCACAGCCCTGTGCAAGTACTCACCTCACAGCCTTACAAGTAGGTCTGAGTCACCTCACTGCACTGTACAAATAGGTGCACAGCGCCAAACAAGTAGGTAACTACTGGTAACAAGTAGGTAACTCACAGCGCTGTACAAGTAGGTCACTCACAGCCCTGTGCAAGTAGGTCACTCACAGCGCCTTACAAGTAGGTCACTCACAGCACTGTACAAATAGGTCACTCACAGCGCCATACAAGTAGGTAACTCACAGTGCCGTACAAGTAGGTAACTCACAGCGCCTTGCAAGTAATAGCCCATATCATATGTAGGTCACCCACCAGGCCATATGTGCAGATCTTGGTGGTAGTAGCAAATATTCTGGTAGTAGTAGGCCTTATTATATGTAGGTCACTCACTGGGCCATATATGTAGACCATTCACAGCGCCTTGCAAGTAGTAGCCCATATTATATGTAGGTCACTCACCGGGCCATATGTGCAGATCTTGGTGGTAGTAGCAAAGTAGTAGCCCATATTATATGTAGGTCACTCACCAGGCCATATGTGCAGATCTTGGTGGTAGTAGCAAATATTCTGGTAGTAGTAGGCCTTATTAAATGTAGGTCACTCACCTGGCCATATATGTAGACCATTCACAGGGCCATATAGTAGGTTACTAATAAAGCCATACAAATACGTCACTCACAGCACCATACAGATAGGTCATACAGACAGAGCCATTCAAGGTGGTCGCTTAAAGGGCCATATAGTAGGTCACTAATAGAGCCATACAAATACGTCACTCACAGCACCATACAGATAGGTCATACAGACAGATCCATTCAAGGTGGTCGCTTAAAGGGCCATATATGTAGACCATTCAGAGGGCCATATAGTAGGTCACCACATTGCCATATAGTAGGTCACCACATTGCCATATAGTAGGTCACTCACAAGAAGCTCAACCTCCCACATCGTGCCACTTAGTAACCAATCACCAGCAGGTACAATACAGTAAACTACACCTGCACACTGGTAATGATGTCCTATTTTCAAGCTTCAACAGGAAGCACGGTTAGCTTAGTTGCCACATGTTTCTGTTATATCTTTCTGCTTGTACTAACTACCCAGAGCTTCAGGATGATCAACAATCAGTCTCACAATGAAATACGGGAAAATGACAATCTCTAGCACTTACTCACTTTTCAGCTGTTGGATCCTGAAACGACATGTAGCCACGATAAAGGTCATCGTGATCAAGAAGTTTGATGCCAACATCAAGGACTACATATCTTATGGTGGCTTCGTCCTCACTGGTATTGCTGTTCTACTAGTGTGTCTGTGTGTGTGCTGTCGACGTGGACAGAAGACAGCCAGGTGAACAGACAGTTTACAGACAAGTCATCAAATTTCACAGATGTCTATCATAATGTTTGACTTATGAAGACAGACAGCTCACACACAATAGACATCACCATGAAAACAGAAAAAGACCTGTGATCAAACAGTTCACAGACAACGGGCATCAGTGGAAGATGAACACATGGCAACTGAGTCAGGAGAACGACTGCTTTGAAAGGTCAGCAACGACCTTGAGTGTACAGGACCCATCAGGTGTGAGCATGAAATCCAGGACAGGTGCCAGAAGGCTGTCAATGGTTCTCAACAAACTGGTGATCATCAGGAGTGAGCATGAGCTCGAGGACAGGTACCAGAAGGCCGTCAATGGTTCTCAAACAAACTGGTGATCATCAGGTGTGAGCATAAGCTCGAGGACAGGTACCAGAAGGCCGTCAATGGTTCTCAACAAACTGGTGATCATCAGGTGTGTACCTGGCACAAGGTGCACCCAGTATATGGAAATAATCATCAACCAAAACAGACAAGTGATATGATGCAATTAATTGTTCTTTGAAGAGAAAACAATGTTCTCAGAAAATAAAGAGACATGTCATCATGCTGACAATCTTCTATTCTACACTGCTTACTGTTATATATACTGTTGTATATATTTCTTGTCTGTTTGTCTGTACTAGTCTGGACTAATTATGATAATCGACTATGATCTTATGCTGTTTGAGCTGGATACCCCGACTCAGCCACAATATACTGTCTCTGAGCCAAGTCCTGTCGTATCACCTTAATGCCTAAATACCAAGCAGGGTAAACAGTAATCTCATAACATCTTAGGTATGACGTGACTGGGGATTAAAATGTCCTCTCTTTGGGCAGAAGCCCCATCCACTACATCTTAAAAGTGGTGCTGTGAACAGGAAAATGGCACTTACCATGACTCCAAATGCTGCAGGATCGGCTCCCGTCTTGGGCCGCATTGACGGCGGGATCATTTCCGGGGTGAGTGTAGTGGGCGGCTCCACTCCCTTCAGTTTCTGCTGCACCAGGTACATAGCCAGGGCAAACTGCTCCGTGTTCAGCTTCCCTACACCGTTTATGTCAGACAGGTTCCTGCAAGGGGAGATCATCCCGCAGTTGATAGCCACATGCTTTGAACAGGATTACACTGTATATCAGTTTGATGGTCAAAATAGATGAGCTTGCTGTCGTCCTTTAGTTTTTATTGAAAAGAATTTGAATCAAGAGACCTACAAAATAATTAACCCTGGGGATGTGACTCAGATCCCTGAACTTCAACGCTTTATTTCAACCAATAGATGTAGAAGGAAAGTCCAAACTATCACAAAAAAACAGTAAAGCAGCCAGACCAAGGATAATAATCATATCAAACATACCAACAAAGCTATTTGCACGGTATGAAAATGACATAACTACTCCTCACCATATATGGGCAAGTACAGGATTAGGAAGGTTGCTCTGTACCAAGATGCTTCGCACCTCCACACCCGTCACAAAGCCATCCATGTCCGTGTCCAGCTTCATGAACATCACGTCAGCATTGGCCTTTTCAGCCGCCGTCACCACCCATGGCTTTCCACCAGCCTGTCAGACACAAGGGGCGGACACACTAACATTATCAAAACTGTAACACACTGCTGGGACACGCTCCCCGTCCAGAGACAACAGTCGCTACAATAGTTTCAACAAGCAGTGTCAAGGTTATGGATAGCTCTGCCAAATTCTCACAAGGAGGAAACTATCAGTAGTTATAAGCACAACCCAGTGATATCAAACTAAAAATATGATACAAACTAAAAATACGAAACTAAAAATAATCCCTCCTGCTTTGTTTGTTACTTCTGTCACTTGAGGTTCATACATTTCATTATAAGGTTTATAGCTACACAGGTTCATGTAACGATACTTTGTGTTGATCTGTAGTGCGAGATTATGGCTGGATGTATTGCATGTATATATTTATTTCAAATTTTATCAAAAGTTTTCAACTTATGTATCACTGCTTGTCTTTGCTTAATATTAATAACGTAGGTTTTACAAATTATTAACAAATATGTCCAAGACTACTTTATAGATTATCATTCTTATTGCAACCCGTGGAGATCCGGGTTAGAACTGATCTTCAGTAACCCATGCTTGTCGGTTGGTTGACACATGTCATCGTATCCCAAATTGCGTAGATAAATGTTCATGCTGTTGATCACTGGATTGTCTGGTCCAGACTTGATTATTTACAGGCCGCCGCCACATAGCTGGAATATTGCTGAGTGCAGCGTAAAACTAAACTCACTCATTCACTCATTCTTATTACAACACCATAACAACTCCAACAAGCTCATTTCACGAAGCAGTTAAGAGTTACCATGGTTACGTGAAGACTGATATATAATAAAGGATTGCTTACTCCTGGTACATCTTTCTGTGGAGGCGTGGCCCTTCCAGTCTCGACCCCAGGGATACCTGGCATAACGGGCACAGCTCCTGGGAGGGTAGAGCCTGCCTTCCGCTTGGATGGAGGGATGAGCGCCGCCGGGGGTATCACTGTGGGGGTGGGGTCATTTTCTCGTGCACGGTACACCAGATGCATAGTCTGTGGATAGTCACATCAAATCACACCTTTCATTGGAATGTCAGAATAACAAGGCTCAGGTACAGGGTTCATTTTTTCCCAATTAAGTAAAACAAACCCACAATGGGCTAACTAAAAATATCAGCTGTCCAATTATTATCCAAATAAACATCACTATGAAAAAATATCATCTTAAAGTGAAATGACAACTGTGTACAAGCACTCACAACTGCGAATTCATCTTTATCCAAATAACCATCCTTGTCGATATCACTGAGGTCCCATATTCTGCCGAGTACATCAGTCGGCAGCTTGGAATTGAGCAACACCTACAACACAAGCAAGTCACTCATCATGACAGTAACACAGGCACTATTTTCTTTCATATACCCTCAGTGTTCCATGTGTTCTACAGCGGGGGAATAGAAAATGTCATCCTCAAGTCTTAAAATCTTAACATGATAATGTCGACATCAGTATATAGTGATATCCATAACACAATCACTTACAAAGATCAAGTGAGTGAGTGAGTGAGTGAGTGAGTATGGTTTTACGCCGCTTTTTAGCAATATTCCAGCAATATCACGACTGGGGACACCAGAAATGGGCTTCACACATTGTAACCATGTGGGGAATCGAACCCGGGTCTTCGGCGTGACGAGCAAACGCTTTAACCACTAGGCTACCCCACCGCCCCTTACAAAGATCAAGAGTGCACTCATACACAGAAGCAATGACAACAATTGTACTTGTCCTTTCCCAGACGTCTCTCACTGTTATTACACCATCCACAGGAAACACAAGCAGTGAACCCAACCTACCGGCTTGACCTTGTCTCCTGAGAGAAGACCATTGACTGGGCCAAGGCTGTCAAAAACTTGATCATACTTGGACTTTTCTGATGGCTAAAAAAGATTATTAACAAAAGTCAACTTGAATGGTTGTAAAACCAGTCAAAATAATTAGAATATGGGCAGTAACAATTGAGCTGCAAAATCTTGTAGACTAATTATGGTGTATCAAATAATTACTTCCTTTGAAAATTAAGCTTTTTGCCTTTTAAAAAATGTTATATTCTGTTATATTATTGAAGCATTTGAGTTGTCATGAATGCACATAAAATCATCATTTTCTAAAGGCCTCCTTTATTTTCATCAACAGTTGAATGATGCTCGAGATGTTTAGCATTCAGCATAAAATTCAAGCAAAAACTCAAGTGACAAACACTACAAATCTGAAAAACACATCTTGTTTTGATCTCCTAGTGAACATCTCAACACTCAGACATGTCCGGAGTCCTGGGACTGTCTAGTAGTGACACATAGGATCTCATTAACATGTAAATATTACAGACTGGTCACACATGCACACACTTTACAGGTAGATCGTTGTTGCCATGGTTTCAAGTCAAGATGACAATGAAAATCTAACCCACCTTTACAACCCAGGCAGAATGTGTAGGACTCTCAACAACCACTGGTTCAACAGGACCCTGCAACCAAAATATCCTCACGGTCAAAATATTTGAACACATTTTTTGAGAGCAGAACAAAAAGATACTCAAATGAAATATTTTTTACTATACCGGAAGTTGCAAACAAATATAACATCTTACAATTTTGGTTTCACTTTGCTGAATAAATACCACTATAGTTATGAAGTACCGGTTAGTTGTTTTCTATCAATCTATACATGCCTCCCAAAAAGAGACATTCTCTGCATACAAAACATCCTATATATACATGGTATACGAGACTTCTCACCCATACTCATTTTATCATATTTATCTGAGGGTCATTTAATTTCAAGGTCACTTTAGTAGCATTTACATTCTTCCTTTACTGAGCATTTAAATAATTCACACTCTCAATATATGTTCCTGTTTCAAACCTGAACATGTTCAAATTGGAAATTGAAACTATAAATTGTATATTTATATACTTATCCTATCTCATGGTATGCACTTCTCTCTCTTGATTCGACACTGAGTGGAACAATGTAAACTTTTTCTCCCTAGGCCTCTCTTGTCCATCCTCCCAAGCACTCCATGCTACCCTCATTATAAGACAGCTTCCTAGTTGTCATGCAAAGCATGCAGCATGCTCAACTAGCTACCCACGTGACTATCTCCGAATCATCATTCTCATTCTTGGAGACACTGGATCTTGGATAATCTGCATAGCGGGGAGGTTGGGCAGGAATCCATCGCGTGAGATAGGATAAGTATATAAATTTACAATTTATAGTTAAAATTTCCAAATTTTTAAACTTATCCTATCTCACGGTATGCACTTATCCCACAGTCGGACGGCGGGACGCAGATGCCCTATGTCTTGACAGTATGAACAGTAGAACTGTGTCGACTGGTAACAACCGTAGACAGCGATGCACAAGGGAAGCCTGTTACGACTAGCGTAACTCATATGCTTGTGATGAGTTCTCCTGAACTCCTTGGCTTACTAAGCACAACGTCTCCCAGGAAGATGGGTGCTCCCGAACGATGTGGTGTTCGGCCGGTGGTCCTCATCCGGATGGAAAAAGTGGTACGAGACACTACCGCCCTGGATGTCGTGTGTGTTAGCAGCAGCGATCTGTAGAAGCAGCAAGTAAAAATGTGCAAAACCCTAACAGGGCAGAATTTCAGGTCTTCGGTATCATCAGGCCCAAAGATGGTGAACAATGGGGCCCTGGATGTCGTGTGTGTTAGCAATGCAAAACCCTAACAGGGCAGAATTTCAGGTCTTCGGTATCATCAGGCCCAAAGATGGTGAACAATGGGGGAATGGAAAACTTCCAGTCCGGTTACCCTGGCGGTTGGTTTTCGTGATGAAGTCCTAATGGACACCCAGGAAAACCTTGCCATGCTTCTTCCGCTCAAACCGCATGCAATTGAAATCAAGTGCATGAAGTTCAGATGTACGAGCAGCAGTAGCCAAGCTACCAGGAAGAAGAATGTCACTTTGCTCAAAGTCCCTGTCCTGTAAAGGTTCATAGTCTGTAGAATCATATGACGAAGGACGACTGACAGTTCCCAGGCCTTAAGTCTGAACTTCCAGGACTGGTCAGTGAGTTCATGGAGCGTAGAAGGCTCTGTGGTAGTAGCCAAAACCAAAGTTGAAAGCAGCCAACTAGGTAGCCTACATAGTACCCTTGAGCTCCTAGTGGCACAGAGATGCTGGAGGAACTCAGCGACGACTGGAGCAGAGGCAGACTGGGAAATGGATTACCCTAATTCTTGCAACAGTCTTCAAACTTCTTCCACTATTGTCGTACAAGGAACGGTTCGAAGTGAGATGAGCTGAAGTGATAGCTGTGGCTACTTGACAAAAGTAGCCTTAGCAATGAGTAATCTTTGGATATGCCCCAACATGTAGACTAAAGGTCTGAGGGGACTGGTGGCGTAGTTCCGAGTGAGGGGGAAGAAGCAGGTTGTTCCGGTCGGGAAGCGGTACTGAGTTTGGCTCTGCCAGGCTTGTTAGGTCGATGAAACAACTACTTGCTGACAAGAAGTGCGCAACCAAAAGCAGTAGAACCTTGCTAGTGGCCAATAGCTTTTGTAATACTCATGGTAGCAGAGCTGGAGTTGGAAATGCATAGGCATTGAGACCCTCCCATGATATTGTCAGCGCGTTGAGGACCCAAACCGGGGTCTGGGATTGATGATACGAACTCCAGAAGTTGGTTGTTGAACCTTGTGGTGAACAGGTCTACTTGGGGCCGTGATAAAAGGTAGATCATTGACTGGAAGATATGAGGAACCAGCTTCCACTCTGTCGGGGACAGCCGTTTGGATCTGGAAAAGGCATCAGCAATCACGTGTTACTCCTGCTACGATGTTGAGTCGATGATATTAAAAAGTCTGAATGCCCACTGTATGAGATTCGCCGAGTCTGTAGAGCCTGGATGATTTATTCCAAACCATGGTCGAGTTGTCCGACTGGATCAACAAATTGGCTTATTGAAGCTCTGTTGCCCAAAGCGAGACAGCTGCAATTACTGCCATTAATTCCACCTCATTTATGTGAAGAACCTGTTCGTCAGATGACCACAGCCTGGCCACTTGGTGGTCGAGAAGTGAGCTCCCCAACCCGTGAGGGATGCGTCGAGGAACAAATGATGAGTCGACACGAAGGGCAACATTCTGCTCATCTAGCCACCATTGAAGGACTGGACGAAGTGGTTCGGGAAAACAAAACAATTCCTTCGGATTGACATCCTGAAGGAAATCGCAGAATTTGCTGTTACAGTTGAAGCTGAAACTACCCTCTGTAAGTTGGGACTTGAGCTGAAGGCAGAAAGCCTAGTAGCTGCCACTGAGATAATACTGGAGGAATGCATTGCGGGGCCTTGATGCACCTGTCTTGAAGGGCGAACATCATCCTCTGACAGGTGTCGAATAATGTATCGATGAAGTGGAGTGGATCAATGTTAGCCCTGATACAGCAATGTACAGTAGCCACCTTAACAGCCAGAGCAGAATGGTGGCGAACTGCAGTTAGCGAAGAAGTACTGTCAGATCCTGTTGTGCCTGGAAGCAATCGTCAATGTAGCTTCGAAGATGAATTAGCGCCTGAAGTTGACATCTGTAAGTGAAGGCTTGAGCTGAGGTGAGAAGACCTAGCAACTCTTGCCACTGATGAAGTGATATCTCCTCAGGTAGGAGTGTTTAAATAGTCAAGCTACCAAGACAGTACTGATGGAGTGCTGAATGTAGTAGATTCAGCGCATGGAGATTGTCAGTCCATCTACAGGAACATGTACAGTGTAAACGGGTGATAAAGGTCGTACGATTGGCGATCTGAGGAATGGTAGTTCACCAAATGAAGTGTTGGTCCGCTGGATGGAGTGATAAATGTAGTAGACTAGATGCAAGGGGATCATGAATCTACCGGAACGTTCGCAAAGTTGATGGAATAACAAAGGTAAAAGAAGACCGGCGACCCCAGGAACGTTCGTTGGAGAGACGAAGGCAGGAACCAGTGCCTGGGGACTGCGGTGACCTCGATAAGCTGTCTCTCTTGGCTGACTGACGAATCCTGACATAATCACTCTTACCGGGAATGGCACCGTTTATCGTCACTGGCAATTAAAGGCTGGGGTTGTTATCCGCTGTGTAGGACCAAGACAATTCCGTCAGTGCACTTCATAGTGACTCTAACACCCTCGATAAGCTGTCTCTCTTGGCTGACTGACGAATCCTGACATAATCACTCTTACCGGGAATGGCACCGTTTATCGTCACTGGCAATTAAAGGCTGGGGTTGTTATCTGCTGTGTAGGACCAAGACAATTCCGTCAGTGCACTTCATAGTGACTCTAAACATCACAATTCTCCGGTAAACAAACAGTAGTCTGCCATTTGCAATTGTTACCCACAATGCAACAGTGAAAAAAATCTGGACAACAGGGTCTTCAGTTAACCGGGCAAGTCACAACCCATAAAAACCGGCAAAGGGATGCTCACTACTTGACAAGACATCACTGCTGGTACCATGCGTAGAAACTTGATCCATCTGTCCAGAAGCTTTCTGGTGATGTAAAGGAAAGGCTGATGAAGATGACGAACCAGGTCATGATTGCACCCCGAGACACACCATGATGCTGTTACAAGTTGTCTGTAGTAACAGAAATCAGTGAAACATCATTAAATACTCCTGGATGGCAAGCTTGTCTGGTAATGCACAAACAAGTGGGTGGAGAGCTGATATCTACGCTGGAGGGTAAATTCCTAAACCAAATCATACATCAAGGTTAAGATCGGATGGTAGAGTAAATCTGGAACGATATGAGCTCTAGTCACGTAGAAGTCTTGGAGATCCGGGATCGTCAGAACGTCAAGTGCCGGCGTAATGTAGATGTGTGCACTACTGACATAGCTACTACCTCCGTTCAACCAGTTGAAAAGGGGTACCAGGTACGATAAGTCATGTGACCAAAAACTTCTAGTGCCTCACTTGCTGTAGGGTAATCCGGAGAACCAAGTCAGATTGTCTTGCTAATAGCATGCCACTCCGTGGTGAGGAATTCAGCATATCACAAATACCCTGAATATTAACATCGTGTTGAAAGCTGGTAGAGTTTAATTAATAGCTGGGATAATTGGCCGTATCTAGATGCAAGTTGATCCTCGATGAGGATGTAATAAACCAGTGTTGACAAGTTCCGATCCTTCAAGTTGAATGTAGTAAGTAGATCATCTGGTATCTTGCTCAAGATAGTTGTAAGTTAGTGAGTGAGTGAGTATGACTTTACGCCGGACAGCTGTAGGTGGTCAGTGAAACAAGTGATCATGTGTGTCAAATGAACCAACATTATTGCTGTATCTTAAGGCGACTGTTGTCCGAACGTCTGCGTAGGTACAGATTCGCTGCACCTGCAACACAACTATAATCACCAAATCGCACTGAATCAGTTCAGTTGGAAAGCAAGGTCCGAGGAACGGATAGTTCAGCAAAAATACTAGCAATTCAGTGAATACTGATGAGTCGGTGAACGCTGTCAGATCGGCGATCCGGTACGGTTCAGCGATCTGGCTCGTCGAGGTAAGATCTGGAACGGCACTTCGATCTGGTTCTGGTGCAGCGAATCAGTTCGGCCTGACGAACTAGTACGATGATGAGGTTCAGATCGGTCTGCCAAACTAGTACAGGGATGTTGTGGTCCGGACAAACGAGATGAGCCATTCCTTGCTGAAAAAACAGTTCTGTGATGTCTCGGCGAACCAGCCTGCCGGAACGGTTCGGTGATGATACTTGGATAAGTTCGGCGAACCATGATGGGTAAACAGGACGATCTGACGAAGCAGGTCGATGGCGTTGTTAAGTTCGACCAGGTGAATGCATTGGGTTAAGTGTCTGTCATCTCTGATGAAGCAGTAGGCTGGGAATCTTCCGTGTTGGATTTGTGGGGATTCGCCGTAAAACGGATCTTATAGATGTGGGCTAAACGAGATTTAGCAGGTCATTTCGGCAAGAAAATCTGAATATTTTAAGGCGGTTGATCCAAACGGTTCGGTGAACCATGTTTCCTCGTCAAAGAAGAAAGACTAGGAGAGCAAACTGAGTTTGTCGAATCACCAATAGATGTACGATCTGGCAAAAAGCTTTTTCGTAGAAAGCTGATTCGTGTGATGCCGTTCCAGTGAAAGTTGATTCGTGGAATTCCGTTTCAGTGAAAGCCGATTCTCGGAATGCCGGTTCGGCGAATGCTGTTTCGTAGAAAGCCAGTTCAACGAATGACGGACTAGAGTGGTGCGCTCCTGCAAATGCGATCCGGTGAACTGTTGGTCAAAGAACGTGTTGATTTCGGAGAAACAGATAAACGACTCATTGGAGCACTGGAGACAGCATCATATTCGCAGAATGGGAAGCAGTCGACGAAACGACCAAAGGGATGTCACAAAGGTCCTGCAACCGATATGGCGAACTAGTGCGATTCCTTCCACTGTTTGAAGATGAATGACGACGGATCAAGAATGGCTTCGCTGAATGCGATCCTTGCTGTAGGGAAGTAGCCTGGGGGATGGCAGAACTCTCAACAACCACCACACGGGATGTCATCAATGACGAAGGGCTCGTACTGGAAGGCAGAGAGCCGACAAATTCCCTGAGATCTTCCTGTAAATGCGAATCCGAAGAATCTCTCATAAAATCCTTGTCGTTGGAGTGAGGAGACTGCGACCGACGAGCAGTGATAATGGGACGCTTAATCTTGGCTTCTTGGCGGGGCTGGGTCCTTCTACAGATGCTGCATATCTGGCTAGATCAGCAAGACGCCGAGCACAGACCCTGGAGTAATCCCCAAATGCCTCAAAGGTAAGATGTAGGCATTTATCCCATCGAACGTCCCATTACATTACCCCACACAATCAGAGCAAGAAGAAAGTGGAACGCTCAAAGAAAAATATCTTGTTGCATTGAACACATTTTCCTCTTCCTGGGCTGGTCGGTCTTCCCATGATGTAGAATGGGAGATCAAACGATGAAGTGAAAACACGTCCACACTCAGGTGCGACAAGAAGGAGAATGATGATATATTCAGAGGTGGTCATGTGGGCAGCTAGTGGAGCATGCTGGATGCATTGATTGACAACTACTGAACTAGGAAGCTGTTTTATAATGAGGGTAGCATGGAGTGCTTGGGCGGATGGACAAGAGAGGCCTATGGAGACAAAGTTTACATCATTCCACACCGTGCCTGACATGGGCATGGTAGTTTCATGTTTCAGAGGAGCAAAACCAGTATATATCAAGACAGCTTCATTGTGTATTTAGTGACAAATAAGTACAAATATATATATGTGTGTGTGTGTGTGTGTGTGTGTGTGTGTGTGAGACTTCTCCCACACAGATTTGACATTATCACTGTACAATTCATCACGACTTACTAGATTCGGCGGTGGTGTATCTACAGTGAGTTTGGAAATGCTGAGATCCTGCCCATTCTGAACTAGAGCTATCAGTTTGAGGGCGATGAAGAATCCGCTCTTCTCCAGATAACCCTTCCCAGTGGGGTCAGACAGATCCCATACCTACAACATGAAACACACACTGGCAACTCTGCCGACAACTCATTCTGGATAATGCTGTACAATTGCACAATTACAACCCTAGACGAAGAGTGACATGTGAATTTCAGAATTAACAAACATGATTATGTTTCATATGAGTGAGTGAGTTTAGTTTAGTTTTACTCCTCGCTCAGCAATATTCCAGCTATATGGTGGCGGTCTGTATATTATCGAATCTGGACCAGACAATCCAGTGAGCCTGACCACCCGATCCCGTTAGTCACCTCTTAAGACAAGCTTGGGTTACTGAAGATCAATTCTAACCCGGATCTTCACGGGTTGTTTCATATGACAGAACCGATGGAAGCTTAGACTAACATCGAGTCTCTGAAATAAAACTATTTCACAGAAAAAAATAGTTGTCTACTAAATTTGAGCTTGCAATAAATTTCAGGGTTTTACTCAAGAAAAGCATTTTGCTGAGGTTTCTCAAGTCTGAGTAAAAATTCAGAGTGAGTGAGTGAGTTTAGTTTCACGACGCACTCAGCAATATTCCCGCTATAAGGCCGCGGTCTGTAAATAATCGAGTCTGGACCAGACAATCAACAGTGATCAACAGCATGAGCATCAATCTACACAATTGGGAACCAATGACATGTGTCAACCAAGCCAGCGAGCCTGACCACCCGATCCCGTTAGTCGCCTCTTACGACAAGCATGGGTTACTGAAGATCAATATTCTAACCCGGACCTTCACCGATAAAAAAATTCAGACTTGTGTTTCTACTAATAAGGGTCAGAAGAATTCATCAAGTTATTGATCTAATATTATCCATAAGATGTATACTGTTATTGAGTTTCTGACACTGATTACAGCAGTCTGGAATCCAAGCTATGATTATGGGAGACAGGACCAATATATCCTGCAAGTTGGCTATTGCAGTGACACTTACTGTAGATCACCACTGCCTCCGTGTGCAACTAATATCTCAATAACAGATGTTCCAGTAAATGGACTTGTGTCATCAATAAAAGCACATTTATGACCAAATAAACACTCGTAACTGGTGGTAAGGTGGTGTTACCATGTTGCAAGGAACGATATATGGGCTGATTACTGTCTCAACCAGCAGGTAATGTGCAGTTGAGCATCTTCAGCATGTTATAGGGAGATTTTGTAATGGGAGATTTTCTGTCCAAAGCAATGTCCCAAGCTCCGCACAGCAATAGCCCCTTTGCGGAGTTCTCTGTACATTAGCTGACTACTCTTATGTTTACAAACTTATGTAAACTACACTTCCCTAAGTCAGTTGATTTTGTGTGTATGTCTACTATTATTTCTATTACAGAGATATTGTGATTTTGTAAGACAATCATCATTTTTTAATTTCCTCCATGCAAAATATCAAGACTTAAATCTCACCTGAGACAAAATAGTGTCTGGGAGTTTTGACTTCTTGAGGAAGATAGCAGCATCGAGAGCACCTACGCTGCCTGTACCTTTGGGATCAGCCTGGAAGTGAGAAAGCCAATGTACTAATATGGCATTTGATGGTCGGCATGACAGACATGACACTTCATGTGACCGGGCCACAGCTTGGTACCAGCTTCAGCCCACTTAAATGCATTGAAACATGTGGTATCTTACTGCATCAAGAAATTGACCTTTCAAGATCTGTTGTCCACCACTGCAGTTGATAAATTGTTCGTTATTTAATGCAGCACTCAGCAATATTCCAGCTTTATGACAGCAATATTCCAGCTTTATGACAGCAATCTGTAAATAATCAACTATGGACCAGACAATCCAGTGACTGACATCAAGAGCATCAAACTATCATAAGACATCATAAGATCAGTGAACTGGACAATCTCCTTTGTTGCCTCTTAAAACAAACATGGGTTGTTGAACACCAGCTCTAATCTGGATCTTCATGGGGCTCTGAATGATGATTTATCATGACAGGAAATAAACATTGTCGCCAACATGTCAAATCATCAATAAACAAATCACTACCTTTAACATCACAAACTGACTTATTCCCATCAGGCTATAAACCGTACTACAATTTGTGAGATACTTAGCAGTGCTCACGAATAGTGTCTGACCCTCTAACAAATCCGGCAGATTTGCCAACGGTCCGATAGAAGTCTACAACCCACCGGCCCCAGTGTCTGACTGTCTGTTTCACAATGACTTTGACTTAAGTTGTTATATCTGACATGTGACACTTGTTTGCTGTTTATATATCTTGTGTTTGTTAATAATTTCAGTGCCAGTTATAAGAAATGTTAAATCTGAAATGTATGTTTAATTTTATTCTATGAGTCCTGTGAATTTTCAATGGGTAAGACAGACATCTGAAACTTGCAGGACCCAATGTCCTGTTACCTTGAAACACCATTCGTGATCACTGACTTAGGCATACAGTTCACTAGTTTAACTCACTATATAGTCAACAACTTCAAAAGTCAGCAAAAGCAGACAAAAGATGGCTCCTGTGAGACTTAATATTCTAATACCAGCTATCAAAGTTGGGAGTAACATATCAGTACAACAGATATGATATCCCTGCAATTGTTAACATGATTCATTCACAAACACTGTTAAATGATGTATTTACAACTTTCTAGTAATTTCCTAGAATGGGTGATTACACTGTTGTTATGGAGACAGCCTTCAAAGACAACATGCCACAGTATAAAATGGATACCCCACTTAGACATATTTCACTTGTTATATCCTCAAAATGAGTGAGTTTAGTTTTACGCCGCACTCAGCAATATTTGAGCTATATGGTGGCGGTCTAGAAATAATCGAGTCTGGATCAGACTATCATGTGATCAACATCATGAGCATCGATCTCCGCAATTGGGATACGATGAGAAATGCGTCAACCAAGTCAGCAAGCCTGACCACCCGATCCCGTTAGTCGCCTCTTATGACAAGCATGGGTTACTGAAGATCAATATTCTAACCCAGACCTTCACAGGTATCAAGAATTTAAAAGCCCTGTTTCTAATATAACCTGAGGTGACCACCAAATGGATGTGATATCTTCACATATACAGATATTGTACTGGGGGTGAAGATATTATTTTATGGTATTGACATGTCATTCATATTTATCATAAACTAATTATAATCAACCTTACAGTATTGCATAATAAACAATAAACATGATCTGATCACATTGATGACACAACTTGTCATTTTCATTTGCTAGGCAGTTAAACTTTGGATCATTAAACATTGGAACTGGATCATTAAACAAGCTAAATGTGCCAAGAAATTTGTCTTTCCTTGGCATTGATGAACATTCTCTTATTTCAGTTTGGACAGTGCCCAACAGTTGAGAAATGGCAAATGCCCCAATCAGCATGAGCTGCAAGCAAACACTTAACATGCTTAAGACACAGTGGATTAGTTTAAACAGCAAAAAGGTTTCAAATTTTTCCAAAGAACAGTTTTTACAAAAATGAAGGCCACGATGAATCAAAACATGGCCTTTGCCTGCTGTGTGAGATTGGCTGTTTGCTACAGCTAACACACCAGTGGGTCATGTGCATATTCTGACTGGAAATTGAAACAGGCACACCACAGGCTGACCGTAACATCAGCTTGGGCATTGATCTACACCACTGATGTATATATAATATACATATTGTCACATCAAAAACATTGCCATGGAAACCAATTTCAGCATGGAATGGAACTGATCAGAACAGACAGTACATCTGTGTATTATCTATATAAAGTGTCATCCGTAATGGTTTTTGAGAAGTACACCATGAAAAATATCTCAAGTGCATAATGAAGGGTAAATGGCAGAAAACTTGCCACAAGAAAGAAGCATAACTGACCTGTTGGTAATAGCCTTCATACACTCCAATGTGACTGCCCACGATCTGAAAAAAAAAAGACATTCTTAAAGCAAAACAACAAATATGATTATTGAATTAAAAGCCGTTCCCTATACACATGATAAATGTTTATATACACCATGTGATCAACAGCAAAGTTTTGCAACACATAGTGTTTGTATCAGTGCGTATCATTGCACATGTCAATTATTTTATGAGAAAATAATATTTTGCACACTTTTTCACTCTGCATCCCATTCCAGTTTTCCTTGTTGTGGTAACATTACTGCTTTTTTTACGCAGCCCACTTTGCTGCTTGTACTGTCATAGAAACCTGCTTTGAAAAAAAGCAGTGAGACAAGTAGGACTGTCTTCTTGAATCCTCACAATGCACCCTCTCATTCAACACACAGGCTCCTTAAAAATAGTAGAACTACCACAAAAATCGTGCAAATTGAGGCAAATTTGCTGATTCATCCCAATTTGCAAAATCAGCTTTGTTACTATTGCAGTGAATTGTGACTTGTTAGCAGCTATCACTGTCTGAGTCCGCCAAAAACCAAGTCAGGTAACACTTGTAACCAGGGCCTAGATTTTTGAAGCTCTTTTAGACTGACTGACTGAGTTTGTTTTTTACGCCGCTTTTAGCAATATTCCAGCAACATCACGGCGGGGGACACCAGAAATGGGCTTCACACATTGTGCCCACGTGGGGATTCGAACCCGGGTCATCGGCATGACGAGACAACGCTTTAACCATTAGGCTACCCCAACGCCCCAGCTCTTTTAGAGCTAAGATAATGTTAATGTATGGCACTTAAGACCATCTTAACACTGGGAGAGCTTCAAAAATCTAGGTCCTGAGCCTCATTTATGGTTAGTATGTTGATAAAGATCATGTTGATAAACATGTCAACTGTTTCACATATGTCTACAACATTAAATATAATACAACACAGTATATATATTATGCTGGAGAGATCCACACGATCAATACTGCAGTGATCACATTGTCATGTTGATGCATGGTATGATTTATCTTCAAATAACAAACTGATAGTGCCTGGTGCTGTATCTGTGTTTGAATGTCTTGGTGCAAATGACATGATAAATGACATTAAAGCGTCCTTCACATGGCAAAGTAAAGTTTGACAACACATGCTGTCAAATGCGAGTTTGAGAGTGTGAAGTGTTGTCAAACTCGTGTTGTTCAGAAACAACCAACCACAGTCAACGAAATGGTCACATGACCGACCCGATAGAGACATGACGATCAAATGACACGAAAGTTTGACAACATGTGTTTGATGTGTGAAAAATAATCTTTTAGTCTACATACACCAGGGATGCCAAATGCATGTAAAATAATCCTAAATAACAATAATTTTTGTCTGACTTACCCACACAACACAGTAATACTTGCATTAACAGTAATTCATGACATGACACAGTCATCAGAGATCTTACTTATTTAGACTAGTTTGTGCATCCGTGTTTCAATTTTGATATATACAGGGGACGAGTCAAATAGTGTTTAAATGTTGAACAGCATTTTCACACATTTCTGCTTGAATCAATTGTTGAAGAATTAAACTCAATTAATAGTTGTAAGGCTGGCCAAACCTTATTTGTGAAAAAAATTCTCCACTATATTACTCAATTTTATGTTTGTCACAATAGCTTTTAGACAGTTAAACCAGTGGCTGAAGGCATGATCAACATATAATTAAACATTTTTCAAAGGATTGCAAGAGTGAGTGAGTGAGTTTAGTTTTATGCCGCTTATAGCAATATTCCAGCAATATCATGGCGGCAGAGGATTGCAAGAGTGCAAAGTTAATACAAATAAAATGCTACTACTATCATGATTTTGCCGCCATTTCATTATCATTCTTATTCCTTTCTGCAAACACTGAAAGAAGAAGCTGTTAAGTCTGAAATATTTATTCATAAATACCAGTGTTTTCAACACGTGATAGGATTCACATCAAATGTAAAGTTCAGACAAAATAGTGTCCCACACTAAAAAAAACATGAAGACACGAAAAAATACTGTTTCAAAATTAGTCCCAAAATTATCTTTCATGTTTTTGCAAGTATATTTCAAAACTATCAAAGGGATATATGTAACACCTGAAAAACCTTATTTTCACTTGTATCTGAGTGTAAGGGGTTAAGTGAATACAAACATATAGTAATGTTGAAGTACAACATGTTTTTATCCTGAATTCCCCACATTGCTGCAATGCTTGAAGCCCATTTCTGGTGCCCCACGCCATGATAATGCTGATTACTAAAAGTGGTGTAAAACTAAACTAAACTCACTCACTCACTTATCCTGAAAATCAATCAATGAGGAAGTCCACTAATAAGGTTATGGTTTTTTGTAACTGAATGTGTACCTTTAGCATGGGTCTGCGTTCACATTATTTTGCCAGTGTTCGGGTCACTTTGTAATGCTAGTGGGACTGCAAACATGCACACACTACCTTCCAGTTTCACAATATTGAAAAATTGGAATGAAAATCTAATAATTATTTATTTGTGGACCTTAATGTATACACACTTTTGAATAGTCCAAACTCTGGGTTAAGCCACACATAAAATTTATGCATTGCAACAGACATAATTAAACAATCATAAAATTTTGATATGCCGTGCATATAACTAGACTTTGCAACAGCTACTCCTACGCGAGACACAAAATATCTGCAAGTGAGGCCCAATTCATTGCTTCAAAAAAAAATTGTTATTGTCAATAAAACGATAACTGAAATACAAACAGCAAGACAGCGTGACATATAGCATCTTGAGTATGAAGAAAGATATTCTTGTTTCAACACTTGAGCAGACGAAGTGACATGACAGTGACAGGAGCCGACAGTGTGTCATTGGTTAACATCGCGAAAATAACATCATGGTTCGTACTCTTACAGTTTAAATCTTATAGAAGCTATGCATATATGCAAACGAAGAAATAAATATCAACATTATTCAAAAAGCTGACATGCAACGCACAACTACCGCATCACGAACTTAGATGACACCCGAGATGATCGTCCTCCAAATATTACCGTTCAAATTTCATCTCATCCCTTGGCCTCATCAATTATGAACATTTCATCAAACGATCTGAACTAAGTCAAATTTAACTTCTACAAAGCTCACAAGGTGTCTTGATAGAATTACTCGCATATGCACAGAGAATTACCATTTAACACCGCGATCTAATCGTACAAACCTGTGCTAGCGGTGGGACGGCCGCCATATTTCTTGCCAGTTGAACTGCATAGAATAAATGACGACCGCTGATTGGCCATACCAATGAAAGGTCAAAGGGTATAGAAGGAGGCGTGTCAACTGTTTTGATATTGAATGACAAATCGTCATTTTAAATTATGATTCCTTTGAATGACATCATTTTTTGTTCCCATAGATATAATCCAGGAACAAATCTATCGGTATTCTGCCGGGAACAAATAATCAGTTGATATGTTAATTACTTCATCCCGATGTTCAAAGTGATCGGACCATTTTCCGATCGATGATTTTAGTATTATTATTAACACTTCGAATGGCATTCGGAATGATGAACTTGACCTTTCGGGGCATAAGCCAGTTCCCTCACCATGGCAATATATGCTATGATAAATGTACATATAAATGTATACATATAAACTGACGTGCAAAAGAAAGTACACAGGTGTAATTGTTGTTGCAATCCCAAATATGCGTTCTAACTAATAAAATTATTGAAAAACATTGATTGTTTAGAACGCAACCAACCATCATGTTTCATTTGCCAAAATGCAACAAAAAACATTTGAACGTGTTTTGCACGAATTTTGGCAAAATTGTGATTATTGTCTCATGCACCAGCACTTTTCTGACAGAGAGTATAAAACCTGTTTGTCGTGAAGACTGAACAATCACTTCACAGAAATCTCACGAGGAAATGCCAAGATTGACGTCGGCGCAACGAGAACGGGCCAAAGGAATGACACAAATGGGTGCTTTCAACTGCGATATTGCAAGGACATTGGGTTGCACAAGACAAACCATAATTCGGCTGTTTAACCGTTTCAGTACGACAGGCCAGGCATGTGATCGACCCAGAAGTGGACGTTCCAGAGTCACAACACCCCAAGAGGATCGCTATCTGCGGGTTATTCACCTACGCAACTGGATGTTGACGGTGACGTCATCAGCAGCCACATCATTGGGTGATCGCGTAAGCCGATTCACAGTGACAAGACGACTTCGTCCTCCTGGCATGTATGGGCCTACCGACCGCTGCGTGGAATGGCCTTGACCTTCCAGCATCGTAGGAACCGTCTGCAGTGGTCATCACTACATTGCTGTTTATTGTTACAATGTCATTTTGCTGATAAAACACGTGTATTGCAGTGTGCTTCACCATACATTTTCCATTTCATCAAAAGGTTTTGTTATTTTTATCTTATTGGAAGAAACACAACCTGTGTACTTTCTTTTGCACATCAGATTATATGCTTTCTGTATGCAAGCATTCATTCAGTCGAACATGTCTTAAGTAAATATCCCGAAGTGTGTATTTCATAAAAAGAAGCTGACTTCCACATATTGTCTCTCTTGTTCATATTATCAACCACACCCTCAGCGCCAGAAGGTGTTTTTTTTTCACCCCAATTAATTACACCGGGTGTGTTCTCAGTTTCTAGTTCAGGCAGCATTACATTATATTTGGGAAAAAACAAAAACAATATACATTGCCGTGTTGTGAGGTGAGGTGAAATGGGGTTTAACGTCGTACTTAAGATTATTTCGCTCATATGACGACGTGCATGCGTGTGTATGTGTGGCTGCTTGTACTAGCCCAGACTTAAGCTGGTTTTATAGTGCGAGTTCACTGAGATATCATGCCGGAGTTAGGGACCGTTCATAATTTATGCCCAGGGGGGTGATGATGATTTTTTATGGAGAAGCATGTACAATGTGAATGACCCCCCCTAAAATTTATGTACAAAGTAAGTGACCCCCCTGCATGTCATGTACAAAATTAATGACCCCCCTCCCCCTTCCAATATTTTTTAAGCATAATTTTTAAGCATTTTTTGTACAAAATTTTTACCCCCTAGTACAAAATTGATGACCCCCTAGAAACATGTGTACAAAATTGATGACCCCCTATCTCCCCAGAACAAAGGGGTGAACCCCCTCCCCTTAAAATCATCACACACACACCCTACCCCCCTAGCCATAAATTATGGACGGTCCCTTAAGCATAAATACCCCACACATTATACTGACTCCCAGCCGACCAGTCCTTGTACCCATCACTTAATGCCGACCAACAAGTACCATATTTTAACGTCTTTTGGTATGACGCGACCGGGGATCGAACCCGCGACCTTCCGCTCTCCTGGCGGACGCTCTAACCACTACACCACGGAGGCGGTTTGCCCTGAAGTAACGTGGGATCTGTGAATGTTAGACACTGTCAATCTTTACCGATATATATGTGCAGAAATATTTCTCACGACTGGCTGTGAGCTGACAGTTACTGGGCCGTGAATGACTGTGTTATTTATTTATACAGAACTTGTCACCTAAACTATCAAAACTGATGGGAGTCAGTAAGTGGGGGAGTGCAGTTTACCCCGTGGGTGACTTCGTGCGTGAGCGACTGAATGAATGACTGGTGTGAATTTGAACCAATACCAAGTTCAACATAGTATTATTATAAGACATCAAGTGCAGGCCATGGCGTGTGGAGTGATTTGTCGCTGAGCTTCCTCTTCAACTGTAAGACGGAAAGAGCAAGTATCTGATAAGATGCTGCACATCTTGTCGGTCAAACAGACCCAGAAACAAATATATCCAAGAAAGCCCATGCAAGTTTAGATTATGTGGCAAGTCTAGATTTCCATAGTTTCAGTTTCTGAAAATGAAGAAAGTATCTGGACTCCTTTTTTATTATATTTTATGAACATAATTTAGGAACTGTATTATATGTTCATTTCAGAGACTAGATTATGGTGTACTGCACATCGTCCTGCCATTGTTTCAACAAAGAAAACATTGTCAGCCTCAGTATATGAGTTATTTAAATGAAACCTACTGCCACACAACATTGGGTCCTCCAGTTACATTGGTTTATTTTTTTTTTATTCGTTTATCTATTTAATGTTTTGTAGCAGTTTGTCTATATCTTAAGTAAATGAATTGGGTCGACGGTGTTTTGAACAATATTTCTGTTGTATTTAAGGCGTGTCTGCCAAATGTGGGAGGGAACCCGGCGTAATGGTGGACCTATTGTTGATCTTTGGTGGAGCCACAAAGTACAGGTTTGGGGACGCTGAAAAAGTGTCGAACCATTATCAAAGCGAATCGTGGTTTCTTGCACGCATCAGGCACTCAAACGTGCCATCCGATGTCCCCCGATCAAAGCAACCGATGATGTCAACTATATGCATATATAGCGATATATCAGCGATATATCTATAATCAAATCTGGACAAGGCGAGAGCAAGGGCCATGATCTCAACGTACGTACCCGATGCCAAGTGCATGGTGTTGTTGTAATGTAACAGAGACGACATGTTTCGGAACTCAGTGACATTCTTGTTTGATGATGACGTGCAGTCGTGCTTCTGGTAAGGTTTCACTAATCACACCACTATTAAATACTTTGTCGGTTTCCGGAAGCTTAAAAATACCTCACGCCCAGCACTTAAATTTATCTTTTTCTTTGGCTTATTTGCTCTGCACTGCAAGGAGGATAATCGCTCGGGCGGTGAGGGGGTTGGACGTTTTTGACCATGGAAGCCATGCATCAAATTATATCTGGAGCATATAATCAGGATGAATTTGAGATTGGACACCTCGACCACAGAATCCTGGCATGCAAAAAGGACGCAACTATGCATATCGAATTGAAAAAGTCTTTGACATCTGCCCCCAAATGACGAAATATAACTGTGAAAAAATAACGTGTACACGCATAGGGATATATGTATATGAAACATTAGATATATTCATTTCTCCTTGCCACACTTGTGCAAAACCTGTGAAGAAAGAAGTCAGATTTCACAGTATTTTTTATGGAATTTCTATCACGTAAATGATAAAGGAAAATCTCTGTCACGAATGTGATTTCAGAGAATGGGTTTTTATTTTAGGACGCACGGCCCTACATGTATTTATAAATATTGAGTTGTTGTTTCTATATCCGCCTCGTTTATCCAGCGTGTTATGTATCAATTTAATTGTGATATATCATCATAGTAAGATAACAAGGCCACAGTAATCGCCTGCTATAGACGATCAAACTATAGACGATCAAACCCTGCTACAGACGATCAAACCCTGCTATAGACGATCAAATTCACTCCGGATCTGTTACTGTTCTTGATGAATGCCTTTTCTTGGAATGTGTAACTACTTTCTCAAAATAGTCATTAAAAACCCTGGCTGTTAACTTGTGCTCATGTTTACGAAACAAATGAAAGCATTTCAACATGTCATATAAGGACATATCAGCCTAGGTTTTGAAGAAAGCCAGACATGAAGGTAGAGATGTAGCCATGGTGATCATAGGCCAAGGATTGTGGATAATCTCAAATTCGTACTGTCCATCAGCGGATCCTGCCATGAAAAGGGACACAACGCTGGTCGCGAACAATCAACGCAGAAGTGGTTCTTAAGGTCTTATAATGATTTATATTTGATTTATAAAATAATATTGAAAGATACATCAGGATTTCATTCTTCTGAAACGTTTGATCAAACGACCAAAAAGCGAGTTCGAACTTTTGTTGTTGTGTTCAGCTAAATGGGTTGAGCGTGATATTGCGTCTTCGGGTAAGGTTAGATTACGTTGAGAGAGTCCTTTTCCATGATGTAACACACTGTTTAATTGGCACAGCTGATCCAAGCACGTGGTCTGTGCGACCCCTGTCCTCTGAACAGGTGCATCACCTTTAACATCTCCTGGATGTACAGGAGGTCCCTTCCCTTTCAGCATGTCCACCTCCATCATCAAGCGAGCCACCTGCTCCCTCAGGGAGACTCTTAGGTCCGAGAGTTCTTGGATTTGTATCATGAGAGTTTTGTTCTTTAGGTGAAGAGACGAGGCACGGAGTCCAGTATCGAGGCAGTCAATGCGGAGACTGTCCACCTCGTACAGGGCCGTCATCATCTGCTTGTACAGCTCAAACTGCTCAGCTTGTGTTTTCTCTTCACAACAGGCCAACTGAGACGGTGGCTTAGGGTGGATTGGCGTTGGTTTGATTGTGACAGACGGCGGGACCGAATTATGGAATTCTGAAAAAAATATGCAATGTCATTTGGATATAAAAACATCAATAAAGTCTGAAGTGAGAACTGTTTAGGAAAGTTTGTATGCTGCAAGAGAAAACACTTTCAGTAATGTTTATATGAGGGAAATACTTGAGATCAGTGCCTAGATTAGATTTGGAGAACTCACAGAGTCTTAAAGATTGAATTACCTATGGTGAGTTATCCGAGACATTGCAAGGTATGAAAGGCAATGAAAATAATTAATCCACAACATAAACAACACTGCATCCAGTATTTGTACATTCTGTTCTTCGGAAGGGGAACTTTAATCTACTAGTATATATTTGGGTTTTTTCTCTCACAAAATGTTTTTAGAACAACTGCGTTCAATGACCAATGCGTTTCAATCTGAAACTGTCTGTTCAACTTGTTATGTTCGCTGTAATAGTGATAATGTGACAGAACGAGTGACTATCGAGTGCCATTGTGAATGAAGAAAAAATGAATGTCCTCCTCTGTTATGAAAAAATCGAAAGTATCATTAAGTGAATAAATATTGTTCCATTTTATCCGCCTCAGTCCAACAAAATCATGCTATTCATGATTAACTGTATTCTCTTTGACTGGCAATGATACACGGGGTCTTTGTGACCCCTGATCAATATATTTGGTTTCAGAATCAACTATGATCGTCAACAATTGTAACTTTGTGTTAGGTTTTAATACGTTTTAAAATTTTGATGATCGTTACATACCTATCGGTTCTGAAGAAGCAAAATATTCTGCTACCTCAGGATGGAACCCCTCACAATCGGAGTTCGACACAAGCCTGGCAGTCGACATCTCCGACTCGCTGCATGAATGAAAAGAACGATAAAATTGAGGGATATAGGATTAGAAGGGTGCAGATTACTTGACAATCCTCTACTCAGATAAAACAAAGCAATGTTATTATTTTGTATTTCATACCCTTGAAACGCCTGTCGACTGCCGAATACTTCAGTAAGGGTGTGAAACTTCAGAGACGGAATCCGTGTATTTTTCTGCTACAGCAAACTGATACAATAACGTGACGTCATACTAACTCCAAGTGACGTCATGGCAATTTGAGACATCGGGCGTTTCCTGGCCTTTTTTTTTCATTCGGTTTTCTCTGTACAGCGATGTTCCGTAGCAACAAATAGCTAATCATCATGATTTGTGCCAGGAGAAAATGTATAAGCTATCAATGTACATATTTCTGTACAGAATAATGTCCTAACGGGACATCTTTCTCTCTTATCACGCCGAAGACCCGGGTTCGACTCCCCACATGGGTACAATGTGTGAAGCACATTTCTGGTGTCCCCCGCCGTGATGTTGCTGGAATATTGCTAAAAGTGGCGTAAAACCAAACTCAGTCAGTCTTTCTCTCTTAATTCATTTGCTTTTCTTAAAATTCAAATTGATTTACTATTCTATGCGCAAAATTATTCCTTTCTGTGTCAGCAGAACTACATGTACTTAAAATATCATACTATAAGCTGAAAGCGGAAGCAGTAATTACAGATTGTATTCTGCTGATAAAAATGTCAGGTGCAAGTATTTGGCTCTAGTCAAAGGTAGGTAACTCTTACGTGCATTGTGAACACGATGCGATAATTAATTCCGACCGAACGATTAAAGGCTTTAAGAGTCGCTTAGATCAATACTTTTCTATACTGACACGCAAATTATGGCTGTGTGCGTGAGTGAGTGAGTTTAGATTTACGCCGTTTTTTGCAATGTTCCAGCTATATTGGAGGGCACCAGAAATGCGCTTCACACAGTAGTACCCATGTTGGGAATCGAACCCAGGTCTTCAGCTGACGAGCGAACTAGTTTCTGCAGACGGACCATTCTATGTCTCTCTCACGAAGAGCGCTCGAATTTCAAATTTGCCCATCAATATTATGCTTGATCAGGCAACACCAGTTCACGTGGTCGCGGCTTTCACTAAAGTGGTAAATATCTACTAACAGATAGTTTAGCTCCACGCCAAACTTTAGCTGACACGTCCTGATATAAATAGTGTTCAAAACATGCTCGATCATCCATTGTGTTACGTTTCTATTAAATCATGATCAAGCCCTTGGACCTAATCAGTAACATAGTTTCATTTTGTGTCCGGTTGGAAAATTAAACCCAATAAAAATTAATTTCGTTATAATGTGCGAGAGAAACGGGTATATGGTAACAGGAGATGGCGATGTCACTTCCCAGACGAAGCAATGATGACGGTCAAGGGTATTTTGGTGACTGAATGGAGATTTAGCAATATTTCAGCAACATCACGGCGGCTGAATGGAGATAACGTACTGAAATAGGGAGGATGTGTTGAAAACAGCATTTACGCTGCCCGCTGACAGGATTATTTAAGCCGGAAGGGTTTAACAGTATTGACTATACTGAGTTTCACTTTCAGTGTTGAAATACTGATGTCTGAAAACAAACATTTGAGATATAGTATGACCAGAAATTATTGAGAATTTTAGGAAAATGTTTAATTTGATTTCTAGTATAAACAACCTTGACCAGCTATAAAGTGCTTGGTTTCATTCAAGAGAGACAACTCTGTTAATCCTTTTTCATTTGTTTGTGAAGGGTTATCCACCTTTGTTTACTTGCTAGCAGACGACATTTTCAGTGATCATCAGTATGGATGATTTAGAGAAGAGGAAGTTGATTTCAGAGTATTATAACAAGGACATCAGATCAGCTAAATTGATTTCAAGTAGAACAGGCATCCCTTTGTCCACTATTTATTGGGTTTTTTTTAAATATTGCAAATGGGTGTTGCATTGAGCACCAGGGAGGCGCAGGTAGGCCCAGAAAATTGACTGTCGGTTACAGGAGGCGGCTTGGTATTCTTGTTTCTAAAAACAAACGGAGTTTAGAAAACTTAAGGCTGGATATGATTGAAAGAGGAACTGTGGCTGTCTGTATGGAGACAATTAGAACTGAGCTGCATGCAATGGGTTGGCAGAAAAGTCGAGGAATTCCATCACCGATCATGAAACCTGAACAAAAGGAGCGAAGGTTGAACTGGTGCTTACAGTATAGAAATTTTAACCGGGACAATGTGATTTTCTCAGATGAAAGTTCTGTGTGGCTGTTTCCTAATACATTGAATTCTGGACCAAACAAACTGTAAAACCTTTGTATCAGCGCCCAAAGTACAGTCCAAAATTTAACGTGTGGGGTGGCATATCTGTGTTATGGGCAACGCCCCTCTGTGTATTTGAAGGGAATATGAACAGTGAGCGGTATACAGATATTCTCGAGGGACATTTACTCATCTGCTCAAGTGTTCTATAGAAATTTTTGGATTTTCCAGCAGGACAACGACCCAAAACATCGTTCATAGCATTCACAGGCCTGGTTTCTGAACCAAAATATGACATTATTAGATTGGCCAAGCTATAGTCCTGACGTAAATCCAATAGAAAATGTTTGGGGACTTATGAAGGAAAGTGTCAATAAGAAAAATCTGACAAATATTGCTGAAATGAAAGAAGAGGTGGTCCGATATTGGGACAGCATGGACCACGACTTTCTAATTTCTTTGATCAGTGGTATGCCCCGGCGCATTGAAGCCTGCATTGCTGCCCATGGTGACTTGACAACATACTAACTGTTCAACTGTCTTTGAATCTGGAGTTATGTTCTGCTAATATTCACATTTTTGTAATACGTGAGTAATGAGTAAAAAAATAAATAAAATTACAATCTTTAAATTCTCAATAATTTCTGGTTGTACTGTACAAAATGTTATTTAATCAAGCATTGATTATATTCCCTGTTGGAAACATGAACTCGTATTACATACTGAAAGGCTGTTGTTCCCATTGGTATATCCAGAAAGTATGCCAAGTGTATTTCAGTGGGAAACTTCAAAAACGACGAATCTTGAAATTTGATCACAGTCGGAAAGATAATGAATACAAAAGTTGGCTGAAAAGTTCTTCAAGACTGTTGAATCATTTTTGTGGTCTTGAGTCTACAGGGTCCGCCGTAGATTGCGGAGGGTCGCAGCTCAATACCAAATGACATTAAAAGACAGTACTTGTTATTACGTGTCTAGTTATGAGATAGAAACAGACGCGCTGACCAGTTTCGAGTCAGTACCCACTGTCCGAATGTGGTATTCAATACTTTTCATATCAAACTTAGACATGGTATATCAGAGGCAAGGACAGTTAAAACGTCTTTAGTCTAAGTCTCGCCAAGGAAAGCGTCCACTTCCCTCGTCGACACATTTATTTTGAACACGATAAGAGGGTGTGTATATGAGTGCAAAAATGTTAAACGTAAGGTAAACCTCATTTCACTTCACCAAACAATTCACTCGGGTTTTCAGCTTCTTGTTAACGCACATGAAATTGTTGTTTAACGCCCTACATATAACAGTGTCGTATAAAGAACTGAGTCTGGTATTGATTGCCCATGACACACAATCAGGCGACCCAGGCTGACCATCGGATCCACTTTGATGGCTCAATACAAGTGAGTGAGTGAGTGAGTGAGTTTCATTTTACGCCGCAGCAATATTCCAGCTGTATGGCGGCAGTCGGTAAATAATCGAGTCTGGACCAGACAATCCAGTGATCAACAGCATGAGCATCTATCTACACAATTGGGAACCAATGACATGTGTCAACCAAGTCAGAGAGCCTGACCACCCGATCCGTTAGTCGGCTCTTAGGACAAGCATGGGTTACTGAAGATCAATTCTAACCAGTACCTGCAAGAACAAGTGATGCCCACACAATAGGACCAGAGCTGGACCTGTTCAGAATGTGCTCTCATATCTGGTGTATGGTAGTCACAATGTGCCAACAGCTCGATGTACCCACAGTCACAATGTGCCCCAAACTCCAGTGTAACACAATCACAATGTGCCCCACATCTCCAGTGTAAGTCACAATGTGCCCAAACTCCAGTGTAACAGTCAAAATGTGCCCAAACTCCAGTGTAACACAGTCACAATGTGCTCCAAACTCCAGTGTAACACAGCCATTATGTGCCCCAAAACACCAGTGTAACACAGTCATGATGTGCCCCAAACTCCAGTGTAACACAGTCACAATGTGCTCCAAACTCCAGTGTAACACAGCCATTATGTGCCCCAAAACACCAGTGTAACACAGTCAAAATGTGCCCAAACTCCAGTGTAACACAGTCACAATGTGCTCCAAACTCCAGTGTAACACAGCCATTATGTGCCCCAAAACACCAGTGTAACACAGTCACAATGAGCCCCAAACTCCAGTGTAACAGTCACAATGTGCCCACAATCTCCAGTGTACCACAGTCACAAAGTGTCCCACATCTCCAGTGTACCACAGTCACAAAGTGCCCACAATCTCCAGTGTACAACAGTATGGGGAAACTATCCATGCCATACATTTGTCTAAAATACTGTGTCTAGTCTTTACACTCTATTGCCAACAGAACCACAATCAATGCAACACACAACAAAATATATCAGCTCATATGATGACATTTATTTGAAGAATAATGGTGTTGATTTTTAATGCATACATGAATTATCTTGATAACAAAACAAAGTTGTGCAGTAGAAACTGGACAATGAACCAAAATCAAATGAATTTGATAAACATGATAATCAATCTCTGGGTCCCAGAAAAGTCAATAAAGCAATGTTGCAGCTGGCTCCAATACCTTCACAAAGATCTAAAACATTTGAAGTTGTTGCTTTGCTGTTGACTGACTGACTGACTGACTGAGTTTGGTTTTACGCCGCTTTTAGCAATATTCCAGCACTATCACGGCGGGGGACACCAGAAATGGGCTTCACTCATTGTACCCATGTGGGGATTCGAACCTGGGTCTTCGGCGTGACGAGCCAACGCTTTAACCACTAGACTACCCCACCGCCCCTGCTTTGCTGTTGAACAGCCCAGACCATGATGACTATGATGAAAATAGGCTTCATATATTGTACCCACATGAGGATTCAAACCTGGGCTGTAGCATGATGAGTGAATGCTTTAACCCCCTCGGCTACCCATTCACTCCCATTTTCAAGCTATCCATCAAAAGAAAATGCTGGATCAAAACATTAACACTAGAACTTAAATGTAACATATTTTGTAAAATCATGATTATAGTCTCAGTAATCAGGAAGCACAAACAAAAACACGAGAGTGTGAAAACAGAACTCATCATTAACATGGATGTATCAAGTAATGTTAACTGATAAACAAAATATTGTCACATGAATTTTTATCGTCTTAAAAATATATTTCACCTCTCATTCATGACGAACCTGTCACAAACTGTGAAAACAAATCAGTAAAGGTTACTAGTATATGGACCAGAATGTATGCATGGTTGGGGATTGGTGTTGTAGAATGGATCCCAGTAGCAGACAGAGAACTTGGGACTGGGCATTCTGCTGTTGTATCTTCATGTATCAATGATGTAGAAGCAACAACTTATCAGACAGAGAAAGCACTGATTTAATCATTTATTGCATGAAACACACAGCACTTGGAGATTTCAAGTGTTGTGATTACTTTCTTCATCCTGTTGTCTGAAAACATGATCCAGATGTGTCTGATGATATGGTCTAGATGTGTCTGACAACACAGATTCATTTGGGTGTATCTGATAACATGATCCAGATGTGTCTGATGACATGATCCAGATGTGTCTGATGACATGATCCAGATGTGTCTGACAACACAGATTCATCCAGGTGTATCTGATAACATGGATTCAGTCACTGCCGGCTCTGCCATGTCATGAGATGATGATGATGATGATGATGATGATGATGATGCCATCTGGTTACAGTGTCCACATTGTCAATACTTCACAAGTCTTGCATTCACTGCTTTCCTCCTCCACCCATGAATACACGCTACTTACAGTGTACTGGTATCTGTATTTTCTTTAAGCTAATAAAACGACACTGTGGATAACTCCCAGTTCAATGAGCCCAACTCTGTGCATGAACCAAGTGCTAACACTACCACTGCATGACATTCAAGCAATGAGTAGATGAGTTTTAGCGAGTTTAGTTTTACGCCACACTCAGCAATATTCCAGCTCTATGGCCGAATGAGGACCAAAAGGCTGTGGCACATTATCCGTGCCATATCTTGTTGTCTGAGCAATGTAATCAGGGTATATATTGGTGTGAGTATGTACTGGATCTTGCTGGAAGTGGGTGTTACTGGATTCCGTGACAAGCACCCATATGTCTTCACAAGTGACAGATGAACATCTATCCTTGAAGTATTGATGGCACAGTCTGTATGGTATGGGGGTGAGATTATATCGGCTTTTAACACAAAACAAACACACACTATCACACAAGGACATTCATTCCTTATTCTCTTACATATTCTCATGTCATTGATGTTCTCAGAACCATTCAAAACTGGCTCAACCGCACAATGTTACAAACATTCCCTCTTTTTTTGACAAAACATATTACTTTCCTGGAATAATTCACCTGTCTCAAACACACATTCTTGTAAGCCTTACCTATTGACTGAACATCTAACCTTCCTGAAATCATTCACTTCTAACTGCATCACACAGGTCTCCCAGAGTTTCCTCCCCTTAAATGTTTCACGGATATTGGAAGGCTGAAAACATGGACTTTGTACAGCAGCTAACTTTCAGAAAGACAACCCGAAACACACAGATGACTGTTAGTATCTCACAGTGCTGGCAGGGCAGTAGGGTGGCTCAATGGTAGGGTGTTAACATGACACAATACTGAGTTCTAATATCATTATTAGAAAAACGTTTTAATCTCCATTCATGACCATCCCCAGCTTATCACATCTCGATAATGCTGAGAGTCTAACAGAGGCTTTAACATTTATTACTCATCATGGAACCATCAGTCAGCATAAGTATGTTGATATTCACCCAAAGACAAATTAAGGCTGGTCGAGGTGATACATAACAAGTCACACATTCCTCACTTCAACTGTCTGTCTCCCATGAACACTCTCATGGTAGAGCCACTGTTACCGTCTGTCCCGGGAAGACTGTTTGCTGGCTTCTCTTCTGCGCTTATTCAGTGGATTTCGAGGATCATAAATTTCATATCTGTCTTCATCAGTTACATTGGCATCAATGACTTTCCTGGATTTGTCCTCAAAATGTAATTTGTGACCCATCCTGCAAAAGAGAGAGATTCAGCTTGTGTATAAGAAATTCTCATTGACATGAAAATATAACTAGCTCTGGTACAAAACAATTACTGGTGCTGCATCAGCTTTGTATTACTTTATGTGTGACTTGAATGTCCACTTTTATGACAATGCCATTATGCCCACCTTACTAATGGTCTACCTGTACCAATCTCAGCCTTCCAATGCTTACCTGAATGCAAATCTTACTAATGGTCTACCTGTACAGATGTCAGCCTTCCAAAGCTTAACCGAATGTCAGTCTTAATGACAGACCACCTATAAAGATGTCAGCCTCCCCATTCTTACCTGAATGACAATCTTAATGACAGACCACCTATAAAGATGTCAGTTTCCCCATGCTTACCTGAATGTCAATCTTAATGCCAGACCACCTATAAAGATGTCAGTTTCCCCATTCTTACCCGAATGTCAGTCTTAATGCCAGACCACCTATAAAGATGTCAGTTTCCCCATGCTTACCTGAATGTCAATCTTAATGCCAGACCACCTATAAAGATGTCAGTCTCCCCATGCTTACCCGAATGTCAATCTTAATGCCAGACCACCTATAAAGATGTCAGTTTCCCCATGCTTACCCGAATGTCAGTCTTAATGCCAGACCACCTATAAAGATGTCAGTTTCCCCATGCTTACCTGAATGTCAATCTTAATGCCAGACCACCTATAAAGATGTCAGTTTCCCCATTCTTACCTGAATGTCAATCTTAATGCCAGACCACCTATAAAGATGTCAGCTTCCCCATTCTTACCCGAATGTCAATCTTAATGCCAGACCACCTATAAAGATGTCAGTCTCCCCATGCTTACCCGAATGTCAATCTTAATGCCAGACCACCTATAAAGATGTCAGTTTCCCCATGCTTACCTGAATGTCAATCTTAATGCCAGACCACCTATAAAGATGTCAGTCTCCCCATGCTTACCTGAATGTCAATCTTAATGCCAGACCACCTATAAAGATGTCAGTCTCCCCATTCTTACCTGAATGTCAATCTTAATGCCAGACCACCTATAAAGATGTCGGCCTCCCCATTCTTACCCGAATGTCAGTCTTAATGCCAGACCACCTATAAAGATGTCAGTTTCCCCATGCTTACCTGAATGTCAATCTTAATGCCAGACCACCTATAAAGATGTCAGTCTCCCCATGCTTACCTGAATGTCAATCTTAATGCCAGACCACCTATAAAGATGTCAGTCTCCCCATTCTTACCTGAATGTCAATCTTAATGCCAGACCACCTATAAAGATGTCGGCCTCCCCATTCTTACCGAATGTCAGTCTTAATGCCAGACCACCTATAAAGATGTCAGTTTCCCCATGCTTACCTGAATGTCAATCTTAATGCCAGACCACCTATAAAGATGTCAGTCTCCCCATGCTTACCTGAATGTCAATCTTAATGACAGACCACCTATAAAGATGTCGGCCTCCCCATGCTTACCTGAATGTCAATCTTAATGCCAGACCACCTATAAAGATGTCAGTTTCCCCATGCTTACCTGAATGTCAATCTTAATGCCAGACCACCTATAAAGATGTCAGTTTCCCCATTCTTACCCGAATGTCAGTCTTAATGCCAGACCACCTATAAAGATGTCAGTTTCCCCATTCTTACCCGAATGTCAATCTTAATGCCAGACCACCTATAAAGATGTCAGTTTCCCCATGCTTACCTGAATGTCAATCTTAATGCCAGACCACCTATAAAGATGTCAGTTTCCCCATGCTTACCTGAATGTCAATCTTAATGCCAGACCACCTATAAAGATGTCAGTCTCCCCATGCTTACCTGAATGTCAATCTTAATGCCAGACCACCTATAAAGATGTCGGCCTCCCCATTCTTACCTGAATGTCAATCTTAATGCCAGACCACCTATAAAGATGTCGGCCTCCCCATTCTTACCTGAATGTCAATCTTAACCACCATGACCACCTGAATCAAAAGACCACCTATAAAGTCAGTCTCCCCATTCCTACCTGAATGTCAATCTTAATGCCAGACCACCTATAAAGATGTCAGTCTCCCCATGCTTACCTGAATGTCAATCTTAATGCCAGACCACCTATAAAGATGTCGGCCTGCCCATTCTTACCTGAATGTCAATCTTAATGCCAGACCACCTATAAAGATGTCAGTTTCCCCATGCTTACCTGAATGTCAATCTTGATGCCAGACCACCTATAAAGATGTCAGCCTCCCCATTCTTACCTGAATGACAATCTTAATAACAACCTACCTGTAAAGATGTCAGACTTCCATTGCTAATTTGAATGCCAATCCTATTGACGACCTACCTGTACAGATGTCAGCTTCCCCATGCTTACCCAAAAGCCCACCTAAATGACAGATCACCCATAGGGAGTCAGTCTTCCTAAATAAATGTCTGCCTATGCTTTACCCATGTAATGTCAACTCACTATTACATATACCAATAACTTTATCCATACTTTATCTGGCTTATTTTACACACCAGGTCATATCATCATCTTCCTGTTCTTCATCTGCTTCAGTCTTTTCTTCTTTCTTTTCTTTCTTTGTTTCTTCTTCCTCGTCCTCATAGAGAGAAGTTAATTTCTTGACATTTTCAAGTCTGTTCTGGAACTTAGCAAGCATGGCTAGTGTGTCTGCCTCCCGACTGGATCCCTTCTTGCTCTGCTTCTGACGTAGGTCCTTGTACTTCTGCCGCTCCTGCTTGTACTCTTCTAACATGTCCACCTTGGGCATCATCTCTGAAACACAGATCAGTCATACTAATTGACACAGTCCAGGCACACTGACTGAAACATAGACAGGGCACACTGACTGAAACACGGATCAGGCACACTGACTGAAATATAGACAGGGCACACTGACTGAAATATAGACAGTGCACACTGACTGAAACACAGACCAGGTACACAAAATGCAACACAGACTGGGTTGAATGACAGGCCAAATATCCTGACATGGCTAAGGAATTCTACTCATCCAATAAACCACTGGGGCCCCTGGCCCCTGTGCAACTAAGGGTTAAGAATTACAGTGGAGAGAATTTACCAAGAACGTCAAGCGTCTGTACCTATATCAGCTCCTTTCTTCCCTTTGTCTTTTGAGTCTTTCGTTTTTCCTTCAGATTTTATATCCTTCTTAGCTTCTTTTGTACTTTTCTCTTCTTTTTCATCTGCCTTTCTCTCACTTTTCCGTTTTGATTCTGACAGTTCCTTCTGTAATTGTTTTGACTCCTTTTTCAGTTCCTCACTGAAACGACAGAGTGAGTGAGTGGAAGTCATATCATAAACAACAAGGGATTGAGTTATTTAAAGACCAAAATGATCATGATTATAATAATGTTCAGGTGCTGAAATACCAAGGATTATCATGATCCCAGCAGAAGTAACTCTCAAATCCCATAATCCTTGCAGAAGTACCTTAAATCCCATGATCCAAGCAGAAGAAACTCATACATTCCATCTCATTAAGTACAGAATTAAGAGAATGTGGACTAAATACATGGTCGACTATTTGTTGATGGATACTAACAGATGGTCTAGCTTTGTCTTTTCTGACTCCCTGTCACTGTCCCCCTTTTTCTTGTCTTCTTTCTTCTTGTCTTCCTTCCCACTGACATCCTTCTTCTTGTCCGTCTCATCTGTCTTGAGCTTTTTCCTCACTGTCTCAAGTGATTTCTCTTTACTGTCCTCGCCCGTGTCAGAGCCCTGGGAACCCAAATAAGTACATCAGTGGGTGATGATGCTGAGGTTGGTGTTGGATTGATGGGGTGATTGTCTGAGTGGTTCTGACAGAGGTGATGTGGGTGTCTCATTGTGTGAGTGAATTTGTGAGTGCTTATGAATGATTGTGCTTGTGTGCATGATAGTGGATGTGTGCATGATTGTGGTCGAGTGAGCAATTGTGGTTGCATGGGTGATTCCTTGTCTGATTGTGTGAGTGGTCCTGTGAGTGATTGTGTGAGTGGTTGTGAGAGTGGTTGTGTGAGAGTGGTTGTGTGAGAGTGGTCGTGTGAGTGATTGTGCTAGTGATTGTGTGAGTGGTTGTGAGAGTGTTTGAGTGGTTCTGTGAGTGATTGTGCTAGTGATTGTGTGAGTGGTTGTGAGAGTAATTGTGAGAGTGGTTGTGAGAGTAGTTGTATGAGTGTTTGTGAGAGTGATTTTGTGAGTGGTTGTTAGAGTGCTTGTGTGAGTGATTGTGCAAGTGATTGTGTGAGTGGTTGAGAGAGTGATTGTGCTAGTGGTTGTGTGAGTGATTGTGAGAGTGATTGCGCTGGTGATTGTGTGCGTGGATGTGTGAGTGATTGTGTGAGTGGTTGCGTGAGTGATTGTGTGAGTGGTTGTGTGAGTGGTTGTCTGAGTGATTGTGTGAGTGGTTGTGAGAGTGGTTGTGTGAGTGATTGTGCTAGTGATTGTGTGAATGGATGTGTGAGTCATTGTGTGAGTGGTTGTGTGAGTGATTGTGCTAGTGATTGTGCGAGTGGATGTGTGAGTCATTGTGTGAGTGGTTGTGTGAGTGGTCTTGTGAAAGGTTGTGTGAGTGGTCTTGTGAGTGGATGTATGAGTGGTCTTGTGAGAGTGATTGAGCTAGTGATTGTGTGAGTGGATGTGTGAGTGATTGTGTGAATGGTTGTGTGAGTGGTCTTGTGAGTGGTTGTGAGAGTGATTGTGTGAGTGGTTGTGTGAGTGGTCTTGTGAGTGGTTGTGAGAGTGGTTGTGTGAGTGGTTGTGCTAGTGATTGTGAGAGTGATTGCGCTAGTGATTGTGTGAGTGGATGTGTGAGTGGTTGTGAAAGTGATTGTGTGAGTAGTTGTGTGAGTCGTCGTGTGAGTGATTGTGTGAGTGGTCATGTGAGTGATTGTGTGAGTAGTCTTGTGAGTGATTGTGTGAGTGGTTGTGAGAGTGATTGCGCTAGTGATTGTGTGAGTGGATGTGTGAGTGATTCTGTGAGTGGTCTTGTGAGTGGTTGTGTGAGTGATTGTGCAAGTCATTGTGTGAGTAGTTGTGTGAGTGATTGTGTGAGCGGTTGTGTGAGTGGTTGTGAGAGTGATTGTGTGAGTGGTTGTGAGAATGATTGTGTGAGTGGTCTTGTGAGTGGATGTGTGAGTGGTTGAGTGGGTGATTCCTTGTCTGATTGTGTGAGTGGTCCTGTGAGTGGTCCTGTGAGTGATTGTGTGAGTGGTTGTGTGAGTGAGTGATTGTGTGAGTGGTTGTGTGAGTGATTGTGTGAGTGGTTGTGTGACCGATTGTGCTAGTGATTGTTTGAGTGGCTGTGTGAGTGGTTGTGTGAGTGGTTGTGTGAGTGGTCTTGTGAGTGGTTGTGAGAGTGGTTGTGTGAGTGATTGTGCTAGTGATTGTGAGAGTGATTGCGCTAGGGATTGCGCTAGTGATTGTGAGAGTGGTTGTGAGAGTGATTGTGTGAGTGGTTGTGTGTGAGTGGTCTTGTGAGTGGTTGTGTGAGTGGTCTTGTGTGTGGATGTGTGAGTGGTCTTGTGAGAGTGATTGCGCTAGTGATTGTTTTAGTGGATGTGTGAGTGATTGTGTGAGAGTGATTGCGCTAGTGATTGTTTTAGTGGATGTGTGAGTGATTGTGTGAGTGATTGTGTGAGTGGTCTTGTGAGTGGATGTGTGAGTGATTGTGTGAGTGGTTGTGAGGGTGGTTGTGTGAATGATTGTGTGAGTGGTGATGTGAGAGTGATTGTGTGAGTGGATGTGTGAGTGGTCTTGTGAGTGGTTGTGAGAGTGGTTGTGTGAGTGATTGTGCTAGTGATTGTGTGAGTAGTTGTTTGAGTGGATTTGTGAGTGGTTGTGTGAGTGGTCTTGTGAGTGGTTGTGTGAGTGATTGTGCTAGTGATTGTGAGAGTGATTGCGCTAGTGATTGTGTGAGTGGATGTGTGTGTGGTTGTGAGAGTGATTGTGTGAGTGGTTGTGTGAGTGGTCTTGTGAGTGGATGTGTGAGTGATTGTGTGAGTGGTCTTGTGAGAGTGATTGCGCTAGTGACTGTGTGAGTGGATGTGTGAGTGATTGTGTGAGTGGTTGTGAGAGCGGTTGTGTTAGTGATGGTGTGAGTTGTCTTGTGAGTGGTTGTGAGAGTGGTCTTGTGAGTGATTGTGCTAGTGATTGTGTGAGTAGTTGTGCAAGTGATTGTGTGAGTGGTTGTGTGAGTGGTCTTGTGAGTGGTTGTGAGAGTGATTGTGTGAGTGGTTGTGAGAATGATTGTGTGAGTGATTGTGTGAGTGGTCTTGTTAGTGGATGTGTGAGTGGTTGAGTGGGTGATTCCTTGTCTGATTGTGTGAGTGGTCCTGTGAGTGATTGTGTGAGTGGTTGTGAGAGTGATTGTGTGAGTGGTCTTGTGAGTGGATGTGTGAGTGATTGTGTGAGTGGTCTTGTGAGTGGTGAGAGTTATTTTGTCAGTGGTCTTGTGAGTGGTTGTGAGAGTGATTGTGCTAGTGATTGTGTTAGTGGTTGAATGAGTGGTCCTGTGAGTGATTGTGTGAGTGGTTGTGTGAGTGTGTGAGGGGTTTAGTTAGCCAGTGATTATAGGTGAGTGAGGGTTTCCTGTGAGAATTATTCAACGGCCTTATGCGAGTTCATGAAAGATGATGGTAAAAGGGTGCCATGTTAGCTACCAGTCAGGTGATACTTCAACGGATTCTAGGTGCTCTAGACCACCTCCATGGAGTAGTGGTTAGAGCGTCCGCCCGGAGAGCAAAAAGGTTGTGTGTTTGATCCAAACGTCATACCAAAAGACGTTAAAATATGGTACTTGATGGTCCCTTTAATGGGTTACATTAATTGGTACAACAAGGACTGGTCGGCTCGAATCAGTATAATGTGTCTGAGTGGGGTATTCATGCTTCACTGCGGCATGGTATCTCAGTGGGCTAGCACTCTAAAACCAGCTCAAGTCTGAACTAGTACAAGGAGCCACACATACACACGCATGCACGTCGTCATATGAGCGAAATATTCAGTGCGACGTTAAACCCCATTTCACTTCACCTCTAGGTGTTCTACCTGACATATTTCACATTTATCAGCATGTGTGATATTGGTGATAGACTACAGAATTGGTTGCTAATAAGGTACTGATAAAGATTAGTGAATGACACTTTATGCCTTGTCTAAGTTAATGTATAAAGTTTAAATCATCTCCATCCTAAGTTAACTCTTGGCAAGAAAGTTTGTCTGGGTGCCGTTGTACAAAACAACCTTAGCTCTAAGACTACCTTAAGTCTTAGTGCTAAGATAGGTACAACGGCACCCTGGTCGCAGCACTCCCACCTCTGTCTCTCCGCCTGACTTTCTCTTCTTGCCATCTGGTCTCTCTTCTGTGTCCAGGGCTGGGACAGAACTCAGATGAGGGTCGTCTATCAGATCATGGCTGCTCTTACTTTTACCTCGCATTGTCTGGAATGTCAAGAGGAAGCCCACTTTGTTTCGTTTTTTCATTTTCTTTTCAGAAATATACTATGACTGATTTATACTAAAATAGATGATGTTACAGCTATAACATACAGTACTCACACACACGACATGTATGTGATAACAAGAAGACAGGGACATAGATATCTCCCGCCAGGGTTCTGTTCGTATTTGGTTCCTGTTTTTTAACTCCACCACAACATTCATGTCCTGAAAACACATATCAAATTTGGTTTCCCTATCTATAACGGTTTTTGAGAAAATCTGTCCCCATTGGGTATACCGTGCGCTAAGTCAAGAAACACATAACAATGGCCATAACTCTGTAACAAATTGTAACACCGTTTCTGTTCTCAAACTTCTTCAAGGCATTCATGTTATGAAAACACATGCCACATTTGGTTTCACTATCTATAATGGTTACTGAGAAAATCTGTTCCCATTGGGGATAATGTGCACTAAGTCAAGAAATACATGACAAGGGACATAACTCAGTAACAAATTGTAACACGGTTTCCGTTTTCGGACTCCATCAAGGCATTCATGTCCTGAAAACACATACCAAATTTGGTTTCCCTATCTATAAAGGTTTTAGAGAAAATCTGTTCCCATTGGGGATACCATGCACTAAGTCAAGAAACACATGACAAGGGACATAACTCTGTAACAAATTGTAACACCGTTTCATTTTTAAACTCCATCAAGGCATTCATGTCCTGAAAACACATACCTAATTTGGTTTCCCTATCTATAACGTTTTATTTAGAAAATCTGTCCCCATCATCTAGGATGGACAGATGGATGGACAGACAGAGCTCAAACCCATATCCCTCTCTCACTTTATGGCAGGGGGATAATAAGTATTGATATCTCAAACAGTTCAAAACTTCCGGGAATGTGAATGAAAACCAAAGAACTCCAATAACAAACATGACTCTAACATCTAACAGTGACATTTCCAGACAACTCCCAGCCCCACAAACCCCTACCCCTCCCCAAAATGGTCCACTGCCAACCTTTGATGCTTTATCCGTCTGCTCTTCATCCTCCTCTGCCTCCTCACCAAAAGACAGCAAGCTGAAATTCCTGACACAAAACAGTAGCCAGATGAAATTTAGGCTGTTGTCACCATCCCAACCTTAATGTTAAGACTCTATGCCACGTATTGGTTCAAAATGGATAAATCAGTTTTAAGTCAAATAGTATACCAATTGAACACTCTAAGTAAACTTAGGCTCAGTATTATTCGTTACACTGCTATTCTGAGTCTAACAATGTCTGTGAATGTTAACTTGCGATTTGGTAAGCTGTGTTCTGATTGGTCAATTCAAAAGCTAAGCTGATGCAACCTTCTAACTAAGTTTTGTCAGACTCAGTTTAGCAGTGTAACGAATAATACTGAGCCTAAGTTTACTTAGACTGAACAATTGCATAAACATACCCGTAAATGAAAACCTCTCGCATAGTTGTCATTGGTATAAACACACATGGCAAGTTCCAGCTTAAATGGTCTACAGCATTGAATGCATGATAGTGATGGGTTTAGAGCCTGCTTTTAGAAATATTCCAGTAATATATTAGCTGGGGACATCACAAATTATACTCATACAGTGTAGAGGAATATAACCTGCTGATTTTATTGCAGTGAGTGAACACTTTCACCATAAGGCTAACCAACCGTAACCTTGCCATTTTAAAGGAGACCAAGTTTAAAGATGACACTGACATGTGCAAGACAAGGTACCAGCACATTTTGACACTTGGTTTATAAAGATGTGCTGCCAGGCTGCCAGCTTTTCCAAAGTAGCTTCATAAATCAACAATACAATGCTTGCATACAGGAGAAAAATTACTGGAGAGTCTGTGAATAGGTAGATATTGTTGACTTCACCCACTTTGTAGCCTTTGATTTACTCTTGTGTTTCTTCGTTTCCTCTCCTTCTTGTTTCTTCTTCTTCAGAACTCTCGGTTCAATGTCATCAAATGGATTGGAAAGGATCTGAGACAAAATCACAAACACTTGCACCTTGAACTGAAACTACCAATCCTCCAGTTTGATCATGTTGATGGTCAGGGCCCTGTTCCTCAAAGCGATCGTAACCGTAAGACGATCGAATCTCCCATACTTTAACATAGGCTTACGACAGTCGTAGCGCTACAATCGTTTTGAGGAACGGGGCCCTGGACCAGACAATCTGGTGATGGATGTTGCGAGCAATGATGACGAAGACAATGTACGAGGAAACACTATCAGCTGAACTGAATTCACTGAACCACATTCTAATTTCCTGAATCAAAGATGCAAAACAACAGCTGGTATTTTTAAAATACTCAGTTGTGAGTGAGTGAGTGTAGTTTTACGCCGCACTCAGCAATATTCCAGCTATATGGCAACGGTCTGTAAAAAAATCAAGTCTGGACCAGACAATCCAGTGATCAACAACATGGGCATCGATCTACGCAATTGGGATACGATGACGTGTGTCAACCAAGTCAGCAAGCCTGAGCACCCGATCCTGTTAGTCGCCTCTTACGACAAGCATGGGTTACTGAAGACCGGATCTTCACGAGTAAAACACTTACTAATAATTTACATGAACATGATGAACATTTATGAAAAATATCAAAAAATTAAACTATTACACATCTGTAATGGTCCTTTTTCTCTGATCTGATATTGTACCCAGCAATTACAATTTACAATCACAAGCCATCTACTTTCATATTAAATGCTGCATATACATGTGAGTACCTCTCCCTTGAGAATCTTGTGTGGGTAAAGAGGTCGATCAGTGCCATCTGTTTCCACATCTTGTAGTTTGATCATGTTAAACAGTGTGTTACCTGCAACCTGAAGCAACAATCTGAACATTAGAGAATTTCATGTAATTAAAATGAAAACATCCATTACAATAATATTACATTTTATATTTCTACAACAACTGAGTGAAGCTTGATGTTTTTATTATGAAACATCCATCATTCAGTTCTGGGACAAGTTCTTATAACTTACAGAAACCCTCTTCTTAATTCTTATCATTCTGTTGTTTAAATTACAGTAGTCACAGCTAGGGCTGGGACGGGTCCAAATTTCTACCCAGGTACCCGTTATGTTAATTATTGGCATCACATTTGTAACAAATGGCAATATATATTGTTCACCTTGGAAGCTAAAATTTCGCATTCTTTAATATCTTAACCATGTATTATATTCAAAACAGATCACTGTAAATTATGTTTAAATCTTCAAAAACAATACAACCTTTTAATCATGAAAGAATAACATATAACATTGTTCAGTCTGTTAGTCACATGATCATAACGGGTCATGGAACTGAGACGGGTACCCAGGTCCAACTCATTACCCACCCATCCCAGACATAGTCACTACTGTATGAGGCAAACCAGTGGTTAACAGAGTGAACAATGAACATCAAGAATGGAATTACTCTGGCAGAGCTAAAAGTTCATCTGCTTTGATTATCATACAAGCAATATTCATACCAGGCAGTTATTGTAACCACACAATCCCCATTCCACTCATCTCCTTAGATTCTCTTCTGCCATCGAATCCTTCAACTATTACAAATATCTCACAGTTATAGAAAGCTGATATGGATTATTAAATGATTTACCAAATGACTGAAAAAAAGTGGAAATAAATACACATTAACCTTTCCAAATATGGTGTGTTTCTTATAGAGTTCTGGAGCTGGGCCCAAGGTGAAGAAGAACTGACTGCCATTATCATTGGCACCAGCATTTGCCATAGCAACCAGACCTCTACGAACAAATCGCAAACGGGAATGCACTTCATCCTGAAACAAAGGTGGGAACTGTAAACTACTAGAGTTTAGAACAACTGTTTTTCTGACATAACTTTCAAAGTGTAGATCATGATGATGTGTGTTGTTAACACTGCACTCAGTAATGTTCCAGTTATGTTATGTATGCACCTGTCAGGACCATACAATCCAGTGATTGACATCATGAGTGTCAATCTAGGGTATGACAACATGGATAAACCAGGTGTACAAGTATGATCACCTAACCCTATTAGTCGTCTCTTACGACAAGCAAGGGTTGCTGAAGATCAAATCTACCTTGATCCTCTTGGATTAGATCCTGTTAGATGATGATGTAACTTTTTTCTGAACTTTAACCTGAACTATAAGTTAACAAGATATGTTGATCTCTACCTTGATGACACATGGATGTAAAGTATGATAAATGCATGAGTGTTCATAATATGAACTCTTTAATCAGTCGGTGATGCCTCCATATCGCATGGTACCAAATATTAATACTATGTAGTGCTGTATTGTGTTGGTCAGCATTGTCAGTGGAACAAAAACACAGTCAAGTGATCTGAGTGAGTGAGTTTAGTTTTATGCAGCACTCAGCAATATTCCAGCAATATGGCGGCAGTCAGTAAATAATCGAGTCTGGACCAGACAATCCAGTGATGAACAGCACGAGCATCGATCTATCCATTTGGGATACGATGACGTGTCAACCAAGTCAGCGAGCCTGACCACCTGATCCCGTTAGTCGCTTCTTACGACAGGCATGGGTTACTGAAGATCAATTCTAACCCCGGATCTTCACGGGTCTCCAGTGATCTGAATGTGTGATCAGACACACTAAACTAAATCAGTGTCAGTTCTTTCTCATGAGTAATTTTAAAACCTGCACATTATATCAAATACACTGATTCCTGTCAAAGGGAAAAGAACATAACATAAATGATATGCATATGTATACAACATACACTCTATCTGAACATGTAACTCAACACATCCTTTGACATGTCATCATATCAGAATATTGACCCCTTGATGCATTTTCCAGTATTGGTACAACACATACAAAAATCCTCATTCTGTGAAACAGAAACACCCAGCAAGACCAATACTTCAATTCTAGCAGGTAAAACTGTGGTATAATCATGATCCTGACTTCTTGTTAAATAAATGTCATATGCAATATGTTCTTCACCTTGAATGGTTCTCCATATATGGATTCACCTCCTTCACCAGTTCCTGTGGGGTCACCCCCCTGGACGATGAAGTCCTTGACCATACGATGAAAGATTGTCCCATCATAGTATCCTTCCATCAACAGCTGAACAAAGTTCCGGCATGCCTTGGGAGCTTCTTTTGACCATAGCTCTATATCAATATCACCAACAGTTGTTGATAGTAAAACCTGAAACAGACAGAAATGATACAAAATCTTCTCATCAGACTTATGTGATTTCACACAATGTTCATAACAAAACCAAATCCACAGGATGTCTTCCGTAAAATAGCTTCAGGCATTGCCACAAACAAGGTCAGTAACTGGTCAAATACTGTTCAATACAATTAAATACTTAAAGGTCACATGCAACGTAAAACACAACTTTGCAGATTCTGATACCTTTCGGTATGGACTTATCGAAACAAATCATCAAAAATGCAAATTCAACTTATAAAGTTGAAAAAACCTGCGATGAAAAAAAACACGCCAAATCGTAGTTCAAACGATTCACTAACTTTCCCCCAGCGCTTGGGGGAATTGAAGTGGTTTTAAGTTTCAACAGCTGGGCTGCGCTCATAGCACATGCGCAGTGAAATAGGTTCGCGGAGCTTGGAAGCGGGTTGTCCGGTGAATATTCGTTGAAGGCTTTGGTGTGAGCTATTTTTCTAATGTTTTGTTGATGTTTGAGCGTTTTATATGTTATTACAGTAGATTACCGATTTAACTGTTTATATGATTTCATTTGTCTATTTCACCACACATTCTTCTTACAGAGTCACTTTCTCAGTTCGATACTTAAAAGCAATGTCATTATTTAGCGTCGACAGAATTTCTAACTGTGATATAGATATGTCGTTGTCACAGACAAAACTCAATGTCTGTTTTATTGGCACCTATGTGTCTGCCTGCCTGTCTGCTAATGACAATATTCAATACACAATTTCAATCACTGACCACATGCAATTTGAACTTAACACCTATCAGGCTATACACCATAAACAAAACACATTGATTTATGGCCCGAGTTCGGTCTCTGTCACAATATGTAATTACACAGACAGGCAGGTGTGATACTTGTACACATTACATGTTATGATGTCTGTTGATTGCAAAATGTTATACACAAAAAATGAGCATGTATTTACAAAACCCAACATCTCTATATATACACACACAATGAGCCGTGAGGGAATCTGCAAATGAACCAGCCGTTACACTTGAGTGCACACCCACCCGCTCTGACTGGGTTCGGTATCCCAGCTGCTTCGTTTCTTGGGAAGTAAACCCAAGTACAAAATATTGCACTTATGATTTGCAATTGTACGCTTATAATTTTGTTTTATGTTTTTTCATAACCAGCAATGTATATTATATGTCATGAATAATTGATAATTGTGTTTTAATTATGTTTGATATTTTGGTTGCATGTGACCTTTAACTAAGATGAATTTTTTTTGCAATACTGAACTCCTGCAGTAACTGTATAACAGCAGGGATTAGGAAAGGCAGGGGCCATAGGCCATTTTACACATTAGAATAAAAAATGGCCCATTAACATTTTGAAGTTTACTATTGATACAAGGGCAGTGGCCCATTCTAAATTCAAAAAAATGGCTAATAATCCTGAAAATGGCCCATTGTTAAAGGTCTCCATCCCAATCCCTGTAACAGCTATACAAATATCACAACAGCCTGTAAATAACTCAATCTAGATCAAACAAACCACTGGTTGGAGGCATCAATAATGATCTTTCCTACAGATCAGACATCATAATTTTTGTCAGATTTCACAAGCATTGAAGCAAAAAGATAGAACCCAGGCAAGAGTTTCTCTCATTTTGTTTCTTTGACAACTTTAGTATTCATTTTGGAAGAAAAGGAATAAGTGCAACTATGCCCAGTCATGACTCATCCCAATAGTGCTATGCACAAGACTGGGTAACAACAATTACCATCTTCTCATGAATGTAAGTGTGGGAATAAAACCACCAACCTTTCCCTCCCCAGGCAGATGCTTGATCCTTAAGACTATGGAGATGGATAGATTGCATAGAAATTAGAAAAGTTTGCACAGCTTGTGGACTGTTTACATGAGGAGTCAACCACAATTAAATCAGCCTGTGCTGACAACTCTGTGCTGACAAGTATGTCAGATTGTCTCTGGTACCACATACTTGTCCTGAGACCAAACTCTGAGTAAACGATTAATAAACTGGCATGAAATCGACCAAACATTATGCAGAAATGTTGTACTGTGTGTCATCATCGTTTTTTTCAGTCGGAAACTCACAGGTTTCACTGATTCTAATAATCTATAGGCTTCTGCGACTTAGCTGCAATATTGCTGAGAAACGGCGTAAAACATCAATCATCACTCCACACCATTCCTGGCCATGAACAAACATATTTGTGACTATTGTCCCCTGAAAATGACATACCTTTCCATTTGTAGGAGGTTCTTGGATATAGATGTTACTCATGTTTAAAACGTGTGAATGCGACTAATTTCTTAAGAGCACTGGAAGAATACGCGCATAATAGATCAAAAACTGCTGCCGGCTTTCTTTTTCATGGACGCGGCCATTTTGTCAAGTGAATACTAGTGCAAAAAGTAAGTTAAGAATATAATTTATTACTTGTGCACAAGTGTATCACAAAATATACACATAATGATCTAAAAAATATTATAACTATATCAATACAAAAATAATGATTTATACACAATCTTCAATGATTTGGAAAGTAATATTGTTTCGCTATGTTTATCGAACATACAGTAACTTGTTACAATCTCGTGTAAATCTCGACAGTGAACGAGACCTGTCATGGCTGTATGAAAGGTGAATGGGATGGAATTTAGCTCGGACCAACTTCGAGTTTAAACTTATTTCACAACAATTAATTGTCATCTGGAAGTGAAAATATAAACTATGATCGCATAGGCTTGTAAATAATATCAACTGCGATTTATGACGTGCAGAAATCAGACAAAGGGTGGACATATTTTGGAATCGCAACAACTGCACGTTTTTTAATTTCATCATATGGATATTGAGCTTAGGATGAAAGTGTTTGAAACATGTCTAAACTATGAAAGAGAAAAATCTATAAAGCGATATCTTACCACAAATATGAGAAATTTTAGGGAAAATATGGTACTAAACTTCCCAACCCCAAACAAAACCTTTAGTTTATCCAGATTTTTTGACAGACGGGTTGAAAGTAAAATTGACTTTTACCTGACATTTCTTCTGTATGTGATAATGCTATGACAAACTTTTGTCCATACTACAATTTAACATCTGAAACAAGTAGGCACACAAACAACATACATATAAACAGTTGAATACCCATGTATGACCACTTCATACATTCTCAAATTGTGTTGATTCATTGCATTTTGATTCATTGCATTGATTCTTCTCAATGCATCGCTTAAATTATTAGGATACCTATACCTAAAACTGTGTTTCTCAAATAAATATTTTTCCTGAGAAAGAGATCACCAAATGTTATCCTTAATTTCTGGTTACTACTGAATGCTGCTTGGACTAGATACATGTCTTACATTAAATCTTCAGTACATCAAAATCTGTCAAAATCAGAATTGCATAGAAATCCAAAATCTTCACAGGAAGAATAAGGTCCCCTTGCCAATGGAAAGTGGAGTGCCATTATCATGGATACAACTAAATTTGTTTACAGTGACATGAAGATATGATTATTTCATGTTTATTTAATCAATTAGTGATGTGTTAGAGGAAGGTGCTAGTTAAGTCCTAAATGTCACTGTTTATTTAGTTGACTGATCTGGAATATCCCATTTACTTTTAGCTTGATAACGATGTTAGAATCTACATTGAAATGTCACGTGCAATAAACAAGAAGTTGTCATCCATAAAGTTGTATGTTTCATTTTGACTCACCAACTTCTAGAATGCTGATCAAACAATTGATCAGGAATATATGACTGACTCCACAGTACAGGTCATAGATGCCCGCTAACAATGATGTCCACACACATGTCCAACTGCATTTAATGACAGTTTGATTGGCTCTTGTGAAAACTGCTTTTTGTAATCAGCTCAGTAAGCCTTAGTCATATCAGGCTTTGCTTTGAATGATGATTGTCCAGGTTAGAAAGATACTAACATGGACAAAAATATTAACCGTGAAATATTCTCTTGCAGATTGCCTGTCAGACAGATTAATTTCATGTTCATTGATTCCAAGCTGCAAATAGTCAGATAGTCAGCAAGATGGAATTCTCTGCTGCAAATGTGGAGCAGGTTCGTTCCTTCTGCACATGGAAATTATGACTTCGATTACCTTATTCTTGTCTCATGTCACAAGGGGCAGTGAAAAGAAACTGGTGACAATGTGGTCACATTGTCTCATTAGTTTGATGGGGACCCAAGAAGATCGGGGTTAGACTTGGTCTTCAGCAACCCATGCTTGTCGTAAGAGGCGACTAATGAGCTTGGGTGGTCAAGCTCACTAAGTTGGTTGACACATGTCTTCATATCCCAATTACGTAGATTGATGCTCATGATGTCAATCACTGGATTGTCTGGTCTAGTCTCTGTTACTTACAGACCACTATCAATAACTGGAAATAACCAGTCTTTGTTGTCTGTGCTTGATGACTGTAGATGCCTTTATTATAAATGGCTGTGATAGGTAACTATGACATATTAACCCAATTTTGGTAGAAACAGGTAATTTCTTCAAGGTAAAATATTTTTAGCATGTTAGAAGAAAAGGCAAAGAACAACATCATGAATCTCATGAATCCTTTGATTCCAAAATAAAACCTGAAGATGCCTCACAGATTGATAGCTTCTGTTTTATTGAAAATCTGTACCAACACTATTAAAACAATCCTTTTTAATGTCATACCATAAATACATCCTAATTATTCTAATAACCATCGATGTTTCATGCTAAGATTAAACATAGAATCTTGTATTGAATCTAGAGGATCTTCTAGGATGTAAGTTTAAGAATGGATGTATGTTTCCTGAAGCCTTTTGTTTCCATGGATGTTGCGAATATAATGCTGGAAACACATCATGATGACCATCCAGTGTATCTCTCTCTGCAGGCAGTACAGCAGTTTTACTGCAATGCTCATCTGCAGCAAGAAGTTCATCAGTGGCTCAACTCTGCACAGATCTCAGCTGAAGCCTGGTCATTTTGTTTTGAACTTTTGGCACCAGAAAAGGTAATATATGTCGCTATTTGTTTTTAAAACCATTGAAAACATAAACTTAGTTTTACTTGTTTTTCTTAACCCTCTTGTGGTTTTTTCAGCACACTAACATATGATATGTGTCATACTTCGTTTGAACCATGATAGTAAAATGTACATATTTGTTAACAAAGTTGTTCAAAGTGACCTCCTATTCACATTTTTCAACAGATGCACCACCATTATGTGTTTCTCCTGTACATCCCATGTTTCAGGGTCCAGAAGTTCAGTTCTTTGGCGCCAGTAGTCTCCATGCAAAGATTTCCAGATACTGGTAAGAATTATTAGTTTTGTTTACAGCTGAGGGGATGTGGGGTTAGCCCAGCGGTTAAAGCGTTCGCTCATCATGCCAAAGCCCTGGGTTCAAATCCCCACATGGGTACAATGTGTGAAGCCCATTTCTGGTGCCCCCTGCCGTGATATTGCTGGATATTGCTCACTCATTTGTTTACAGCTGAGAATTTTCTTGCCAAAAACAACATGGTATTCACAATTCATAATCACAAGTTTTTTACACAAACTTGCCGATTTATCTGAAAATCTTTTTTTTTCAAGTAGTGACAATATTAGGAGAAAAACATTATTAAAGTACCCCAAAGTTACCATCTTAGATTGATCAAGGTTTCAACACCATATCTATTCTTGTTGAGGGGCAGTGGGGTAGCCTAATGGTTAAAGCGTCCACTCATCACATTGAAGATCTGGGTTCGAATCCCCATGTGGGTACAATGTGTGAAGCCCATTTTGGTATCCCCTGCCAGGATATTGCTGGAATATTGCTAAAAACGACGTAAAACGGAACTCACTCACTTCCTCTTCTTGTTGGTTTCACCGAGGTCGTGAACGACTGTGACTTTGGGCTTTCTTCCTTCACAATGCAGACAGCAGTGATGTAACCAGAGCTCACCTGTTTTTGTTGTGTGTCATGCAGGCATGAAGTCCCATCCAACCAGTATCTCACACTAAAACAGAAGCTGTTAGAGAAGATCATACAGTTTGCTGACGGCCCCAAGATGATCTTAACAAGGTTATGCGTTGCTGTAAGTGGAAAAATATTTACACCGCTTAACACCTGTTAACAAATGGGAATCATGCTTACAAAAGGGTACAGTGAACACTTTGAACACTTTTCAAACTCTTGTTAAAGTGATATCTCATGCACTGTTGTATCCAATATCTTCAAATTTGGTGACAGCCTACATTGGGGGATTATGCAGACACCAGTTTATTTGGGTGACCTTGACCTTATTTTCAAGGTCACCACAACTCTTTGACCACTTTTCAAACTCTTGTTAACGTGATATCTCATGGACTGCTGTATCCAGTGTCTTAAAATTTGGTGACAGCCTACATTGGGGGATTACGCAGACACCAGTCGATTGGGGTGACCTTCACCTTATCTTCAAGGTCACCATTACTCTTTGACCACTTTTCAAACTCTTGTTAACGCGATATCTCATGGACTGTTGTATCCAGTGTCTTCAAATTTGGTGACAGCCTACATTGGGGGATTACACGGACACCAGTTTATTTGGGTTACCTTGACCTTATCTTCAAGGTCACCACAACACTTTGACCGCTTTTCAAACTTATTTAAGTGCAATATCTCATAAAACATTGCACCCAATGTTTTCAATTATGTTGACAGCCTACATTGGGTGATTATGCAGACACCAGTCATTTCAGGTATCTTGTATGTGACCAAAAAGTAAAAAGCAGTAAATATAGATATTCCGTTCTGTAGCGGCGGGGGACATTGCCATATCAGTGGCAAACACTTGTTGTTAAAGTGTTCGCTCATCATGCCGAAAGCATGGGTTCAATTCCCCACATAGGTACAATGTGTGCAACCCGTTTCTGTGTCCCCTGGAATTTTGCTGAAAGTGGTGTAAAGTCAACTCACTTGCTTAATAGTGTTTCATTGTACATCAACGACGTAAATCATTGTTCACTATAGAAATCTCTGGAATGTCTGGTCCACATTTGAATGGCTGACTGAGTGCAGCATTGCACAGCAAACAAACAATACATGTGCTGTGACCATGACAACCTGATAGGCGGAAGGTCGCGGGTTCGATACCCGACTGCGTCATACCAAAAGACGTTAAAATATGATACTTGTTGGTCCCTGCCTGGCGCTCGGCATTAATGGGTACAACAAGGACTGGTCGGCTTGGAGTCAGTATAATGTGTCTGAGTGGGGTATTCATGCTTCACTGTGGCATGGTATCTCAGTGGGCTAGCACTATAAAACCAGCTTCAGTCTGGGCTAGTACAAGCACCCACACCTACACATATTCACGCATGCACGTCGCCATATGAGCGAAATATTCTCCAGTGCGACATTAAACCCAATTCACCTCACCTGATAAAACGTACACACTGTTCAGAGTTTGCCAACTCTTTAGATACATACCTTGAAGGAATCCTAAGATTCTTTGTGATAAAGATTCCTGAATAGCATGCTTGTCACAATAAACAAGTGGTGAAGGTAATGCATGGTCATGTGTGGTCCTCATGTTCTAGAGTAGTATCTTGTACGGAATGTTAAACTTGATCCTTCTTGAACATTCATGCAAATTCTACTTGCATTTTCAAAATGTGTCTATGTATTGACCTTGTATGACCTTGCCCTTCTAGTTGTCGTCGTACATCATGCAGACGGCCCCTGAATCCTGGTCTGATCCCGTAGAGGATCTCATCACCACATTTCAGAGGGAAGATGTCCCCAATATTTCAGTAAGAACTCTTTCTTTGCTTCAATTTTCGATTTGTGTGTATTTCAGCTGTTTTAATTCGGTTTTATAGAAGTAAGTTCAGTATCATTGAGTGAGTGTTTATTGTTTTATGCCATACAAGGAATCAGAAAGATAGAAATATTGATATTCATATGCACATGAATGTTTGAAGACTCATGATAATTGCAAATAACTATTGTGATCTGCAGTACTAGGTAGCCTTTATATTATGGTTGTTTTGTGTCAAGTTATGTATCCTCTTTCATCAAAGGGGGCGGTGGGGTAGCCCAGTGGTTAAAATGTTGGCTCGTCACACCGAAGACCTGGGTTCGAATCCCCACATGGGTACAATGTGTGAAGCCCATTTCTTGTGTCCCCTGCCGTGATGTTGCTGGAATATTGCTAAAAGCGGCGTAAAACCAAACTCAGTCAGTCAGTCAGTCTTTCATCAAACGTCTTATATGTTCTTATGATATTTTTCAGAGTTTCCAAAGGTGCCAAATCTTGTTGGATATTTTAACAGTAATTCCAGAGGAGGTATGTTCTCTTTATGTCTCACAATACTTCACACAGAAAATTGAACGTAACTGATATTAACTTACTCTACTGTGATCATTATTCTTAATGATCATTCTCATACCAGGTGTTTACAAGCCAAGATTCTCAGTAGCCAAAGGTGCCACAATATACTGTGCAGAGTTATGTCCCTTGGATGTACGGGCATCGTATGATTGTGGGTTCGATAGCCTGGTTTGTGTTGATTGATTCTGTTTGTCAGAACTATATGCAGAGTTATGTCCCTTGGATGTGCGGGCATCGTATGATTGTGGGTTTGATGGCCAGGGCCCCATTCCACAAAATGATCATAGCGCTAAGATGATCGTAACTCCCATACTTTAACATAGACTTACGACTGTCGTAGCGTTATGATCGCTTTGAGGAACGGGGCCCTGGTTTGTGCTGATTGATTCTCTGTTGGTCAGCACCATATGCAGAGTTATGTCCCTTGGATGTGCCAGCATCATATGATTGTGGGTTTGATGGCCTGGTTTGTGTTGATTGATTCTGTTTGTCAGCCCTATATGCAGAGTTATGTCCCTTGGATATGCCGGCATCATATGATTGTGGCTTTGATGGCCTGGTTTGTGTTGATTGATTCTCTGTTTGTCAGCCCTATATGCAGAGTTATTTCCCTTGGATGTGCCAGCATCATTGGATTATGGGTTCGATGGCCTTGTTTGTGTTGATTGATTCTCTGTTTGTCAGCACTATATGCAGACTTATGTCCCTTGGATGTGCCGGCAGCATATGATTGTGGGTTCGATGGCCTTGTTTGTGCTGATTGATTCTCTGTTGGTCAGCACTATGTGCAGAGTTATGTCCCTTGGATGTGCCGGCATCATTGGATTATGGGTTCGATGGTCTTGTTTGTGTTGATTGATTCTCTGTTTGTCAGCCCTATATGCAGACTTATGTCCCTTGGATGTGCCGGCAGCATATGATTGTGGGTTCGATGGCCTTGTTTTTGCTGATTGATTCTCTGTTGGTCAGCACTATGTGCAGAGTTATGTCCCTTGGATGTGCCGGCATCATATGATTGTGGGTTCGATGGCCTTGTTTGTGTTGATTGATTCTCTGTTTGTCAGACCTATATCTGTGCTTTCCCAAAGTGGTAAAGGTCTGAGACATGCACCACTTTAGACTTTGCCACCTATTCAAGCTGACATGTTATTATCCCCAGCAACGCGTTTTGAGGGGGGTATTAAAATGGACTCTGTTTGGCATCTGTGTGTCCGTTTACATTTTTCTTTTTTCTGGAGCAGGACTTTAAAACCGTTCAATATTTCTTCACCAAACTTTGCACATAGATAGATCTGGTGGTGTCCTGGTGCTTTTTGGTAGTTTTGGTATTCTGAATAAAATATGTTTGGCATTTCCATGGCAACAAGTTTGACTTAGACTGAAATTGGTAGTTGTGCTCTTTTCCGTAGCTGAACTCTAAAACTGTGTACTATTTCTTCACCAAACTTGGCACATAGATTGGTCTGGTGGTGTGCTGGTGCCTTTGGTAGTTTTGGATTTCTGAATAAAATATTTTTGGCATTTCCATGGCAACAAGTTTTCTTTTTTCTGGAGCAGAACTTTAAAACCGTTCAATATTTCTTCACCAAACTTTGCACATGGATAGATCTGGTGGTGTCCTGGTGCCTTTTGGTAGTTTTGGATTTCTGAATAAAATATTTTTGGCGTTTCCATGCCAACAAGTTTGACTTAGACTGAAATTGGTGGTAGTGCTCTTTTCCGGAGCAGAACTCTAAAACCGTTCAATGTTTCTTCACCAAACATGGCACATAAATTGGTCTAGTGGTGTACTGGTGCCTTTTGGTAGTTTTGGGTTTCTGAATAAAATATGTTTGGCATTTCCATGCCAACAAGTTTGACTTAGACTGAAACTGGTGGTAGTGCTCCTTTCTGGAGCAGAACTTTTAAAACCTTTTAATACTCTCCTTCCACCTTTCTATATACACACCAAAACTTTTGACATAATCATAACTCGTAGACATATTCATGAAGAGTATTTTGCCATTGCAAGGGATATTGATGACTTTGTCTTGTTGTGTTAAAACTGAAATGCCTGTGAAGATGCGGGTTAGAATTGCTCTTCAGCAACACACGCTTGTCATAAGATGGGACTGACAGTACTGGGTGGTCAGGCCTGCTGACTTAGTTGACACAAGCTTATTGTATCCCGACAACGTAGATAGGTGTTCATGCTGTTGATCACTGGATTGTCTCGTCCAGACTCAATTATTTGCAGACTGCCATTGTACATATTTAAGTGTGAATATTGCAGAGTGCGGCCAAAACAACAAAGAAACAAATACAATTGAAATACTCTTCAAAGCTCTTTTGATGTCACTCAGATGAAATGGTCCACACATGCTCTTATTTTCATGGCTGCCATGGTTTATGAGAGTAATAGTTGTTAACTTGTGTATTTATTTCAGTTTTTTGGAGCAAACCTGAGCCAACAAAGAAGGATGACCCTGAGGTCAGAGTTCCAGAAGGGCCTTTTACGTGGTGAGTGTGCCAAGTTCACCTGACATGTTCGCCCTAACTTTGTACCCAGTTTACTGTCACTCCTAATACATTTTTCAAAACATTGTTGGAACATGTTTATCATCAAGAGATTTTTTACCCTTACCCCCAAAATAAATTCCAGGTGTGCTACTTCTGATTTGCCCTACTTATTTATAAACTACAGAGATTCAGACCTGCTCCAAAGCCCCAAATTTGCATCAAACATCAGTAAAAATTACCAAATTGGCGTTAAAAATGTTGAATTCTTGTGAATAATAAAAATCCCAAATTGAATAAAATGATGCTCTTTTTCCCCATATGAATCCCCTTATGAATCCCCATCTGAATTATCTCATAACTACTGTTCAATGCCAGGGCCATGACATTTAACTGTAGAAATAAGAAAGGATCTGGTTGTCCTCAACACATTTTGTGTACATACTATGGTGACCCGTGAAGATCCATGTAAGAATTGGTCTTCAGTAACCCGTGCCTGTCGTAATAGGTGACTAACAGGATCGGGTTGTCAGGCTCGCTAACTTGTTTGACACGTGTCATCAAATCCCAGTTGCATAGATCAATGCTCATTGTGTTGATCACTGGATTGTCTGGTCCAGATTCCATATAGCTGGAATATTGCTGAATGCAGCGTTAAACAGCAAACAAACTAACCAACACAGGGGTGGAAATAACCCATTGCCCGATGTCCGAGTCCAGTGTTTTATTCTGTCGGGCAAGCAAATTTGTACCAGTGTCCAGTTGACTTTCCAATGTTAATTATGTTGTTTATTTAAAAAATCAGCAAGAAAACGGTCGGTACAGTGGAAAAATTATCAGGGCAAGTGACTTTACATGTGCCACTGTACCGGAGTACACTATCAACTTTAAAGTTATTTCCACCCCTGCAACATACTATGGTAATAGCTGACTGTTGATGTGGTGGAGTGTGTTGCAGTGTTACCCCTCCTGCAAGAGCTGCTGAATCCCCACTCCCCCACCCAAGTGTATGCAGGTGCCCTGAAGTGTTTCTCCAGCTGGGTGGACTCCGGCATCCCCATCATCGAGAGTGAGACAATCATCCTCCAAGTGTTTCAGTCCATCCACAACCAGGAGCTGTTTGAGACAGCAGTTGAGACACTGTCCACCGTCTTCTCCCACCCAGAATCATACAGGTGAGTCACTTTTGTCAATGCTTGAATTGGCCACTTTTACTCCAATTTGTGTAAGTAATTGTGTCTCCTTCAATTTAGCTTCTCCAGGTGAATGTTGGAGATGTGTCCTGCATCAGAACTTGTACAAGTGAGTTCCTATACATTAAGTGTATCCTCACCTTCAGAAGTTGTACATATTGGGTCTGTCATCTCCAGGGTCCCGTTTCACAAAGCTCTTATAAGCTAAGATCTCGTAACTTTTCTCGTAGCATTCGCACTTCCTATACTGTAACATTGACTTACGATAGTCGTAGGGTTACGAGAGCTTTGTGAAACAGGGCCCAGGTGGTCTACTCTTCTAAGACACTCTGGGGCAGTGGAGTAGCCCAGTGGTTGAAGTGCTCACTCATCGTACTGAAGACCTGGGTTCAATTCCCCTCATGGGTACAATATGTGAAGCCCTTTTCTGGTGTTTCCCGCCCCCTGCTGGAATATTGCTTAAAGCAGCATAAAACTTAACTCACTCACTCTAAGGCACTGCAATTTGGTGTGCAAAGTTAGGTGACTTTAGTTTGCCAGTAACCAATGATTGTAGGTTTGAATCCCAAATAATCCGTAATGTGTTCCTGAGGTTTGTCAGCACCAGCATCGGTGCTTGTGAATTTCAAGTAAGTGATGTACGTTAGTTTTGGCCAGCATCAGTGCTGAAATAAGTGAGTCAACTCCATCAGTGGACTAACAAGCGAGAGTGCATCTCCATTAGAATTGATACAGGTAAATCTAAATCCTTTCTCAATCTGCATACGGGGCGGTGGGGTAGCCTAATGGTTAAAGCGTTGGCTCATCACGCCCAAGACCCGGGTTCGAATCCCCACATGGGCACAATGTGTGAAGCCCATTTCTGGTGTCCCCCGCCGTGATGTTGCTGGAATATTGCTAAAAGCGGCATTAAACCAAACTCAGTCAGTCAGTCTCAATCTGCATACACACTTCTGAATCATAAACAGCGTCTATATGTTCAATCCAGGTTTCCCTACACAATTCAGAAGTTGCTGCCAAACATATTGAACCTTCAAGACATGATGAAGAAGGTCATTGACGAGAAAGACATGGTAAGTCTTAACAGAAGATTCTAATCCACACTTGGGTTGTCAAGGAAGGTGTTTCCATGTGATTCTAGACAATGCAAGGGTTTTGTTAGTTACCTAACAGAATCCTCTGTGGTTTCACACCCCACATTCACCCTGATGGTGGCCCTTGGTCAGTACCATACCCATATCTTCACTCCCTGTGTTGAAGTTTGTTAGCGGATGTCATGGTCAAAACGATACCCCCCCATTACATCATGCTCATTACATCAGGCTCTTTCCATCATCAGTCTCCCATGTATGTCAGTTGGAATGAGGACCTGTATATGACATGTCCATTTAAATTAACATGTTTGTCTGATCTGTATGTAATAAACGGTTGTCTTGAAACTATGACCATGCTACCATTAAACGCACAGCGGGGCATATAGTATTAGGCTCTGTCAGTCTGCACGTAGAGATCGTCCTTGGGGTACATATATGCATTTTCTGCTGCTGAAAATGTCATGTGACAGTTGTATTAATGTTTTAATAAAATATTGTACAATATATTAAAAAAATGTTGTGATTTATTATACGGCCCCCACCATGTGGAGTTACCTCCCTGCTACGCATGCGCAGCCAACCAGGTAAGCACCTAGGCCCGTATCATTATTCCTTCTGCTGTCACTCAAGCGTTCACACGTGTTCCGAGTTACTTATCTGATTTACTTCTCTTGTGAAGAATGTCTGAGACTTCAACAACTGTATGTATGGTCTTTATTCGTTCTTGAAAAAGAAAAAGAACAGTTTTATTGACTTTGCAGTCTGTTATTTCTCATTTATGTGACTTTGTATTAAATTTTTACGCTAGCTTTCCCGTGGTTTAGGCACGTGTTGCTATTCCATGGCGGGAAGTTTAGCGTGCCACGTGGTTGAAATATTGCGTTATTAACCAAGTATTTCATGTCGCGTGGTCGCATTCACGTAAGTTTCAATGTTTTGTACGTGTATATTTATGCTGCTGTGTTCCGCCGTTAGCTACATGCTTGCGTGTTTGCTTTCGGGCGTTTACTGGATGTACTGTCTGCGGGCAAAATGGCAAAATATACCGATAGCTGATAGGCATGACAAATGCTTGTGCTGTTTAGAGAAAGCGTGGCATAATCCTGAAATCTGCAAACTCTGTATGGCCTTTCTCTTCACACGAGGAGACCCGAATTCTGGCTCGGGCTCGGGCACAGAGTCTATGGATGTTGGGGAGGTCGAGGAGTCGGAGGGCACTTTGCGTTTCTGGTCGGCTCTCCGGGAGGTTGGGCAACGTATTGCCGAGTATATACCCCAAGCCGCGGTGCCAACATGTGGCTCGGACTCAACTGAGTTCCGCCTGCCGGGCAAGGCGTTTGCCCCTAGGCAACCCTCGCAGACACAGCTCCGTATCTTGCCTTCCCTGGTGCAGGCGGTGATGGATCTACTCCTGGTTGGGTCACGCCTCCGGTTCAATTTACCCGAACTTGTTTAGAGGTACCAGCTGGGGGATGATTCTCTGTTCTTTGTGCCAGTGGTTGACGAGTGCCTGTTCACTTCGGTCGTCCAAGGGGGAGGCTCGGCTTCCTAGGCGCAGCCCCGGGCTGCTAAGCAAGGGCGGTTAGTTCCACCTGTAGAGGGTTCCTCCTCTGGGGCGCAGCCTACACCCGAGTCTGGCGGCTGGCTTCGGTTGCTGGGTAGAGGTAGGAGGAGGAGCAGTCCCGCCAAAGGTAAGGGCAAGGAGCAGTCCTCTTTGTCTGGATCCCAGCAGCCTATTCGCGGTCGCAGAGGGTCTGCCCCGACCTCCCGTTAAAACCAGCAGGCTGTCGCCGTGGAGCCATCCCAGCCAGTTCAACTGCAGGGGACCACTCACTCCCTCTTACCACACGTCCCAGTGGGGGGCCGCCTCTCTCTATTCCTGCCGGAGTGGGAGAATGCTACCAGCAACACTTGGGTGCTATCCACTGTCAGTGTCGGCCATCTACCACTGTGGAAGCGAGGCCCGCCAGAGTTCACCGGCATACGTCGCACTCCGATGCAGTCATGTCCGGTCAAGGCAGGTATGCTGCGAGACGTAGTTCCGGCTTTGCTGGACAAGTCCGCAATAGAGTGCATACCACCGGGCGAGGAACAGGCAGGGTTTTATTCCACATACTTCCTCGTTCCAAAGAAGGACGGCGAGTTCCGTCCCATTCTCAACCTCAAGGGGTTGAATCGCATGCTAGAGGTTCCATCCTTCAAGATGGAGACACTTCGCTCAGTGATATCTATTCAGCCCGGCGATTGGCTTACGTCGATCGACCTAAAGGATGCGTGTCTACATGTGCCAATTCATCCATCGTTCAAGCAGTTCCTCTTACGACGGGATGTATTACCAATTCACGGTGCTCCCCTTCGGCAAATCCATTGCCCCCAGGGTGTTCACCAAGCTCATGTTAGTGCCGGCTACCCTCGCAAGGTCGCAAGGAAGGCGTTGTTACCCTTACCTAGACGACTGATTGCTCAACGCTCTAACTCAGCCAGCGAGCTTAGATTCTACCCACATGGTGATAGACATTCTAGTTCGACTGGGGTGGATCATCAACCTCAAGAAATCCGACCTGGTACCCACCCAGGACTTTCTCGGGGCGAGGTTCACAACTCACAAGGTTCTTGCCTCTTTGTCACCAGACCGGGTCACCAAAGTACAGGAGATGGTGTCTTCGTTCCTCTCCCATCCCCAGGCACCAGCGCGGACTTGGCTCTGTCTACTGGGTCATATGGCAGTAACTATCTCTGTTGTGTGGCGGGCGCGGTTGAGGATGCGCCCTATACAGCAAGCTTTGGCGAGTCTGTGGGCTCACTCGGAAGATCTGAAGCAGTGTCTCACAGTCCCTTCAGTCACCTTCAGTGGTGGACCAATGTCGGGAATCTCTCCAAGGGGATCTCTTTGGAAATCCCGACGCCAGCTCTTAGTTCAAACCGATGCGTCCCTCACGGGCTGGGGGTGTGTTCTGGGCAGTCTGTCGGTGTCCGGACTCTGGTCCGAAGCCTAAGCCCGCCTTCACATCAACGTCTTAGAACTGAGAGCTGTGCAGTTGGTTTTCCAGCGCTTCCGGGAGCATGTTCGGGGCCAGGTGGTTCGTCTTCAGTTTGACAACCGTAGGCCATGACATACAGCCTGAAGCAAGGCAGCACGGTGTCCCTAGCGCTCCTTTGGGAGACATGGGAATTTCTCCTCTGGTGCTACCAGTGCGACTGTCAGGTGCTTCCTGTTTATCTCCCGGGGCTGGAGAACGTGCGAGCAGACGCTCTCCCTGCCGGTTCCTGGCCCCGCATGAGTGGATGCTCGACTGGCAGATATTCGGAGTTATCTACCAGTTGTACGGATCGTTCCAGGTGGATCTGTTTCCGTCCGGCAGGACGAATCAGATACCCGGGTTCTGCTATCAAATACCGGACTAGAGGCTGGATTGGACGGGCAAGGTGCTGTGGGCGTTCCCCGCCTCTACCACTCATTCCCAGGGTCTTCTCCCAGCTGTCCACCCAGCCAGCTCGGCTACTTGTGCTACTGGCACCGCTATGGCCGTCATAGAGCTGGTTTCAGGTAATTCTCAGGTTTCTGGCTTAGCCTCCTGTTCTATTACCTTTTCTGTGGATGTAGTCCCAGTATTGGAGTTTTTGCAAGCTCGTTTGGAAGAAGGCTTGGCGGTTTCGACTATTCGTGGCTACCCCACCGCTATTTCCACTTTCCACACCCCTGTCGATGGTGCTCTTCTGGGGCAGCACCCTCTTATGCAGCGCTTTTTTAACTGGCGTGGATCGGATTCAACCTGTTGTCAGACGAACCAGCCCACCTTGGGATTTGTCAGTCGTGCTAGATTGGCTGTCCGGTCCTACGTTCTCATGCCTATCGGCTATTTCTATTCAGCTGTTCACATGGAAGGCCGTATTTCTGGTGGCGGTAACATCTGGGCGAAGGGTCGGCGACCTACATGCTATTTCGGCAGACCCGGCGCTGACTGTGTTCCATCCAGATCGTGTCAGTATTCGCCTCCCGGATACTTACCGTCTGAAGATTGATCACGCTTTCCATGTGACAGCTCCTATCGAACTTCCTACTCTTACCAAGCCTTCCACATCGGGGACTTCTGCAACAAGCACTCAACCGTTGGATGTCCGTAAGACTCTCAAGGTCTATATCAAACGAACACAAGGGATCCGTAAAGGTACCCATCTGTTCTGCTGTTACTGTGGCGGGAAGGCTGGGATGCCGGCTAGCAAACAGACCCTAATACGCTGGCTTGTATCGGTCATTTGTGCTGCTTATCAGGCTAAGGGCAAGCCTCCCCCTGAGGGTTTGAAGGCTCACTTAGTCAGGGCAGTGGCCACGTCAAAGGCTTTTGCGCGGCACTGCCCATTGAAGACTTTTATCAGGCATTAACAGGTCGATACACATTCTCGTGATCGTGCGCGTTTTGGACGTTCTGTTCTCTCCAGTGGAATGTGTCCTGCCACCCTGACCGAGTGAGTCTTGGTTATCTGGACAGTTGACGCTGCTTTCAATTGTGTATCATTGATATATCCGCTGTTATCATATTTTACTCCTTTCGATTCTCTCAGGAGATTATGGTGAGTTAGGTTCCCCCTTACAGTGCTCTTTAATAGATTCACGATGTGGGCGGGGTTTTTTACTTTCGCACTGTGTGTGAATTGCTTTGCTTAACCTATGAGGTCGGGTCTGAGTACTTTCCTCCCTGTCGGTTACCCACCCATCATGCCTCTCGCGGAAGCTTCGGGACACGTGACAGGTGAGTGTTGTTACATTCTTCCTAACGATCGCTATTTATGTGTACTTTGACAGAATTCCCTCCTCCCTAGCCTCCGGTCTTTGGGAGTCTGAGTTAATGCATATATGTACCCCAAGGACGATCTCTATGAAAAAGAATTAGCTAAACCCATAGAGGTTTCCAATTCTTTGAAGAGAATCGTCCTTGGGGTAGGGCCACCCACCTCCCCGCAATTCTGTTCACTGATTT